TCGGACAGTTAAGTGGGGCAGAAGAAGCCACGACCTCTCACTTGCCATTTTTTCTCCGTTTATTTGTAGACAAAACAATAAAGAAATCATCGAAAACGGAAGCACGGATCCTTGAGGCTAGTTCATAGACGCCGGGTGAAGGTTTTCCGACCGTTTTCCTTTACAATCTCGAATGTGCTTCCTCAGTAGAACGAGAGCAGCTCGTCGGGAGGGACAATCCGGTGAGTTCGGTCGACATTTGTAAATTCGCAAATTGATATTCGAAGCACGCGTGCCGAGTAGTCAAACACTCGTGTGTTCACATCTCGCCGTCAGAAAATCTGCCGCAAATTGTCGAACCCCCCCCCTTTAGGAAAGGGAAGCCGTTGATTGGGTGGATTGGGGAGGGGGGGGGGCGATGGGGGGTGATGGTGGTAAGAAAACCTTGGTGGATGAAAAGCAGGTGCGACAACCTGGAGGGAACACATGTTCCCTTTCTAATAGAAAAACTCCAGCTCGCGCTCGTCTCCGCTCAATGCTCAACAGTGTCCTCTTGAAAGCACACACAGGGCTTAGTGCTGCACTTGCTGTTAAGGGGCGGAGGGGGCGGAGGGGGGTGGGGGGGGGGGGGGGGGGGGGGCAGTAGAAAGCCTCTAAAAGCTCAGCAGAAATGTATTTATAGACAGAAATAAAAGGATTATACCTCCATGAAGGAGTAAGGGAAAGCCAGTGATTTCCAGACTTGCCAGATGCTGTAGAAACTGAGTTGAGGGGGCGGATGGGGGGGGGGGGGAGGAGGAGGGCTGGCCGGGGGGGGGTGGGGGTGCAGGAGGAAGGAGGAGGAGGAAGAGGAGGAGAAGGGACTGACAGATGGAGAGAGACAGGCCGACAAAGAGAAACACGGATTTTCGCCCTCTCGGTTTTACTCCGGCGCCCCCCCCCCCCCCCCCCGAGCCTCGCCGGGCCCCGCTAATTATCCCCTGCCAGCTCGCTCGCCAACAGGGCGGCTTCTGGTGAGGGGTAATTACCAGCACAACGAGGACGCCGCCGCGCTCCCTCCTACTTTTTGTTCTGCGCGAAAGCACCTTTTATGGGGGTTTTTTTATTTTAAAAAGTAGGCCGACTGAAAAAAAAAAAAAAAAAATCCACCAAACAGCTGTTAAAAAGGGAGAACGCAGCCAAACACGTATTGCATAAGAGCCCCCGAACTCGCCCCATACTCCATTCATGTGCCCCCCCCCCCCCCCCCCTCTCCTTTTCACTCCTTCCGATGCTCCCGGATGTGCGAGTGTTGATACCGAGTCCTCGCTCGCTGTCGCTAAGGAGAAAACAGTCGAGGCTTCAGCTAGAGAAAAGGGGGGGGGGGGGGGTGGAGGGGGGGTTAATGGAAGCTCGTGAAAAGAGGCCGCTCGGCCGACTTCTGCGAATCAAAATGCAAAAACGAGAGGAAGTGTCTCGTCGTGGTGAAACTTCATCAAACGATATCGTAGTTTGTTTGAAGGCGGCCCGCTTCGCCCTCGGAGAGGACGTTTGCGTCTCCGCAGATGATACGGAAGTGTGTGTGGGTGTGTGTGTGTGTGTTGTGGACATCTGGACACGTCGAGCGGCTTTTAAAAACCGAAATGGACAGAAAAAAACAGAAATGCTCTTATTTCTTTCTTTTTCCGTGGCCGGCACTCAGCGCCTCGTCCGTTGGGATTGCGCCGCGCGGCTCCAGACTAATGCCCGAGGTCACGGGTTCAACTGGTATCCGTCCAAATGGCGTGCGCCGGGAGTCGGATGCCATGGGGGGGGCGCGCCAGAGACGACAGGCCGGTGGGATGAACGTATTTAGACGGCATTAAAAATTTAACATTTGAGGCCCGAACACGGATGGAAAAGGCCACCGGGGTTGAGCGGGGGTGGAGGGTGTGGGGGGGGTTACCAGCCGGTAATACGCGTTTTCCTGCTATTTTGACAGTAACTAAGCTGCTTACTGCTTCCTTGATTCAACCGTCAACCGTTCAGCCCATAAAGTGCCTTTTAATGTCTTCAAAGAAATCAAACTATTGGTTCATCACCAATTAAAACCAACCAACAAACGAACGATGTCGAGCCAAACGGATTTAGACGGTTAATTGATCCTTTGAATCACCGCCCATTGATTTTTTTGGGGGGGGGGTCGATGGGCGACTGACTGATTCTGGCTCTAATTGAGGCCATCGAACTACCGTGATCCTCTACTAGACGTTGCATCCACCCCCCCCACCCCCCCCTCCACGTGTTTACATGTCCAGTCCGCCATGTGCGGCATCATCTGTGGGGGAGCGAGCGGCACGGAAACGAGGCGGTCCCACTGGAGCGACGCTCTACTTCTGACAAACAACAACAACAACGCCCGTGGGACCCCCCCCCATGTTGTTTTTATTGCCGTGGGATGGATCGATGGAGAGGCCGATGGCCTGGCGTGACCAGACAGCACGTTGCCTAAGTTGGGCTACAGCTGAATGGAAAGAACCCCCCCCCCCCCCCCCCCCCGAGAACCAATCCTCCCGTTGCGGGGCGGTGAGCTTCTTCGCAGGTTAAACCCTGATTATAAATTCCTCCCCACAGCGAAGAAATGAACCAGCCGCTCAGCCGGCCGCATTCTGGCGATAACTCAAGGGGAAAGAATTATATAAATAGAAGAAGAAAAAAATCCCCCGGTGGCGCTTGCGGGCTCCCTCCGTCCCCGACCGAGGCTGCGGACAATGAGCCCCGTCATGGGAGGGAAACTCTCTTTATGATGCGTGGACGGCAGGAATGCATTAGCAGCCACTTTGGAAGGAAGCAATGGAGAAACAAGTTACTTTGACCAAGGGGGAGTTCCCGCCTCCCTCCTTATGAGAGAGCTCTTTTTCTACTGCCTCGAGTGGGAGAAGGCTCCTATGAGAACAGGAAGGCGGGTTGCTGGATGTTTTTTTTTTTAAAGGGAGAGAATGGAAGTTCATGCGTCCTAGGGACGTCTTTCGTACGCACCATAGACGAGAAAATAACATTCAAACACGCGGACCTTCTTGGAACCCCCGTGGGGGCCCCGCGTAGGGTCCCCGGACCATACTTTGAGAAACCCTCGTCCTGCAGCAGATGGCTAAAGCATTTCAGGGGAGCAGCTACAGCATCATAGGGGATGGGGGGGGGTTTAAGAGTCATGAAGATGTTGAGCCATCATCAAAAAAGCCTGGCTTGCGCGCGCTTGCGGGAGTGATGCGACCGCGCACAGGTGCGCGGCGGCGCGGACACGTGGCTTCAATGGGACCGACTGCAGGCAAATAACTGCGCCGATTGGAAAATGTAATTAAAGATAAAAAAGGAACTCGAGCTTAACACCCAATCACAATTCACACGCTTTCATCACGCGCGCACTCACCTCGCTCATCTTGGACACCTGCGCGCGCGGACTGGGGAGTTCTGCTGCAGAAGTGGACTTCTTCGCTCTCCTTCTTTTATTCTTCTTCTCTCCGCGTCTCTCGGATCCGATGCGAGGGGGGGGTTCGGAGGAGGAGGCGGCGGCGGGGGGGGGGAGGAGGAGGAGGAGGAGGAGGTTGGAGAGTTCTGAGTCGGAGTGTTCGTGCGGTGCCGGACGGGCTGCGCGGGGAAACCGGACGAAAGTGATGCTCGATTCGCCGATTCGGTAGAGACGACGGAAGGAAACGGTAGAGCCTTTAACTGTCTCTCTCTCTCTCTCTCACCCTCCCTCTCTCTCTTGCGCGCGCTCTCTCTCTCTCTCTCTCGCTCACCCTCCCTCTCTCTCTCAACCAGTCACCAGGGAGCCGCCTCTTGCCCCGTTGACTGGATGTAGGCTAATAGATAATAATGAGAAGCCCTGCGGTGGAATAATCGTGTTAATTCACAAAAAAAACACACTTCCTTCGAGGTGGATTTTGCACCTGTTTTACTTTACTTTGCACCCGCGCACCAACCTTCCACTACAAAATAATTAATATAATAAAAAATATTATTTATTTAATGCGAATCGCTTTAAATGGGATCAAAGACAGATTTTATATATTTCAACATTTCCATTTTTTTAAATCTTATTTTGAAAGACAGATCCGTGGCACGCGCTTTCAGGTCTGCATTTCGGTTCGTGCGCTGGACCAACTCAAATGGCATTTGCTCAATTAATAGTGCTATTGTTTACTTCACGCGCTTAAATGTTATTAGTGGCACTAATACTTAAAAGACAAGCTGGTTGGTCAGTTCGGTGATGTCACGCAGTAAAGAAGGTGGCCACTAGAGGGCGCCGTTGCGTCACAAATCCCAAACTGCTGGTCGGGATTTGCTGTAAACTCTCTCCAGATGCAGATAATCAGGAAACGATTCATCAGCTCATAATACACCACGTGGTCTTAAGAAATAGTTACGCAATACCCAAGTCTTTAGTTTTTCGGCCTTGTGTCAAAGATTGGTCCGTCGGATACAAAGGAAATCAAAATGAATAAGCTTCAAAAGGCCCTGAACGCTCCTTTGGAGTTAAGCAACTCACCATCTGGAACGCCCCTAAAGGTCAGGAATGTGGTGTTCCTCAAGATGTCTGCAATTCTACCCAAAGCCAAAAGAGGGCTTCCTGCTCTAAAACGTCTACAAACAACACATTGACATAATCAGACATCTGGGAGATTTATGCAATCAGTCGGTCCTTAGAGAAACAGCATCGGGTGTAGAAGGAAAAGAAGAGAGGCTCTGCTTTTTTTGCTTGTGTTTATTTATTTCTAATGTATTTTATTTTATTTTTTCTATTTTTTTTTTTAATCTGTCCACAAAGTCATATTAGTCACTACTATGTTAGATCAGTTTTCCCTCACTGCAATGGCAGTCAACTACACAAGAGCCCAAACCCGGCGTGGCCCCCGCCTCCCCTCGCAGAGATGTGTCCGTCCACCACGGGTCAAGGCCACCCCACCAATCGGGTGCGTGTATCGAAGCGAAGGCGTCGGGACTCCCGGGATCGGGTGCGTCGTTCACTTTCGGGAAGTGACGTGCAAACGTAAAAAGGGACGTTTGATTTGGGAAGGAGTTTTAATAACAAGTCAGCCACTTGCTTTGCTCGGTTGACCGATGTTTTCAGTAGAAGCATCGACTGCGCTTCAGTCTTTTGGCGAGGATTCGTTCTGTGTGCGTGAGGTTCGGGAAAGTTAACGAGTGGAAGGCTCAACCGAACGTTGGCGTCAGGGAGGAGGTTTTTGTCGTTAGTCATGTAGATTGATTGGCAGGCTGTGGGAGGAGTGGAAGGGGCCATCGCTCGGGTTTCTGCTCTCTTTAAAAAACAAAATTAAAAAAACACAACAGCTCTAGTGCTATCTGTACAACATTCAACAACACATTTCTCTTTTTTCATTTTGTCATTTTTTTTGTAGTTTTTTTTAACCATAATGCCAAAAACGATAATAATTATCATCATAAGAAGAGCATTTTTCCATCTCAACGGCATTGAACAAACACCACACAAACCGAAATAAAAATCTAATAAAGGCCTCAATACCAGATAGTACACGTCACCTTCAAGTGGTGCTATAGAGATAGAGACAGTTTACGGACGAGAGAGAGCGACATGGAGGAAGAGCAAGCGAGAGAGAGAGAGGGGGGGGGATGGGGGGTAAAAGAAAGAAAGAAAGTGAATTATTTTGTTTTTACTTTAGTGTCACCTGGGACATGTTTTGGCACCCTTTTTCTTTAAGAGATTAATATAATAATGTTGATTTAACTTAGACTCGGGCTTTGGTTCACAAAGGGTTAGTATCAAATACCAACAGTAGTCCAACCCTACGTCTACAGTGATTTGTACTTGGCTAAAGGTTAGGTAGTCCATTTTTTCAAGAGTCTAGCCATGCTAGATGGTGATAAGGCCTAGTGACCTGATTAGAGAGAGAGGGGGGAGGGGGGGGGGCAGCGAGAGCAAGAACGAGTGTGATGTAGGCTAAGTGCTTTTGGTGAGTTTTACAAAATACACCAGGAAGTGCTTGAAACAGAAGGCACGATGGCATTGACAGTAGTTGTTAAGGAGACACCACTGAGGGACTTATCACTACAGAACTCATAAGGTGCTCTAAAGACGGAACTTAAAACACATTAATGCACATTAAGGTGTGGTAGGACGCCCCATCGATAAGTAGTCCACGTGGGTAAAAGAGCGGTCCTCCACCAGCGCGATGGGGACGTTAACTCACGAATTCTCCGTTTGATTGTTTTCGTTCGTAGCAGTTGGGGTTTTACACAAAAGGGAACTTTCTTTAACAACCCGTTCGGTGGTTGGGTATTTGATGCGCCGATCGACCGATCGACGGACCGGGCTGATCGATGGGGGAGATCTATCGGAAACCACAGCTTTACGCTTGAAAAAACGACAACAGAAAGTGACAACTTCCATTGGAAAAAACGTTTGGTCTATCGATAAAGTGGAAAGAAAAAAAATCTACTTTTGGAACTGAAACCTTGCACAGTGCTCTGAATAGACATTCCAACTAGTCTTAGCTCACAAACATTATAATCAATATTACCTATATTGATAACCTTTTTCTGTAAGCATCTTGAAATGAAAATAAACAAAAGTCTGCTTTTTTTTTTTATCCTCGTCTTTACAAAAGCTACACATATTCTACTGGGATGTCTATGCATTTGTTAGTGTTTTTAATAATTACTCCTACCATTGTCTTTTCTTTCCTTTGTTAAAAAAGAAGAGGGGGAATCTACTCGTCTGAAAAGACGCCGTACGCCTCCCAGGGTACAGCTGGGTCCCCTGGTCCCGTCTTTTTCCTTCTCTACCTTGTGTCTCTCCTTAAAAAGGGCGTGTCGGCTGATTGTGTCCGGGGTCTCGGGCAGACTCCCGCTCTGAGTTTGTTCTTCTTTTTTTTTTACGTTGCCTCGGCAACGCGACCCACATTCGGCGCCATTGTAAACACTGAATTTTTAACTTCGACCTCTTTGAAATCGCGTTGTCCATGTCGCCGGCTCTTCCTCTTTTCCTTTTCAAGCCACGAACATCCGCCGCCCGTGTCGAGAACGACGCTGCATTTCTTTTACAACTTAACTATTCACAACACCCTAGAACCACTTTTAACAAATATACTGTACTTAAATTGTTTTAAACTGTATATTCAGATAAAATGAATGACCTCTCGGAGCACCGGAGGCTAGAAAAAACGCACATGAACAGGCACTAACTGAAGAAAACAAATGTTACAAACACTTCTTTCTGTTTTTTTCTTTAGGACAATGGTGTAGAAACACTTTTCAGACAAACAAGGCAGTGGTACATAGTTGAGGGAAAGCAGGCGGCCTGCAGCAGTTACCTCATGCCTTTTTAAATTAATACCCGATAGCTTAGCTGAGGTTCACGGCTCCACAACGACTCAACTGTCCCCCACATTTGTGTGGGTGGAGGAGGAGCTCGAGGTTTCAAACCGTTCAGTGGTCTGTCAGGGGAGTATCTTCAGCTTGGTTAGTGTAGTACTCTGCAATAAACATTATTGGTGTGAGACAAATGCCTTGAATCTGTTCCTTTGATTCATTACATGGGAGATCACCCTAAAAATCATCTCGGAGTGAAGCTCGAAAAAAGAAAACTGAGGAAAAAGTGGCCTGCGAAATCCTGAAAAGACGCATATCCGCTCTTGCGTGCAGGAAGTTTATTTAGTGGATGACCTCACAAAGAACAGCTGTGATGTTTCTCTTCTCTCCTCTTTCAAACCCTCCGCGGTCGAGAATCCTTTGTCCGTTTCTTCAATTTCGTGTCCAATGTAGTTAAAAAACCACTCCAACCCTACGACTTGAACGGTGTTTACCAAAGCAAAGCCTTTTAATCTGTGAACACTCTTTCCTCCTCTCCCGCCATGTGGTTAGAGCTCAGGGCCGGGGAAAGAGCAAGGGACATCCTCAGATCGTGGTCCTCTGAATCCTCCAGACTGCTGTTCTCCAAATTCTCTTCCAACTCCTCGTCCTGCTCCTCCTCATCCACCTCCATCCTTCCCTTGAGTCCCAGACCGTCTCTGACGGTCTTGGACACGGAGGCCACGTCTGGGTAGTCGAGGATGCCGTTCAGACGGTCCTGTGTATCTTGGGAGAGGCCGTTCAGGGTCTTGGCCTGCGTTGAGGACCATTCCCTCAGGGGGGCCTGAGAATCCGCTTCGGCGACGTGCCTCCATATCGTCACAGGGTCGAGATCTGAGCGATCCGTCCGGGGCTTGGTGGCCTTTGGGGCTCCATTATCATCCAGGGGGGCAGAAGGGGCTCTTTTGCGCCTGGACTTGCTGGTGTGGTTGACCTGGAGGTGCATGGCCATCAGCTCTGCCGAGGACGTACGAAAAGGGCAGAACAAACACTGGCTCAGTTTGACCCCTGTTGAACCATCCCCACCGCCGACCCCTTCTCCCTCCCCGAAGGTCATGACTCCATCCTCCTCCATGCTTCCGAGGCCAGGTGAGGGGCGGCGAGACAGATCCAGGGGTTCAAAACCGCCTTCTTGAGTCGAAGCCGCAGGCCCTTCCTTGTCACTCGGCGGTTGAACCATTCGGCTGGTAGTGAGGGGCTTACGGCGGGACACTTTAGGGGCCTTGGGCGGAGGAGACTCCCTGATCCAGCCTCCTTCCATTCCACCTTGGTAAAGGGCCCCCATCACCCCGGACAAATACCTGTACTGGGTCTCCAAGTCGACATCCCTCAGAGCCGCCAGAGTCTTGCGATGCTCCCGCTGGTCTGGAAACCCCAGGAGCCAGGACTGCTGGCCGGGCCGAGATGCGGGGGTTTCGGCGGGGCCTCGGTTGACGGGGCAGTGGTTTGGCTGGGACCGGCGCTGCTTAGCCAGCCCGGAGCTTCCAGAGGTCAGACTGTTGATGGTGGGGGCGAGACCACCGGAGGAGGAAATGGAGGAGGCCGACAAGGCGTTGCGTTGCTCCCTGTGGTGCCGCTGCAGGTGGTACTTCAGCGAGCCCGACTGGGTACCCGCATAGTCACAATGGGGACATTTGTAGGGTCTCTCACCTAAAGAGAAATGAGAGGAACAAAACAAGATTGGGGAAACAGTACTGGAGTATTAACTAATGTAGCAGCTAAACTAGGTGAGGCTTAAAGAGACCAATGATTTTGCATGTTCACACATAATGGAGAGCGTGCCGATTTGCCCGCCATTTTATGAAATGTATAATTTTCTATATCATAGTGAATGAATAGAAGAAATTGGCAGCCTGAATAGTCGGAAGGGAAATTTTTAACACTACAGCATCTTTAAAAAAAATGCTCTGCAGTAACTTGCAAAATAACTGGCATGGTCCATTTAAACAGTGGGTGAGCGGAGATGCAATTATGCATTCTAAAGGGAGATGGCAGTATTTCATTGCTGATTGAAAATGACACTGCTGGGAGAGCTAAAGAGGAGGGGGCATCATGCTGGAGACAGATCAACAGCAGGAAATGCATTACGTATGAAAGGCATAAATTATCGTATTCGCATGAAAAACCAAACGGACAAAGAAAACGGCACCGTTGATGATTGCAGATTCACATTCAAAGTATGAACAGTTAGATTTTTATGGTGGAGCAAAATAAAAATGTAACACAAGTCTCAAGGAGCAATAATCTCAAGAGCACAGTTATATCTAAAAGAGTATTATTGCAATGTGATGCCTTTGCTTAAATTACTGACCATGTGGTAATCACTTGATGGCCGTACAGCTGTGCTCTATCATGAATAATACAGCTGTGATTTGATGGGTCCTGTCAGCTATAGACAATTATTCATAATGGAAATATTAAATAGATTTCATTGAATGCATTTTGGGCACCATCTTGCTGAGACTTGGATGTGCTCCAGTTCCCAGTGTCTGGGGATTGGTGGCATCTCAGAAACTTAATTCCGATCAAATACATCAAGCGAAGAAAGCAAATAATAAAAAATGGCAATGAATCATGCTTACAAAGGCTTATGAATATGGTTAATTAATTAAGAGCATGAGTGAGTGCTGTGAGAGTTCCCAATTTGCATTAAAGTCGCCAAAGTCTTGAAACAGATTGTCAGAGTATGTCGGATAGCCCTGTGTGTCTGTTCTGGAGTCAGACATATTTAGAAATGATCGGATTTAAATTTAAGGAGAACAATTAGAGATTCGCTTGCTTCAAAGACAAGAGATCTGAATCTCAGAGGGATTAAAGACCAAAATTGCTATTGTGGAGAAAGCATATATTTTATTTCTTGATGTTTACTCAAAATGACTGTGGTTAATATAAGAAAAATAACTCTGCCAAACCATGTCAATGTTTTTACAAATTGGAGTTCAAATCTTTTGATAGAAAAGTCCTGTTAAAAATAAATAAATAAATACATTCCTTCCGTTCTTTGGGGTGAAGTTACTGGCTGGTGAGAGAAGTGAGCTTTTTACAAAGATTTAACCTTTTATAAATCCCTGGAGTGGTTTAATTCTTCCTCAAAAACTACGTTGATGTACCCTTAAGCAAGGCACTTAGCCAGGAGTTGCCCCTGTGCGGCTGCTCGCTTGCCTGCAGTGGTGGGCTATGATTAGCGCTGGCCAGCTCTCTGGGGTGAATGTGTAAAAAAGAAAGAAAAAGGTAGCGCCACTGAAGCGAGGATGCTCAACAAAACCTTTCCAGGGATTTAAAAAGGCTAAAAAAGTAAATGTGGTTCGTTAAACTCACAGCAGTTTCTCACCTGTGTGAACTCTCAGGTGCACTTTGAGATGGTGTGAAGAGCGGAAGGCTTTACCACAGTAGGGGCAGTCTTTTATCCCTCTACCGCGCACTCGCTCCCTGTTGGGAACCGAAGGTATGGAGGAGACTGCTGTCAGCCCATTTTCTCCTGCAAAGTGGAGAAAAATGTAAAGATAACAGCGGGTGTGAAGGGGCCCTACGAGAGCTTCCGTTTACAGCGGCAAAATAAAATGTACCCTTTTGAAAATACCACCACTACACAGGAGCAAACACGGCACACGCAAAAGACGGGTGGGAGACTCGTGTGATCGTACCTTTGTAGCCGGAGATGGCGGAGTGAAACCCCGAAGCTGCCCCCGCTTGTTGTGCTCCGCCGCTGTGCAGTTTGGACTCCTGTCTCCCTTCTCCTGCTTGCTGGGATTCACCGCTGTGTGGCTGAGATTCCTGTTTAAGTTCGCCGCCACCGCCTCCTCCTCCTCCTCCTCTTCCGAGTCCACCTCTTCTACGGCTTCCACTTCCTTCCTCTTCACCGCCGCCTCCTCCTCCTCCTCCTCCTCCTTTCTGGGGCCGCTGAGTGTGAACGCGAGCATGGACTACCACCTGCTGCAAGCTGCGGAACAGCTTTCCGCAGTCGGGGCATTCCCACGGCCCCCCAGCTCCGCCTGACTCTTCTCTTGGTTCCAGGCCTCCGAGGTAGGCCCTGACTTGGTCGGCCTCTGTGATGGCGGAGCTCCGCCCTTGGCCTCGCTGGCTTTGTTGCTGGCTTCGCTGTTGGGGCCTCTGCTGCTGCTGCTGCTGCTGCTGCTGCTGCTGTTGCTGCTGCTGTTGAGCTACCGCCAGGCTGCGAGCCACCAGCTGCCACCAAGTCGCCTGGTCACCTCCTTCTGGAACGGATGCAGGAGTTTCACCGGCGCTGCCTCCTCTGGCGGCTCCCCCTCCTCTTCCTGGGTCCCCTACTACTGAGCCCCCGAAGCCGCCTCCACCGCCGCCGTTTCCCATCTCTGCCACCTGAGCCACTGCTTGAAGTCTCTCCATGCAGCTAGCCCCGCCGCCGTCACTGGGCAACCCGAGGTATCCCAGGATGGCAGACTTGCTCGAGCCCATCCCCATTCGGCCCCCAGTTTCCCTATCTGATCTTCCTTGTCCACCTCTACCACCTCTTTGCTGGGCCAGCAGGAGGCTTGAATAGAGGGCGTTGAGAGACTGATTACTAGCGGAGCCTTTGCCCTGCTGCTCTGAACCTCCCGGTCCCCCGAGAGTTCCCAGCCCGGCCTTCAGCCCGAGCTTGTTGAGGTGTACTTTCATGTGGTTCTTGAGGAACCACGGCTCTTTAAAACCACGGCCGCACACCTGGCACTTATGGTCCAAGGAGTCCTTGTGCTTCCGCATGTGTCCCTTGAGGAACCAGGATTGGGTAAACCGCTGTCCACAAGTCTCACAGCGGAATGCCGGCAATGTGGGCGACGCAGCCGCTCTGGCTGCCGCAGTCACCTGGGGGGTACTCGGGGCCGGGGTGTGGGTCGGGGTGGGCACGGGAGTGTCAGGGGTTGCAATGACCAGCCTGGAATTGAAGGCCGGTGGCAGAGCAGGTACCTCGGGGGGAGGGTGGAACTCCTGCAAGTGAGCAGCCAGGCTCTCTTCTTGGCTGGCAGAGAAGGGACAAAGGGTGCACTTGTACGGGTTGTGGAGAATGCGAACATGGCGCGCCAACTCCGAAGCCGTGCGGAATTTTCCTTTGCAGGCATGGCAGCGAAACGCAGGCGCCGTAGAAGCAGACCCACCCTCGCCGATGGTCAAAGAGTAGGGAGGAGTTACGGATACAGGATCTTCTGTAAGGGGAGGGGTCAATGGAGTGCTGTCATCGAGTAAGAAGTTTGGGTTCGGGTCTGTCTGTAGGCCGTCATCTAGACCTTTGACCTCAACATCTTCTTCTGTAAGATGCTGGATGAGTGTCCCCGGCAGTATGCGCTGGTTCAGGTGACTTCGGTGATTCTGGAAGTCTTTGTGGTTCTGTTGGACTTTGAGGTTCTGCTTTAGGGGTGCTGCAGGGGGTCCAGTCCGGTACAGGGCCGAGGCTCGGCGGTCCCGGTCCAGACTGTGAGCTCGGGCATGGAGAGATAAAATGCTTTGGAATCTGAATCTCTTTCCGCACACATGACAGGGGAACCTGAGTGCAGGCCCTGGGGAAGCCCCTCCCACTCCAGGTATCGCCCTGGTAACGGTATCTTTCTGGAACAGCTGCAGGTCTAGCTCATCGTTGCAGTTTCCACTCTGCCCGGACGAGAGGGCCAGCTCCAGGGCTCCGAACCCGAGGAGCGGCGCTGATGGCGTGGCGGGCGGCGAGGAGTCCAAGCAAGGGCTGCACCCGGCTTCTTGCCCCCTTCCCCCCGGAAACAGAGCCACCGCCGGGGTCGGGGACGGAGGGACTGCATCTAGCCCGTCCTCGTCGTCGTCGCCTTCGCCGAGGGTGTCGTCGCCGTTGTCCTCGAGGAGGGGGAAGAGAGAGAGGGGGAAGTAAGGCGTGGCGTCCGGGCTCTGGGGGGAAGGGGCGGGGCTGTGAACGGGCAGCGCAGCGGGACTGTCGGGTAGCGAGAGCTCGGTAAGAGGAGAGGACGCCCGGGGGCTGTGGTCCAGGGACGGCAGCGTCGGGGGAGACTGGGCCTGCTCACAAGAAAGAGACAACACACACTCTGGCGGAGAATCCATCCTCTGCAGGTAGAAAGCACAGGAAGACAGGGGGGGGTGGAAGGGGTGTGGAGGGAGGGAGGGAGGGAGGGAGGGGGGCAGATAGTGAGTGGAAGGGACGGCCGAGGAGTTACAACTTTAAAATGCCAGATGCAAAGGTTACATTTGCCTGTTGTGCATAATTATCTTCAACTGCAACACGGCCGTGACCACATGTTAGAATTTGCCAAGAAATAGACGCAGCCATGTGGTGTTAGTTTGGCTCGCATGTCTGCGTGTGTGAGATCAGTGGAGAATTACCAGAAGTGTGTGCGATGTTATGCCATTCTTTAGTGTCTCGGGTGACGGGGGACACACTTCTGTGGCAGCTTCCTCCTTTTATTTTTCTGGGGACGAAAGTTAAAAAAAAAAAAAAAAAGGATGAATGGAGAAACTTAAACAGAGAGTTATTTTCAATTGTGATCTGACTCGAATCGCTGCCGAATTAAAAAACCCCAATACAGTGTAGTATATTACTGAGGATGTTATCTCGCTAAATACTTTATTTTAGTAAATTAGCAATATCAGTGTGGGCGTAGGTGTAAAGGCTTTTTAAAATGTTGAGAGAGAAACTCCAGGGAGCTGATTTTTGGCAAACAGGATAAAACATTTTCTTTCCACAGAGACACTTGAAAAGAAATTCCATTACAAATTTTAATAGCAGGGGGAGGGACCCCCCCCCCCCCCCCCCCACCCCCTCATTTCTCATTACAGCAGCGTTTTGCGCGTGTTTTAAACGCGCTTGAGGTTCCGATCTCCGTTTGGTCCTCGGTTACTCTCCAGTTTGCGGAGGTGTGCGCGTGCGCTTGAATGCGTAACAGGTGCGCACCTGTTCTGCCTCCTGCAACTGCTCACCGTGCACTCCAGCATACTGCCAGCACATATGGGATGATTAGCCGGAGTGTGAGTGTGCATCCGAGTGTATCTCTATCTCTCTGTGTGTGTGTTTATATAAGAGTTAAGGGCACAGGACATGGACTGTCCCAAACAGGATGGGCGCGCAGTGTTTTGACTTCCCCACACGCCCTTCCTGTGCAGCTCGTGGGCTGTATGCACGCACACTGGCGTGCGCGCCGACGTTTGTTGAATCCATAGGCCTGGGCGCGGCTCTTTTGGCCCCGGCGGTTACCCGCGTTGCGCGTCGGCTGTTTTTTTTTTTCGTCCCGTCACTCTTCCAAAGCAAAACCAAAGGTCATCAATCAACCGGCACGACAATGGAACATCTGTGCTCGCAGGTGCGCCGTCCTCGCACACGTATGTGCGAGCTCGCGTGGTCGGTTGCATTTCTGAGCGTGCGCGTGTGCGTGTCACTGAGCCCGGATGACAAAGAGATTCTCATGTAGCCAGTTGACATTTTAGCTCGGCTATGACTCACAGGGATATCACACCATATCAATCACACACACACACACACACACACACACACACACACAGCCCCCTTTTTCCTAATCCACCATTATTGTTCTTTCTCACCCCGTCTTTCTTTCCCCTCTGTCTTCCTCTCCCCCGATCCACACTCCTCCCATCCCCCTCTCATTCTCTCGCTCCCTCCCTCCGTCCATTATTCACTAATTTTCTTTCATTCTCTCTCTCTCTCTCTCCTGCGGTGTTGCCAGTTGGCGGCGTGCCAGGGAATGCTGATATCAGCTGGTAGATTGGGCCCTGCCAACATGGCGAAGAGCAAAAAACTGAGAAAGGAGACAGACAGAGGGAGAGAAACGGGGGAGAGACGGAAGGGGAAACATGCAGCGCTGTCGCAAACCGGAGAGGGAGAAGAAGAAGCAACAACAACCTCGTCAGAAGCCGTGTGAACGAAGGCGATTTTATTGCGATTGCCAGCGTGGTGTTGAGGGGGAAAAGGAGGGGGGGGGGGGGGGTAAAAACAGGGCGAAGCGACAGCCATGGTGGAACAGAGGAGGAGGGGGGGGGGGAATCGGCGGGCTGAGGGCAAAACACGAAGACAGAGGAGCAGATTAGAGGAAAAAAAAATCATTAGAAGAGTCAACACACAAGTGTACATCCAGACGGACTGACGGAGGGGGGGGGGGGGGGCGAGATACGGAGACGAGGCTGCGGGCGTGTCTGCGGCGGTGCCACGTCTCACGGCATTATCATATGAATATGTGCATCACAATGCATTGCTCCAGCGCGACGGGGGCTGTCGCCTTCCACCGGGCCCCGTCACGCCAATGAGGAGGATCTGGATAGATGGGGAGACGGAGATAAGGTGCGGCGGTGGATGCGTGGCGTGGCGTGGTGTGTGGGGGGGGGGGGGGGTGACAAATAGGATTGGAATCAGGTGCAGCACAACGAGAGCCAGGTGGTAATGAAGCGGGGAGAAGAAGCGGCGTCCTCTAGCAGGGGACGAGCCCCCCCGGACGTGGTCGGAGACGCATCTGTCCACTTTACCCACCGATGCAAATCGCTCCCGATCTGCGTCTCCGGGCGCCTGTGCGTGCGATCGTGCCCCAGAAGATGCACACAAATAGGAGCGACGTGTGAGGGGGGGAGGGAACAAGAAACCTGGGGGGGGGGAAGGGGGGGTCAGAGCCCCATTTAATTACGTTGAAATCACGGATTGTATTCCAATGTTGCGCGCTGGTTTCTGGATCATGTTCGGGGAGCATTTCTCCCAGTTGGAAGACAAACAATCACGGAAATGTGATCCACCGACGGCACAAAGTCAGCCCCCGCGTGATGCGTTACAATCCGATAGAGAGGAAAAGGGGATAAACTGGATTAAAAGCGCCGGGGTTTTTGCATTTCACACGGTAACGAAAGCTTAAGAGCACATCCTTGTTGTGTTAAACATTCCCATCGTGGTGTCATTACGGTAATTGCAGAGTAACTTTGCGGCCACGGAGATAAACGGATGTTAAGAACCGAATCACCTTGAGTGGAAATTAGTTTTAAAGACGGGGGTGTGGGGTGTGTGGGGGGGGGGGGGTCAATGTGCCAACTGTCTCTTTTCATTTTCTCCGCCCGCCCGTCCGAGGAGAATCACGCGTCGTTTAAACGCCGATAACTACTCCTGCGCCTGTGACCACGAGGTGGAGATTAAGGTGGGGTTGTCGGGGGGGGGGGGGTTGCTGAGTCATACATCACATCCCTGACGAATAGTTGCAGAGGGAGGAGCACAAAGTGTTCAAACATGTTTGTTTTTTTTAGGAGGGGGGGGGTCATTGTGTCATTGTGTACATATCCAGCGGTACGCCTTTTATCGTGAAGGCAGCTCGGTGCGTGCTGGTACACGCCGGGACGCCACACACCGCAATTGCACACGCGGAAAAAGGGTGTGAACGCCTTTCACCGATTTTTGCTTCAGGGCCGCGCGTGCGTTTGTACATGCGTGTATGCGCACATGTGACATCTGACCACGTGACGCTGTGTTTTCTAAGAGGTCGCCTGCCCCTCGCCGGCCTGTTTGCCTTCACTGTGACTCGTCACAGTTTGCATAATGAAGTCGCCGCGCTGAGCTTCTTTAACGTTAACGGTCGTCATAATGGATGGAAGACGGCGGCGGATCACCAGCGGAAAAAAGAAAAATCTGAAAAAAAAATGAATTTCTGCATCATAAATATGCGTTTTTATTCTTTCTAAGCTTGTTAATCATCTCAAGTTATTTATTTTGCAGCATCTTAAGGGGGGGGGGGGGGGCAATAAAGAGTGGAAGGGATGCTTTTGTCTTCTTATCCGGGCCTGTGTGTGTTTTCTCCTCCTCTCTGGCCCTAAAAATAGGCTCCTCCAGAGGTCTCCGCCCCGGGCTCGAGGGCGCAAAGCGAACGCCGTATCTGAAGGCCGCGTAGGTGCCGGTGTGTGTGTGCGTGTGTGTGTGTGTGTGTCCGCTTGGATTCCCCTCCAGTGGTACCTTTCTTCCGGCTGCCGTATCACTCGTGTGATGGAGCGTGTGCGAGGTGAGGTGTCCTTCGGGGATAAGTGGGTGTTTTGAGAGCCGGACAACTAAAAATAAAAGTAGAATAATATGAAGGAGAGGATGAGCGGCTGAGGGCAGCTGAGGGCGGGGTAGGGGGGGGGGCACAAGGGGGGGTCAGCCGTGTGCCGCTATGGCGTCCTGTGGGTTTTTTTTGCCACATGGTCACGCGCCCGGGTTTCCTCACAGACGGTGCTCATTTCCTTAGCTTCACCTTTCCCTGAACCCCTTCGCTTCACTCCCAGCTTCCCTGCAACTTTGTCTGGCAGCCGCCCCCCCTCCTCCCCTCCCCCCCCGTCCCTCCCTCTCTCCCATCTTCAGGAGGAAAGTCTCTCTTTTTAAGATGTGAATGGCGGGTTGAAACTTTTTTTGCTAACCTCATTTGGGGGTCGGAGGATGGCACAAGCGTAGCTTTCAAAGGGCTCGGCTCTGCTTTGAAGACCAAACCGGGGGGTTTTTGAGGGGGGGGGGGGGGGGAGAGGGTCCCTTCAAAAGGCATCAAAAGGCGATACATTGATCTTGTTGATTGGAAACATTCAGCCCTGGACTTTCGTCTTTTGGCTCCTGCTCTACAATCCTACCACTTCCTCTCCGTTTCCTCCTGCCTGACCCCGCGGGGGGGGGGGGGGGGGGGTTACAGGATTGAAGCCTCATAAGAGGAATGGCTCGGAGCACCCGGTAAACGGCTTATCTGAGCACTACTGGAGATCACCTGCAGGGGCTGAGACCAGAAGAGGGGGGGGGGGGGGCAAGAAGGCATTCCACAGGTGGAACAAACGCCTTCGGGTTGTGTTGTCAGAAATCCAAATGTGGACCTGAGACGCAGGAGTAGACGCACGCCCCCTCGCCCCCCAGCTGACTCGACCCCGTGACCTCACTCCAACGGAGACGCTATCCGCGGGTGGCGCTCTCCCTTCTCCGCTTCGCGGACACTCCGGATGGAAATCCGGCGCCTGCGACGGCTGATCGACAGCGTTGGGAGAGAGCGAGAGCTTGGAGACGCCTCGATTTGAGTCCAGTACCACGCGGGGGGCCCCACCCGATCGGCGAGCCCACCCACCTGTCCGGTCGCGCCGGTAGCCCCAACAAAAAGAAGTTCCTAACTTGTTCCGCCAACTCCACGCAAGTGGCACAGGCGGCGATCCCATTTAGGTAAGACCCCCCCCCCCCCCCCTGCGCTCCAAATACACACCAATCCCGAGCGAGCGGCAGAACTCCCCACAGTCTCAAAATGTCACAACGCAGTAGCTTGTCGCTAACTGAGGGCAAGCAGGTGCCTCTCCCGCAGAGCACTAATGACCCAATTATATCAATCAGAAGCCTTGATTGGTGCTACGCTCCTCTTCCTCGCGCTCTCTCCGTCTCTTTCTCCCTCGCACACAATCCTTTCCCTGAGAGCCACCTGGATGGGGTGGATGTGCCCCCTCAAGCACAGTACAGTATGTACAAAGGTGAGGAGGAGGAGGAGGAGGAGGAGGAGGAGGAGGAGGACACTTGAGCACACAACAAGCAAAGAGAAGTCTGAATGAGGCAGAGCCATTAGACTCTAGCTAACAGGGGGGGCTCTTTAGTAGGGTGGGTTCCTGGTGAGGGGGGAAATCTCATCATCACCTCAGATCTAAAAGTAGATGTTCCCACGGAGCGGCACTTTTCCACCCAAGAGGCGACTCTCCTCCGGTTTGATTTTTTTTTAAAATACCACCGAGCTCCTGGCCCCTGCGGCGCCCCGTGAGGACCGGACGCAGGCCCGGATTTGGGTTCCTTACGGTGATTAAGGCACCACAGAATAAAAGAATCAGATGCCCTGATTATTTCTGTCGCACACCTTCGACTTCCAGGTCACGGGACGTGCGTCAAGACAAGAAACGCCGTTTATTTCATTCAGAGAGCGCGTCCAAATGAAAGAAGAAGAAGAAGAAGAAGAGTTCAATAAGAGCCCTGTTTTATAACGCCCGCCTATACGTCCGCCGTGCACACGCGCTCACGCGACGGGGGGGGGGGGGGACGCTTCGGGTGGATCACTAAACGTGTTCCGGGTGGAGGTGGAAGGAGGCGACGGGACGCGTCTTCGGTCAAAGCCAGATGACACGTCCGCGCGTCGTCTCGCGGGGAATGTCCCTCGTCGCCCGTGCGACGCGCGTCAATAACGCGCATCCATAATAACGCGCATCCGTAATAACGCGCATCCGTAATAACGCGCATCCTTAATAACGCGCATCCGTAATAACGCGCGTCCATTTGCAGCCGCTCTTCTCTCTCGCGGCCATCTCAATTAGAGGCGCGTTAATGAAATAAATAATCGTCAACAAACAATGCACTGATAAACACCGCAGAGCGCGCTCCAACCAAAGAAAACACCAAAAAAAATCGGAGATAAAACCCCCCCGCGAGCGGAAGAGGTCCGCGCGCACGGTCCCCGCTTCTTAAAAAAAAAACAAAAAAACGCGATTATAAATCCTAAAGAGTGGGATGTAGTTTGGGGAAGTCGGGGGTGGCGCGTGTGTGTCATGTCAGCCTATCCATCGCGCTCTCCCCTGCTCCATTTTGTTCCTAAATTTTCTATACAAAAGATTAAGGGAGGGGGGGGGAGAGAAAGGACGAGAGGAAGAAAGTGCCATCATGGATTTCATCTCGAGTCCTCTGCCAATCTCCCAAAGCCGACATCAACCCCCCCCCCCACTCCAAAAAAACGCGTTTAAAAAAAAAAAGAAAACGTGGTAACTTCTCTTTGCAGAACATTTTGCAACACGCGTTTTACACACACACACACACGCACACACACACACACACACACACACGGCTACATGCCACACTTGCTATGCTACTTTCGGAGCTGGTGGACGCCGGAGGTGATGTTAGGACAAGTAAACGCGTTGTAGTAAACATGGTAGTAAAAGGTCCGGGGGGGGGGGGGGGGGGGTGCAACGTATGCATAAGACGCGGCGGCCGGAGGATTCGTTTTGGGGGGTTGTTGTGTTTTTTTGCGCACATCCCAGATGAAAGTGGCGGCGCTTATCTCGCAAAGCAACGCGCTACACACACACACAACGCCTAATGCGCGTCCAACAAAAGAATGAGTGGGGCTGATCGCGTCTTCCGTCCCCCCCCACCAACTCTCCGAACACGCCAACGTCCACTTTTACGGCCCCGGCCCGACCCCGTCTGCGGCGACCCGGGCGGCTCCGTTACGCGCCGACAACTTGCGCCTCTATTTTTATTTGAGGTAAAAACCTACTTTTTTTTTGGATGGAAGAGGCGCGGGGGGGTGTTAGAGAACGAGGGGTCGATATATAACGATGCCGAATCTCGCAGCTGGTTCCGCTCGCGTGGATCGGCACCACAACTTGGAAGTTAAAGTTGCGCGGATTCACAGGATAAAATGTCCCACCGCCCCGGGAGCACTTTTCCTCCTCTCGCAACCATTTTAAAGTCCCGTCTCATTCCGCCTTGACACTTTTTCCTCCCGAATGTACGGCGCGTTTCCACGTCTACCCCCCCCCCCCCCCCCCCAAAAAAAAATGTCATGTCACGGGCTACATCCGACTGCTACATGCATGTCGTGCTACGCGCGCGCACATACGCCGGCTTCACATACGTGACACGCACACGTTAAAAGTCTCCCGGAGGGCGCGCTTGCTCGCATGCACGCATTCGCGCGCGCACACACACACACGCACACGCTTCATGCCGATCGCTCACACGCGCACGCGTGCACACACACACAGCCTCCGCATCCAAACTGCAAATAAAACACAACAACAACAACAACAACTACTACTACATTGTCCATTATTCCGCGTCCTGCTCGTGCAGGGACGGAGAGAGAGAGACAGGAAGAAAAGAGAGAGAGAGAGAGAGAAAAAAAGGGGCAACAATAGTCGCGATAAACGCAACAAATTCGGAATCGCGTTCCACGCCAGCGCGCACAAAAGTGCACATGTCAACAGAGTGGCGGATAAAACGCGGGCGGACAGAAGCAGATTTCGGACATACGCGCGTGAAAGTAAAGGCTCGGTGTACTTACGGGAGAGGCGGCGAGGAGATTAATGACACGACACGTCATGATTACGTTTCACTTGAATTAAATACATTACGAGTTGGGGGAAAAAAAATGGAAATCAGGCTTGTATACAAGCATACGCCGTTTCCCCCTCCCTCCTCCCTCCGTTTGCTCTCCCTCTCTCTCTCTCTCCCTCTCTCCTCCTCCTCCTCTCTTTTCTTTCCCTTCTCCCTTTCTCTCCTTTCTTCTTCTTGCACCCCCCCCTATTTATTGCACAGGAGTGGGTGAATAGGGAGAAAGCGGGAGGAGAAGTGGGAGGGAGAGTGATGTAGGTTGGGAAATGTTAATTATAATCTCGGCACGGGCACCATTTTACAGCGCTGTCATCTCCTCAACGTCTGCGTCCTAAATGCGGCGGCTGGTTGACACCTGAGACGCGCGGGTGGTGCTTTTTTTTTCTTGGTTTCGCTTTTTTTTGTGGGGGGGGGAGGAGGAGGAGAGGAAAAAGAAATAAATGTATAAATAAAGTTTCACACCGATTGACAGCACCCCGGAAGCACATGGCCGCTGGCAGGAGGGGGAAAGTGCACACTTTATAGGATGAATGGTTCCCAGCATAAGGTCCGGGGACCACCGGGACTCCCCGAGGGGGGGAGAAGGGGGGGGGGGGGGGGACACGCTGAGAGAATCGCTTCCTCAGGAAGTCAAATAAGTGCAGTTGCACTAAACCTTTCAAAGTGCAAACCCCCCCCCAAAAGAGAAGCAGCGTTCCTCTTTGTATAAATATATAATAATATGTCATATATATAAAAACACACCTCTGCACGCGGCAGCACCCACTGTTTTTGTCAGTTGAAAAAAGGGTTTAGTCGCGGCAGGTGCACGCCTCCTGCAGCCCACGTAGACCCGATTGAAGACACACGCGGGACCCCCCGGGTGTCGCCCCCCCCCCCGACGGGCCCGATGGGCCTCGCTGTGCTGCGGAGTCGAGCAGCAAAAAGCTTCTGTCCGGAGACTCGTCTTCTCTTTCAAAGGGATAGAAAGTCAGCCCTTAAAAAGTTACCCCCCCCCCCCCGTTCCAAACCACGACGGCGGCGGTCCGACGTCACCGGACGTTGAGTGAGAAGTTATGGAGCCAATGAGAGAGTCTCCTCCACCAGCTGGAAGCCGGAGTCTCCTCCACCAGCTGGAATCTTCAGATTCTGGACCTTTTCTCACCAGCTGGAAGCGGTGTTGGTGTTTTCTTTTCTTTCTTTTTTTCCCCCCTGGATAGTTCTAAGCTCATTGAATCATTTCCGTCGGACCTTCGCCGTCGATTTGCATCTAACGTCTAAAGCTACACGTGGCGCTGGCGGAGCGGCCTCCTCCTCCTCCTCCTCCGCCGCCGCCACCTCTCCGCCTTTCTATCAAAGAGGGTTCCAGAGCGACGCGCGGGCTACAACTGTTCACCTTGACACGTTGTTTACTTCACTCCCTCGCTCCGTGTTGACTCTCTTTTCTCACGACGGGTTTGTGAAACGCACACAAATAAAAAGACGCCTCCTCGGGCCGAAGGCCGCCGCCTGAATCAACGGCGTGAAGGTGAAATTCAAATGTCTCTGCTGACGCAGAACATATCTCCTGGATCAGCCATTGTGAGCCCGCCATTGTGCATCTGTGACTGACTAAGTCTGTGTGGCACATGTGCAGTGCACGCTTGTCTCACACAAAGTGAATCAGTGTGTGCGTGCGTGCGTGTGTGTGTGTTTTGCACATCAGCGGCGTGTATACGTGTGCAGAGATGATGTATGTATGCATTCTCTTTCTGTTAATGTGTCGCTGCAACTGAACTTATGTGTTGGCCTTGTGTGTGTGTCGGTGTGCCTGCCCCCCCCCCCCCCCCTCGCTATCTGTTTGTGTCTCTGCATATGCTCACGGTACATGTGTGTGCGTGTGTTTGCGGCTGCCACAATGGCATCACCACCCGCCCCTGACGCTTTGATTGTTTTCTCCGCCGCAGCAGAAATGCACCAATTAATATGCAGAGAGTGAGTGAGACGGTGACACACACACACACACACAGAGACAAACACACACACACAAACAGCCGTGAGGGAGGGAGGGAGGGAGGGAGGGAGGCGGGGCGGGAGGTGTGATGGAGAGAAGGAGTGAGGGGGGCAGAAGAGATGGCACAGAGGGAAAGAATGGGGGAGATGAAATGAAAGATGAGGAAAGTGTGTGTCTGTGTTGTGTGTGTGTGTGTGTGCGAGGGGGGGATGAGGGTGGAGGGGTGTAGATGGAGGAGAGGGGGGGGGGTGAAATTTGATAGATACTTGATCAAAAACAAGAGAGGGAGAGAAAGAAAGGAGTGACGGCTGAGGTGGGGAGGAGGATCAATACGTACATATTCAGTGAGATACGGTGGGAAATCAATTGAAAGGAGGGGAGGGGGAATTGATTCGGGGGTGTTGGTGGGGGCCCAAGGAAGGAGGGAGGGAGGGAGGGAGGGAGGGAGGGGGCAGGAGACGAGGGAGGAGGAGTGCAGAGGTGGAGTGATATGTGGCTACGGCTGCTGTCCTTTTTGTCGCAGTGTCAGGGTATTGATACAGTAATACACCCCCCCCCCCACACACACACACACACTCCTCACCCCCCTCACCCCACACAGACACACCATCAACCTCCCCCCCCCCCCCCCATTCACAATGCTGCCGTGACAACGGCTGTCGCGGCGACGCCTACTGGCACAATGCAGCCACAATACAGAGGGCACTGAAGCATCACACACTCACAGAGAGAGAGAGAGAGAGAGCGGGGGAGAGAGAGGGGGGAGAGCAGGCCAGAGAGACAGAAAGGAGGGAATGGATGAGGATGAATTTAAAAAAAAAAAAAAAAAAGGAGGAGGAGGAGGAGAGATATGAGGAGGGAGAGGTGGAGATTAGGAGGGAGGGAGCAAGACGGATGGATGGAAAGAGACGAGATGGAGGGGAAGGGTTGGGGGGACGGGGATTGATGGAGAGACAGGAGCGAGGGAGCGAGGGAGGGAGGGAGGGAGGGAGGGAGGCAGAGGAGAGATGTGGCTGGATAATATTACATGTGTAAAATGCCGGAGGGTGTGTGCCCATAGAAACATGTTTAATGGCTTTCATTATTGCAGGAACGTTGTGCGAGGGGCTTATTTTTTGGGTCGATGCATCCACTGTGTGTGTGTGTGTGTGTGTGTTTGTTTGTGCGAAAACAAGTGTTTATCCGGTAACGTGGATCCATTTTGGACGACAGCGACGCGATGCCCCCCCCCCCCCCCACATACCTGCGTGCAGACACGTGAAGGGGCTCATGATGTCGGGGGGGTTAACAGAGGTCAAAGGGGGCGGACAATGACCCGTTTTTATGTGGCGACTATCAGGAATGTTGGACATTGGACATTCAAAAGGTTCACGTAGCTTCAGGAGCACAGGAATTTTCTTCAGCCATCGAGGAACAGGGGGGGGGGGGGTGACTTTTTTTTTTTAACATTATATTCATCGGTGTTTCATCCGCTTGATTCGCCCTCGATCCAGAACGAAAAAAAAAATGTATTTTGTAAAAAAAAGTGAAACCGCACGAGTCGCGCCGGGAAAAACCTGCTGTCAGAGCTCATGTCTGAGTGCTTTAAGTCATTTGTCAACTTGTAATGAAAGCAACAAAACCCCCCCCGACAAAAACGACACACACACACTCACTCACAAACACACTGCCGGCTCTGACCTCCCTTCGCCAAAATGTCTGTGCCGGCATATTACTGTATCTCCCTCCAACATGCACTCTCATTTACAAAAGAAACGCTTGGCTGGCCGCCTACAAGTCAGTTTATCCGCGTGAGATGACCAAACGTCCCTCTTTTTCTCCCCCATCTCATACAGTGTGTGTGTGCGTGATCTATAGTTCCCTCCCTGCATCACCCCCCCTCCCTGCATCACCCCCCCTCCCGCACCCTAACCCTTCTTAATATGATGTAAAAAGCTAATCGCATGCAAATGTCTGTTGTCCCGGTAACCGGGCCTGAAAAATCCCTTTGATGTTTCCCCCGACTCATTCTCTTCACGTTCTCTTTGTTCGCCACAGTCTCTGCTGCTTTGTCAACATCCCCCCCCCTCCCCCCTTTCACCCCGCTCTCTCCCCCCGCTCTCTCCCTCTCTCCTTCATCCATTCTGCAGCTCTCTCGGCCCTCTCAGTTCTCTCCATTAGAAGGAGGAGAAAAAAAAAAAAAAAAGTTCCAACTCTACTTTGTGTCTCCCTCTTTCTATAAGCCCCCCCCCCCCCCCCTCCTCACTCGCTATTCTTCCTCTCTTTCGCCCCCTTCCCTCCCTCCCTCCCTCCCTCCTCTCCCCTCGTGCTCCTGCTCTCCCCCCCTTGACTGTGCCTCTCTGTCTGTCTGCCCCTTCGCCCTCGCTCATTTCCCATCATTCCCACCTACTGTCTCCTGTCCTTCTCCTGTGTCGCTCCCTTTCTCCCTCAGTTCAGCCCCTTCCTGCCTCCCCCCCCCCCCCTCCCCCTCCACTTTACCCTCCCTTTATCTCTCATTCCTCTCTCTATATCCCTCACATGCACAGATGGACACACACACACACACACTCGCTCTCAAACCGCCCGCCCTTCTCTTGGAGAATTTGATCCCTGCAACTATGTGATGTGGCGCTGCACACGGAGTTATCTAATCCTCGTCTCTGTGAGGTCTGGTGGAGGCGCAGCTGTAGAGACCCGCGCGACTCATCGCCGCGACTTTCGGGCCTTATTTTGAGGTGGGACCCGTTGCGAAGTCCCCCCCCCACGACCTTCAACCTCTTAAACCCCCCTCCCCCCCTCAGAGAGATCTGAAACTTGGATCCAGTTTTAATTCAACACAGACAAGTAAAAAAAAAAAAAAGGAAACACAGTACAATCATCAAGTAAGCATAACATGAATTTCCGACATTCCTCGCTCCGCATTCCTCCGCCAAAATAAAATGTAAACACCAGGCAGAGTGAGAGAAAAGTTTCCACGCGTTAACACTGTCTCGCCGCGCGGCGTGCAAAAGTGGGGAGTTCTTCGCGTGGCGCTCCGTGCTGCGGTAAGAGTGAACGATGGTGGTCACTGCATGGCTTCCAGGACGCCGCGACGCACCAAAGCGCCGCGAAGGGCGCGGAGGCTTCGCCCGGCCCAACAAATGGCGTATCGATTTGGAAACGGGCCCAATAGCCGTTTGCAATATTTTGAATTGGAATGCAGATGTGAGACGTGCTGCATGTGGTGCCGGTGGCGAGCGCGACCTCCCTCGGGCCGCCGCCTGATGGCTGTTTGACCTTTTAGCGCGACCTTGTTTGACACTGAACCGCATGCTATCCCCCGTCATGGACGACGGTCTTAACTGTCCTAAATGAACATGATACCTTTTGGTTTTGGCTGCTTCATCGTCGTCGTCATCGTATGAAGATGTTCCAGGCAGGAAGCTCGGGGAAGACGCGTTTCTCCTCAAGGAGCCGTGACTCATGAGCTAAAAGGTCTAGCTGGTGTTTTACAAGTGGAAGTTATTTCTATCACATGTCGCGTTACGTCTGAGGCATGACATCTTAAAAGAAATTGGGTTTCGACATTCCGTAGTGAAAGCTGAAAGATGAAGGGTGTTAACCGCTCGCATTTCTCGGGTCAGCATGTGGCTAGCCTTAGCATGCGTAGCTTAGCTTAGCATGGAGCCTGGAAACAGGGTTAGCCTAGCTCAAACCAGCCTTCTAGCACCTCTTAATTAAACTCATCGAAAAGCTAAATGTCAAAATGAGGAGTTGTTTTTGTCATTCTGTTTTTCTAACAACCTCACGGTGACGATTAGACTCCAGGAAGTTACACAGCCGAGCCAAGAAAAAGTTGACAACCGCCAGCTGTCTTTCTTTCTGCCTTAACCGAGGACATAAGCACTTAGTCTTGATTAACTGGATCTTTGGCAGATAGTTTTGTCACCCTTGCACAGAGGCAGGCTAGCCGTATCCAATCTTTATGCTAAGCTAAGCTATCTCGAATTTACTTCGTGGTCAAGACGGCAACACCGTTTCTCAAAATGTCAAACCGATCCATCATGATCATCATGAGACTCAAAAATTCCAAAACAGAGCTGCAAAGAAGCCTTTCGGGGCCTGGAAACCTCTCTTTTAGTCAAATAAACTCTTTAACGTTAATGTGCTTCATGTATTCTGGCTGCGAGCACAAAACCCAGAACAAAGCACATGAAACAGATCCACCTCTCTCCATCTCATGGAGACCGGGGCGCCCCGAATGCTACAAACACGTCTTTGTACATGCACCAACATTGCACAGACACCCATTTTATACCTCCTGGCACTTACGAATATGGAACATCAAAAGTTTTTAGTATTAGATACCTTGTCAGTATACTTACAAGAGCACCAGGAAGCCGGCGTTGCCGACGTGAGGTCTACTTTAAAGGGAGACTGAGTAGCGCTCCGTCCGGCTAATACCGCGCCGCTAGCTTGGACAAACAGCCTCGCCGCGAGTGATCAGATGTAGCTGTTGATTTAGCTGCTGTGCCAGGCTCTAAGGCGGCCTCGGCGAGGGCTTGTGAGCATGTGGATGTGAATAGAGCTCCACTGTCTTACAACAATAAGAATGACTGCACGTTGTGTGTGTGTGTGTGTGTGTGTGTGTGCGAGCGCACACCACCCCTGCCTCATTTACATAGATGCAATCACACCTAGGCAATGCCACACATTTTTACAAAAGGCCAAAAAAAAAAAAAGAAAAAGGAAAAGAAAAGCCCCACGGCGCTCCGCTCGGCGCGGCGAAAGAGTGGACGTAACACATTCCAGATCTGCGACCCCCGCGGTGGATTTACGCCCCTGCGTAGTACTTCCTGCTCATTGTCAGATGATGGAGCACGTGGTGCGTACGGGCGGCCGGCGGGGCAGTCAGTGGTTCAGACCAAGTGGTTGGGCCTAGTGGAGGGGCCGCGGGGGGGGGGCAAACAATGGGCGCACTTGTGTGGCCGAAGTGCCACTGGTGTCAATGACTCCGCCGGCAACTGAGGCTGGCAGATCCAAGATGGAGGCGCGCGGAGAGCCCCGCTGGTGCTTGTCGTGGTTTGAACGGGGGAGTTTGATCCTCTTTTTTTTTAGGGGGGGGCAGGGGGACAGGGGGTGGGGTGTCTTGGTGGCAGCTGTTTTTTCTTCTCCTTCCCGTGGGGTTCATATCAGAGCCGGGTGGTTTAACTTCAGCTAATCTGCTGGCATTTCACTCGTTTTAGGGAGGTGAAGGGTAAAGCTGGGAAAGTCCAAGTCCCCTCGTCTCTTGGTCCTGGTGGTCCGGTTGGGCTTTATTGAAGCGATTGAAAAAGCCCCAGGTTCCAGTTTTCTGATGAAAGAAAAAGTTAAAGGAGACCCAAATTAATGCAATAATACAGTGTCGCTTTTTAACGCAGGCAACTTACACCTGCGGTAGAAAAAGGAGAAAGGAAACGTGTAATAACAGGAGTAACTCACTGTGGTTGAGATGGCGGCTTACACGGCCGTGGAGGGCGACTGACTCTGAGGAGGAATAAAGAAAAAGCAGAAACAGTCACACGTGTGTGTTTCTTGATGTTTGCGGAGCGGCAATCCTCCCTCTGTTGTGCGTATCGCTGTCTGCGCGTTTGCCCTATCTGTTTGGGCTGCGTCCGTCCGTCTGTCTGTCAATCTGTTCCCACAGCCGTCTGTTTGCCAATCTGTCATATTCTGTTTGCTAGATAAGGAGGTTGAGACAATGTGTGTGTGTGTGTTTTAATTCATTGAGACTTCACCACGGAGTAGGAGGGCAGGTATTGCGGTTTCCTCGCGGCGAAGGAGACGAGGACTCGCTGGCTTTGTTCTGCTTGAGAATAGAAAGGTTTGTCTGAAGGACACACGTTTTTTTTGTGTAAATCACCTCTCTGACGCATTCGTCACACAACGACCCCACTAATCTCCAACATCGCATCACGTTGTTGCAGCTTAGGGACATTTAAGTTCCCCTAAGTTGTGTATGATGTGCACAATACATGACTGGCAGTGAAAATGGGCATTTTGGGAAGAATGTGACGTTGTGCATGAAAAACGGCCAAATTTTACTGAAAATTGCCGTTTTTTCCACCCCCCCCCCAAAAAAACACCTGAGTTTGGCGTTTTCGGGGCAGCAAGGCCGTCCATCTTCTGCATTCCATGCGAGTCGGCGACAACCGGCGCATGCTTACAAAGAATGCTGTACTCATTTGCAGTCCCGCCGGCTCGTGTTTGCGAGCTAAAGCCCCCGTAGTTACTGCGCCGTTACTGCGCCGCCGTTTTTAGGAAATGCACATTCCACCCGAGAAAAGCACTGCGGTGCGACACGTCCTCCCACTTTCAAATCAGAACCGGGAGTTCCATCAGTTTCGGCAAGTAGGAAATGCCGTCATCCACTTTGGAATCAAGGGAATGTGTGACCCCCCCCACCTGGGTGTAAGTCGTTGATCCGGAGCTTCTCCTGGGGTCCCTTCCAGACGCCGGGGATCCCCCCTCCTTCTGACTGCCGACGGAGGAGGAGTCCGAGCAGCTACTGTGGACTGAGGGGGGAGAGCAGGTGTTAGACATCATGCATCCAGGGCAGGCCGCTTTTGCTCCAGGTACTCGATTGGACGTGAAATGACGGCACCCGATCGGGGTTTTCGCGCAGGCATTCTTTGCATTGTGCACTTTTTTTTTTTGCAACGCAGACAAAATTCCCGTGTCACAATGTCTCCCTCGAGATGGCAAAAGAGAGACGTGTGCGTAGGAGAGACAAAAGGGAGAGGAGTCACAGAGAGAGAGAGAGAGAGAGAGAGAAGGCATTTTTTCGCATTTTTTTGCATTTTTTCTTAAACACAGCGTTCTGTCCCAGCGGACAATTCCCGCATTGACATGCGGAGCTGCTGCCCTCAATGAGACACCTGGCGAGCAGTGTGCACACTACACCGGGCCCCTGAACGGGGAAGCACTCCGGCCCCGGGGGGGGGGGGGGGGGGGGCAGCGGCGGCCTCGGGGAGGCTGGCTGCTGGAATCCGGGGAATTAATAGTCGTTTTTATTTTTTATTTTTTTATTTTTTTATGTCTCGATTTCGGCGCCGCGGACGCACACATTGTTAGTCGACGTATTGTTCGGATTGCGTAGCGTCGCCGTGCGACAAAAAGGTCACGCTCTGTGTCGCCGGGCCTCTGTCGGCCCCGTCTCAGTCGGTGAATTCCTCGTCCCTCTGAGTGAGCAGGAAACCGGCCGGCGGGGAGAGTTTTTTTCCCTTTTCATGGAAATTGGCAGATTTGTCTTCATTCACGTCACTGTGAGCGTTAAACACGTGTTTAAACTGAAGTTTTTACATTGCTGGGATCCTTTTAGCTACTCGGAACTATTTCTGCCTTTGGTCATGTGGCTAAAAACCTTGTTGTTAAAGTAAACATTGGAGGGTACAAGTCTGAGATCATTTCTTCATATTTGGCTCCAGTGATGAATCGCTCCAATTTAAACGGATCCCGATACTTCTACAGTGACGTAACACCAGATGCTCTACGGTTTGCGACCCGTGTGTCAGAATTCGGATGGTTCTGTTTGTAGCTACGTGCTACGTGTTCTCTGCCGGCGCGTCGAAGCATTTCGAAATGTCTCGGTGTGAGTCAAATATAAAAAATTCATAGGACAGCTCGGGGGGGGGGGGGGGGCAAAAAGCACACCACCCGTTTTCCCCGTCACACGGAGAGGAGCGTTTTTACCAGCACGCGTCAGTTTTAGCTCGAAGCGGTTTCCTTGACTCCCCCCCGTTGAAGGTCTACCTCTGTCGTTGAGACAGTAGACGGAGTCCAGCTCTGGGCCCGGCGTCCCCGTGGCGTCCAGCAGCAGCTTGCTGGAGATGCCCATGCAGAGCGACTCCTTCAGACACAGCTCTGGGGGGAGGAGAGGAGACGTTTTCGATCAGGGAGGAGCTCCGAAATGACCCGCTTTGCACAGGCCTGTCATGAAAATACCCAGAGTAACCAAACTCCCCATCTTCGTCTCGCGGAGTCGCTCCAACGCACAAATATTTCCACATGGACGCGGTCGTTCAGAGCGAAAGCCTGGCAAACGCCGCTCTGTTTCATTCATGGGAAATTAACACCAGCTGGTCTGCAGGCCGTCCTGTTGGCCTTTTTGTTTCTTTAGTTTACAAACGCTACTGCCGCCTGCTGGCGGGGGGGAGTCATTGCCGCGCAACGTCCCCGAGCGGGTTTGGTGCGACCGGGAAAGTGCGTCTTTGTTTTCCGACGTTACTGGTGCCGAGGCCCACTTGAGGGTCAAAGGTCGCAATGTACCGGTGTTGTTGATGGCGTGTGTCCACAGCAGATGGGCGATGTCCCGGGTCCAGGCCGCCTTGTCCTCGGCGTCCTTCGCCTGCAGCGTGACGCAGTCTCGGGTCCGAGGAGCCTGCCGCACCCAGACTTCGAACTTCAGCCCCTCGCCGCCCACGCTCTGGGTCAGGCCCATCTCGCCGGTCTGCGAGCGGGAGAGGACGACACGTAAAGGTCAAGAGGACGGAGGCAAATGGACAAAAACTGTCGGAGGGGAAAACAATAAGCAAAATAAAGTTTCAAAAAGTGACTCCGTGTTTCATTTTATCTCTGCAGACGGAATTTTTCTCATCCGAACCCTTCAAACACGCGGCGCTCGGCCCGCGAGATAATGAAAATGAAATTGAATGACAGTGTGTGTGTGTGTGTGTGTGTGTGTGCACCTTGATGCTGTGTTTGTAGCTGTAGGCGGAGCGTCCCGGCGCCGGGCTCTTCTGTTTGGCGAAGACGACGGCGTGCTGGTAGAGGAAAACGTTCCTCACGCCCGCCCGCTTCCTCCGGGTGCCGCCGCACACCATCAGCTCGCCGTGCCGCACCAGCTCGCCGCGCTCCGCCACCGGGATCTGAAACCACACACGCACACACACACACACGCACACACACACACGTTAGGATGCACTTATCTGGGCCCAGAGCTTTAATCTGCTAAAGATCCCATCTTCATTTGTACCTTAAGAGGCCGTTTAGCCTTCAAATCTTTTTGCCTTTTTGCAGATCCAGTTTAATTTAATTTTACCGAAACAAGTCAAATGATGGAAAATGGGCTTTTTTTTTTTTAAAGACAAACCGAGTGAATAATCTCAGACACTTTGGAGCATATAACATAAACGAAAAAAGCGCCGGGTGCGTTCGTTTGACTGCGTTAAATCTGAAAGTCTGCATCGGGTTCTAGAGTGACAGGCGCTGGTTTTTGGGGGACTTTTCCTCCCCGCGGAGACTCGTCAGAGCCTTGTTCTCGAGTCAAAAGACGACGGGACAAAGCGGCGTCATAATTACGGGCCTCTGCGTGGTGACACGCCGAACTCCCTCCTCGCGCCGGGTGGATGCTTCCATCGGTGACTCACGCGCCTTCTTAGCAGCGCTTTCACTTCGTTGTTCACGTCAAATTGCAGCGTTGACGGACGTTGTGGCGTTGTTTTTGCGACGCACAGAGGTTTGCTAAAGGTCGGCGTTCACGTGACCCCTGCTGCAGTACTCGGTAGAGGACAAGGGGAGACACAAAGAGACGTGGAGGACACAAGCGATACGAGCTACCGGTGGGGGAGACAGTTTACTGGCAACGCTGATTATTTTTAAGCCTGTAGAGATTTTAAGTGACGCTTCACACACACACACACACACACACACACACACACACACACACACCTGCACTCACGGTCTTTTCACTTGAAGAGCTTTTGCAGAGCGATTTAGAAGTAGCTCAATGGAAGGGTTTGTGCTGCCGTAATCTCCCCCCTCCTCACTCGCAGAGGGGGAGGAGAGAGTGTGTGTGTGTGTGTGTGTGTGTGTGTGTGTGTGTGCGCGTGGGAGTAAACGCTTGTCACGACTAGCTCTGAGTGATACTGCTGTGTCAGAGTGGCAGAATATGGGGCAAGTGGATGTGGGGGGCTTTCTAACTATTTTCAAAAAGTTGTTTTTAATCCGTAATGGACTGAAACACTGAGTCTTTTCTCCCGCTGACGACTTTTATTTCATTTTTCTTCTGGACCCGCAGTCCGGATTTAGATCCAGATTTGAACTGAAAATGTTTTGCTTCATAACGCACTTCTTCTTGTGATGAACAAACCTCAAAAGCGTCTCCCAGTATGAAGAAAAAATGAACCCCAGCGATCTAAAACCCACTTCCATCGCTGCCTGAGATGTTAGTCTCCCCCCACCCCCCCCCTCCCCCCCTCAGGGAACAGAAAGTGGGACTCGATCATAAACTGGGCCAGGCGTTCTCACCGGACATCCCACGATGAGGTCGCTGGCCCGGAGGTCCTCGCCGTGCCGCTGAGCGTGTCTCAGGATGGAGAGGGCGGAGTCGGAGGCGGGGTTCATCCCTCCCAGCTCCTCCAGGGCCTCGCAGTACTGCTCCAGCCTCTGCGTGGGGGCCTGGAGGCAGTGGGGGAAGGACAGCGGGGAGAGGGGGGAGGCCGGGGGCAGTTTGGACTGCGGGAGGGAGGAGAGGGGAGTACCGAAGGAAAACGGTGTCTCAACGTCATAACCACACCATTACATTTGTTTACCATGATGCTAAAGGACCCATTTACAAAGTTGCCAGGTTGGATTTTCGCCTTCTGATTTATTGGGTCTCTCTCAGTTTATCTGTTTCCATTACGTCAGATGTTTCACTAGTTATGACTGTTCCATCACATCAATAACACAAACGTCTGGCCACAAATAAACAAACAAATGTCCCCTGTGCAAGATAAGTCACTTAATGTAAAGCCCGTTGGAGAGTCTCCGAGGGAAATCCCATCCTGCTTTGGGGAGGTCCGTCCCCCATCCTCCCAGCAATCCTCACCCCCCCACCGTCCCCAAGATGACCGCCATCATCCCGTCCGTCCCCACAAAACCAGCCCCCGTGAACCCACACCGCCCCCTGCTGGCCGGTCCTCAGAGGTGCTCCTTTAGGAGTCCCCTCGGTGATCTCACCGGGCCGTCGACGTATTAGTTTTACTCAATTGTTGCTCACAAGCTCAAATGACTTTCTCTATAATCCGCCTTTAAATGGCTTTTCTAATTGTGTACAATTAACATATAATTAGCTTTACTGTATACTTTACTCCCCCTTTTTTTTTTCCAATTGCAGAAACCGTTGGATAATTGCCACTTACAATCATATCCTCACGTCGTGGTTAAACAAGATTTCCTAAATTAAATAACTGCATAAAAATGTTTAGAGCCTCTACGAGTGTATAGATGTGTGCATTCATCTGTGAGCCGACGGGGGGCTTTTCTTCTGACCTTAAAGAAGTCGGCGGCCTGAGTGACCAGCGGAGAGTCCAGTTCTGGTTTGTTCCTGATGTAGTGGGAGTACTGCAGGAACTGCTCCCGCTGACAAGGAGACAGAAACGAGCGCAGTGAGAGTTTTTCCTCCTTTTGTTCCTCTGGATTTGAAACGATCAAGAAATGAGTTCAACGGGAAAATTATGAATTCGTTTGAGCTTTTAATTTGACGTATTCTGGAAAACTAAAAGCCACAAACTGTAAAAAAATAAAAAATAATAATAATTTTGTCAGAGTAACTCTCTTCAGTAGGAATAAACAATGATAACAGCAGTGAAATGTTTAATATGATCGGATGGAAGACGTGTTAACATGATTTCTTGAGGTTTGACTCTAAACACGCTTTTAAACGTCAACAAACCAACAGCCAATTAGATAGAAAATTAAAGTATTCAACACACAGTTGGACTTTTACATCAAAGTCTTCAATAAAATACAACGCTGGACGTCTGTAACACTGGTTTCCTGTAAAGCTCTACATCGAGAAATAATATGTTCTTCCCCCCGTGTGGGTCTTACGTCTGCTCCTATGCACAGTCGCATGCATTCATAATGGGTGTACATAAATAATATATGCAACGTAAGGGTTGATTCTTCTCTTCCCAGAAGGAGGTTAAAAGGGTCACGGACCAGAGCGGTCGGACCGAACCAAGAAGCCAGACTTTAGAATCCACGACTTTTCCCAAACTCCCAAACTCACATATTTGCTGAAGCAGTCCTGTTGCAGCAGGCTCTGCACCAGCGCGCCCTCCATGGCCGGCAGAAGGTTCTGCGAGTGGAAGGCGCTGAGTGCGGCCCAGTTGGGGAAGAGGACGTCCGCCTTCCACCTGAAGGAGGCCGGTGTGTCCGAGAGCTCCAGCAAGGGGAGGTACGTCTCCTCCACCCCCTTCAGGATGGCCACATACTGCCTCTCGGAGCTCAGCATCCTGCACCACAGCAGGTACAGTTTACTGCGGCGGGGGGGAGGAGAAAACAGGGTGAGGGGGAGAGCAAAGCCCACTTGGGAGACGGAGGAGAAGAGGGAGGGAGGAGGAAGTGAAGAAAGCACTGAGCGGTGATGGAATTGAATTGTTCTGAAACAGACTCCGGCTGAAAACAAAGATGAATCGTTTCTCTTTTTGATCTCAGCCTGGCCTTTTTTTTTTTTTTTAAAGGTAATTTAAAAACGTTGGTTCTCGCTTCAGAGCGCTCAGCCAGCTCCAAAGCTTCTTCTCCTCATTAAAGCTCAGACACAGAAAGTTTCCTGGAAATAAAATAAAAAGAAGGGCAAGCGGGACGAAGCGCACCTCTGTGCAGTCGATCCGGCCCTATCGGCCCCCGTCTCCCTCTCCGTCCTCCCCAGCAGCACGTGTTGCCGTGGCGACCCCGTGTGGTCCACCACCTCTTTGCTGCTGACCTCCACCCCTCGAATCAACACGCCCCCTCCTCCTCCTCCTCCTCCGCCTCCTCCGCCTCCTCCTCCTCCTCCCCATCCAGGGATGGCCGCGGCCATGCTGGTGGCGATCACGGGGTCGGCCACCGCCCGCCTCCCCAGCCACGACATGGGCGAGTTGCGGCTGGCCCCGCCCACCGGGGACTCTGCGGGCTTCGGGGAGGCCGTGGCTCTGCGGGGAGCCAGGAGGGCCTGGAGGTCGAAGCTCGGGTGGCGCCTCCTGGGCGGCTTCGCAGGGAGCGGCGCCTCTGTGGGCTGAGAGGGGAGGGACGCGGTGTTGTTTCTGAAAGGACTGCGATCGTTTCTGATCAAATTGGACAAATATTCAAAGCGAGAAAAAAAAAAAAAAAAAAAAACTCACGCTTTTCTTTGCGGGATTCAGAAGGTTCTGCAGGAAATTCCCCCCGCCGGCTCCGCCCCCTCCACCTCCCGCCCCGCCTCCCTCCTTCCGCGTCCCCTTCTCCTCCCCGATCTTCAGCGTGGAGCAGGTCTGCGGTCGGAAGAGCGACGCCAGCGACCCCCAGGACTGCAGCCCCCCGTCGCCTCCTCCGGCCCCCAGTCCCCAGTCGCCCTGTCCCTCGGGACCCATCAGGTCCCACAGGCTGCTGGCGGACGGCGTCTTCGGCCTCCCCGGGGCCTGGTTCTGGGCCCGGTCCGTCTGTAGGAAGCGCGGCTTGACCTGCGCCACCGTCCGCTGGTAGCGCTCCACCGTCTGCGTCCAGAGGTCCAGGAGCGCCCCGCCGCCCAGCTCCATGGCCAACGAGCGGGCGTCCTGGAAACGGGACGGGGGGATCGGGGGGAGGGAGGCCAGAGGGCAGGTGGAGGAGGCCGAGGAGGACACCACCTCGCACCACTGGGTGGCCTGGGGAAGAGAAAACAGGGGGACATTTCAAAACCCGCCAGCGTGCGACGGGAGGCTCCCCGCCTTCGAGGCGTCCGGTGCGGCGCTACCTCGGTCAGCGTGGACAGCAGCCTCTGCGTGTTGTCCAGGGTGGTCCAGCAGTCGGACAGACAGTGGGACATGTCTCGCAGCTTCTCCCTGACAGGGGGAAGTCGGATCTGGACGGCGCTCAGGCCCGCCCAGTCCAGCTCGCGCCAGCCCTCCAAATCGCCGAGCACCGCCAGAGTCTCGCTGTGCAGCCCCTGGAGGATTCGGGGAGATGCGTGAGGTCTCCAGTGTCTGCTGTGGGAGGCCGGACTGGATGGATTCGGGAAGCCATGAATGGAACAAAGGTGAACATCCGGACGGACCTCGGCGTTTGCCGCGAGAATAACACGTACACCACTGACCAGGAAAGTGGGATCAAGGCACACGAGCTATTGGCTACCAAGGTCTTTCAGGCTGGGACATAAAATACTTTTATTTTATCCCCCCAAACATTCAAATGTTACAAAAACAAGCTTTAAAGCAGCACTCGTCGTATGTGAATTATTCCCGATGGCGTTGCTTTGGTGTTTACGTGTCATTCTTGCTTCTACCACCGTAAGGCGCTAAACATAGTGGCTTGCACCACATTCTATCATCGTGCGCACACACACACACACATGCAGGCGGTTCCGTGCCGTTCACATATCCGGCGCCGGGGGAGGAGCAACACTCACATCGGCCGTTTCTCTGAAGGTTTTGAACTTTTGCTGTTTGAGCGAGAGCCTGCTGAGGGACAGAGGAGGGTCCTTGTAGTCCTCCAGATGGGACTGGACTTGCTCAATCTCCTTATCACACTGGGGTATGAGACAGAGAGGGAGACAGGGGTGAGGGGGGGGGGGACACCCTACACGAGGGACGTGAATCACTGGCGCGGAGAAGGAAAGAGGAAGAGAGAGAGGTCGGCGGTTTATATTGTTTTTTAGACGACCACGTTACGCATTTGATCCAAAATACTATCTATTGTGTCCATCTTGTTCTGCTCCGTGTGACCCACACAGGGGGACACATCGGGGACATTTAGGAGGAAACACAGCCGTCAGTAAACACAGAAAAGCAGGGACTTTCCACCCAAAAGCCTGCTGGGAATTATGGAGCAGAGTGAAACAAGATTATACAGAAACTCTGGATTAAATCCTCTAATCCGCTAACTACTAACTAACCTCTAACTTCTACAATTACAATCACTCACGCACCTTTTCCAGTTTGTCCACCAGCCCCGCCAGTCGTCCCAGAGCTTCCAGGTCGCGACCCCTCTGGTTGGACACTCGGACGAGCCGGTGGAGGGCGTCGTCCACGCTGTCATAGAGTTTAGAGGTCGCGGCGAGAGCAGCTCTGATGGGACAAAAAAAAAAAAAAAAGTGGGAAAATGATTCATTTTTTCTCCCTGTTCTCCTTCGGGTGACAGTGAGAACTCGGCTGGTGGAAATGATATGTTTATGAAAAACCAAACCGCCGCGCAAAAAAAGCACAAACAAGAAGGAATCGAGTAAACAATCAGCCGATGCTCGTGTTCGGGCCGCCCTCTTGTGCAGAACGGGCCAAAACTCATTACTGGATACGAAGAAAAGCCACAGATACGGCCTTTAGATCCCCTTTGAGTCGTCGCCGGCCACAAACAAACAAGTCGTCCGTTTGATGTTAAGTTCACGTTCCTATTTCTCCCCCCGGCTGGTATTCGTTCTTGGACTGAAAACAAACAACTTTTATTTTTAACCTATAACTCATGACAAAAAAAAAAGCCCTCAATCAAATAAAAGCACACGCAGATCGCTCGACCGAGCTGCTCGTGCACGGTGGTTTCTGCACGTCTGAGCATTAAACCCAATTAGAACAGATGCTCGTCGTGACGTCTTTGTAGTTAAAATAGTCCTACTTCAGTGGGCCTGTGTATCATGTGAGTTCCAGCTGCGTGCAGTCTCATCAGCACCGCAACAAGAACAAGCGTATGCAGGTGCACACGCCGCTGCTGTAAATAATGAGTCCTTTAATGCAACCGTACACATACTGAATATTATTAGACAATTTCTCTCACTCATTTCCATGATAATAATCAATTCCCTGTATGGAGATACAGTCGCTGACTTCATGTTTAACGCGTGGGGTTCTGCAGTGTTAAGTTGGCAGCATTAACGTTGCCATGTTTGGTCAAAATTCAGAATTTAAACACTAAGTTGACCACCCGAAAACAAGCCGCGGACTTTACATCAAAAGCAAGAAGGGTGAAAAAGACAATATGACAACAAAAGGGAGCAGAAAGCAGCATAGAAATTCCGGTACCTGCAGTCCGGCGACTTCTGCGCCAGCCCAGTTGCGCTATTGGTCAGCCCTGCGAGCCATGCCCCGCCCCTTTGCTGTGGCTCCGTCAAGCGCGGGTCCGCCAGGACGCTCGCCATGAGCTGTCCGTGTTTGACGATGCTCAGGGGGACGGCCTGGAGAAGAGCAACGCGCCGATTGGCCTTCAAACTGTCACATGCCATCAAATCGCTGACACGGCCTCGGTGCGAGGCTCGCGGGCGGCCTGCCGTTACCTTGATGTCGTCCGGCATGGGCTCGGTGTCCATAGAGCGCAGGGCTTCTCCGAGGAGCGCGACGGCGCCCTCACAGTGCTCCGTCAGACTCTCCAGGCTCTGAATACGATCAAAATCAGCGGACTTCAGATTAGCATTTACTTCACTTTTTCCATCTTCAAAGTCCGTGGGAGAGGTCAGAGGAAGTGCAGAAGTCGGGAAAATGTTTCCATCTGTTTGGATGAAGCAACATAAACTGTCTCGGAGGGGTCATTAAGAGCCCTTAAGTCTCTTCTCACTCCTCCCTTGCCTTGATTTATCGTCCACACTCTGATCATCACTGAGTCTCTGAGGTCATCGACCACCACGGCAGCCCACATCCTTCCTCCACTCCAAACTCTACTCCCTCGCTTTTTGTGGGCCAACGTTTAACCCGAGGTTCGAGTAGAGCAAGCGCGACCGGTAAAAGTTGAAGCGTCTCACTAGTCTGAAGGCCAGCCAGTCAGCGTGACAGTGGGCGAAGTCTCCGTCCATCTCTTGGGGCAGCTGCTGCTTGTCGACGTGCAGCTGAAGGACAGCTGTTCCTCGCGCCACGTGGATCTGCGCCCCCAACAGGAGACGAGGAGAAAAATAAGCTCATTCATCAGCAGGAATGAAAATAATTGCGAGCGAAACCACCAAAGGTCACGCGCCTCGCAGCTCAACGGATTTCCCTTTACTGGAATGTTTTAACGCTGCCAAGTTAAGATAAAAAACACATGGCGATCGGCGCGGAACAATAAGCTAAATTGATGGTAAACTTTGACTCTATATGTGACAAACGTATGGAAATGAGGTTAATCGAGATTCAGTCATTCAAGCAGGGGACAGGAATGCGCATGAAGCGTAATTTGACTTTCAAAATGGCCGATATGCCTGCAGTTATCGTTGGCCAACGCAGGTTCACTTTGTAAAGGTTTCCGACACACAGTTTGTTTCGACATGTTTTTTTTTATGAGTTTCTTGTGGGTGTTCTAACTAACTAAAATGAATAAAACTAATTGAACCAGGAGGAAAGGAACAAAGCTATATTGTGTGTTTGCACGATCATAAACATGCGGCATGTTCCGAATGAGGTCACCTCGGCTCCTTCCACGTCATGAGAAAGGGACTCCTGCTGCTCTCCCAACAAAACCAGAACAGATCCCAGGCCGCCCGGTACCGACACCTGGCACACACAGAGAGCACATCGGGAAAGAACACACTACTTAATTACATCTGCAGGCTGATTAGAGCAACACAAGCAATCATTCAGTACACTAATAAAAGGGCCAAACCTTTTATCTCACCTGGAAGGATTTAAGGGCAGCGAGAAAGAGGGTGGAGGGCGGAGCGCGCCTGCTGTCCATTAGCACCGTGAGACCTTTTTCTTTAGCTGCAGGCCTGATGAGGACATATGGAGGGTTTAACCGGTATTGAGTCGGCCCAGGTAAGCTTCAAGATGTTTGCTAAATTGACTTTAAATCGGCTCGTGATTTTGTCTGCTACCTGGCACATGCCGAGTCAGCAAAAAGCAAGTCAAGTCAAACGTAACAACGGAGCCCTTTGGACTGAATAGGTTGCAAAACCACCAAGCGGGAAAGCGGAGGTCGATTCTGGGAAACTTCATGGGAATTAAATGAATGAATTCTGCCATTAATATTAGGCCCGAAACATTGAAAAGTCTTAACTCCGAATTACCGAGTAATTCTGTGGTAACAGGCCAAGACCCGGGCCATCTCCTCCTCCGAGACGCCCTCCACTGATGCATCCGTCTCTGTGACCACCAGAGCGCGTCCCAGCCTGTCCACTGTCCCTGTGGTCGGTGTGACAAGATAAGAGAGAGGTCTTACACTACAGGCTAGATTGTGTTAATTGGACAGATAGGGGCCAATGTGTGTACTGGACAACAAATTCCCACATCCAAAAGAAGAAAATAAGAGTTTTGAGCTGAATGCTAACTATCATAACAAATATACAGGCCTGAAACACACTTGCCTGTCAACTTTAGCTTCCCTGACTGTAGAAACTCTCGGTCCAGTTCCCTCAGCAGGGGAGGCTCTTTCGATGTAACACCATTTAGTTGGTTGGGACTTGTCTGTCCTGACCCTCCCTCCTCTTTAGAGTGGTTAAGTATAGATGTGCCTGATTGGCCATTGCAGACAAGCAAAGATGCGGCTTCTTTATCTGTTAAAGGGACACAATAGTTACAGAAAGTATTCCAAGGGGTATTTTGGAGATTTCAGCATCAAACGCTAATGCATTATATTCTTCAGACCTGCACTGCTTTTCCTTGTATCCCCTGTCCCCTGATGAGTTGAAGCCGGCACTCCGTCAGGTTCGTCTACCCGTTTCCTTGCCTTTGATTGGTCCTCCTCGGTGATCGGTAGCTTTGGCAAGGCAGAGCGGGTCGTGGGAATTGGTTTGTGCAGTTTTACCTTGCAGTTTTGATCCCTTCTGGTGTACACGACCACCCGACCTAGCCCTCCCTTTGGCCCCCTTTCCCTTCCTTTTCCTCCTGAAGACAAAGCACAGGATGGTACTAATGAGGTTAACAGACAGTTAATAATTTGTATTAATTTAGCAACGTATTCTTTTGGACACAAAGTGTCTTTTGTGTATATATGTGTATATGTTTAGATAACTTGTACAAGGAGTTTGCTCCAAAGTATTACTCATCTGTACTTTTTACAGAACTATAACACAAATCAATCGAATAGGCAATAGGAGGGCCTATAATAAATAAGTCTACCTTGGTACTCTGAATCCAGTTTTAACTTCCTTTCCTGTGGCACAAGCTCTGTCCTCTGTCTTTCCGTCATCCCTTTCCTTGTTCGCCTTTGGCTTGGACGAATTCTTCAGTTTAGATCCAACAATTTCTCCACTTTCCAAAACTCCGGTATAGGGTCTCTCCGATGCATCTGACGTTGGGGTTGTGGCGTCACTGTCTTCGTTCACTGTTTTTTCTGCATCCTCAAAAACAGAGTCTGAATGAGATCCGTGATCTGAGTGGCCGTCTATGACATGCCCGACTTTGAGGTTCCTCGAGTCACTGACAGAACTATCGGTGCTCTCTGAGTCTTTACCCCTGAGGTTGTCTCTGCACGGCTGTGTGAGGCTGCTGCTATCTCTCTCCTTGCCCACACCGGGCCTTCTCTCTTTGAACAGGCTATCAAAATAAGGCCGGTGGCTCTCCAGACCCTCAGAGTCTCTGCTGGTTTTATCTCCCTCATCAGAGTCGTGGACAGAAGAGGAGTAAGACTGCCTCCCTTTTCCACGGTCAGGGACTGTGCGTGGAGGCCTTTGTGGTAAAATGTCACCTTTTGGGGTAACTACGTCCCTTTTGGAACCGAGGACAGCTCGAAAGCTTCCGGACCCTTCCAGTCTCCCATATCCCCAAGCCCTACCCTTTCGGAGTTTTATGGCTTTGCCTCTCCTGCACAGGGGCAAAGTCTTGGTCTTACAAATTCCATGCATCTCCAGGTACCTTTGCCTTGTGTCAACCCCTCCATCGGGACCCACTCTGGGCTCCAACAGCTCCACATAGTCCCCGTCCAGCTGAGGGTGCCTCGCTGTCCGCCCAAGCCCATCTTCGCTGCGCCTTCTCCGAAGAAGTGCAGGCTCAGAGTCCGATCTATCTGGTGGTAAACCATCGTCTTCCTCCTCATCCCAGGACCAGGAGTCCAGTTCTCCCGAGGACGAGCCCCCCCAGCCCCCGAGGGTGCTGCCCCCCTCACTGGGCTTGCGGTTGGACATCAGGCCCAGCTCCTCAGAAGGGTCGTGGATGAATTTGGGGTAGACAACCTCCTTCCATGGAATTCGAACCACACCGTCACATGTACTGACCAGGCAGGTGTCCAGTCCTCCTCCAACTATGCAAAGATAAGAGGGGAATAAGTTCTACAATGAACAGAACATAATCTAGAGAAAACACATGTTTAAACTGTAGCTTTATAACATATACCTTTATTTTCTCTTGTGGCCTTCCACATGACATCCTTTGGTCATAAACCAAGCGTCCCCTGGACATCGGTTTCACTTCCCTTGGTTTAAGTGTCTAGTCTAGTAGTCTAGCTCACAAACATGCTGGCTAAGCTACAAAGTTTATCACTTCCGCCTAAAATCCAAATTACGAACATACACCTTAAGTAAACCTTAGTCGAGCATCCTGATTCACAACTTGAAATACAGTCAAATAGTAAGTAAGGAAGTAATAGTCCGATCGAAAGTTAGGAAAACGATATGTCAATGGGAATCCTTTCCTTACGTTCTCTCTTATGGCCTCGTTCCTTGTTCACGCTGTGCAGCCACTCAGTGGTGAACACGAGGGGGTGCTGGGACTCGGGTACCAGGATTTCCTGAACGGTGCGCCCGCCAGGGGCCAAACATTTCAGGGCCAGCCGGGGGCAGCGCGTAGAGAAGGGCACCACCTGCAGGTAGAAGTCGTAACTCCGCAGGATCCTCCAGTCCAGGGTGGAGAGCTGTACGACCACTTTCTCTCCTAAACACAGAGGCCAGCCGGAGTGAAGGAACAAGCAGCCCAGGTACTGAGACTGGAAGAAAGAACAGGAGAAATGACTTTAGGAACATACGATTGAATTGAAATTGCCCTTTAAAATCTCACCTTTTGGAATCCCAAAAATGAATACTTATGCACCCCCGAACTTTGCCCCCCCTCCCTTCCCCACATCTGTCAGTTGGAGCCACTCTGCCGATTGTTTTCGCCGATGCAGTGAGTCAAACTTCTAGAACCGATAACGCACCAGTCAACACTATTCAGTAGCTCCGCCGGTCGAAAGGCAGTGCCAAATGCACAAATGTCAAACATGTGACTCACAGTGTTTTTTTCCAAAGTGTAAAACCGCTTAGCTGGCATGACATAGTGAGAAGACTCTGGATGGCTACAGAGGGCCCGGGTGAGTCAGATGGAAACATGCTGATGGCCACAACAGCCAGCCCACTGTTTCAGAGGCAGAAAACACACAGAGCGGCTCTATAAGCCTGAGAAAGTCAATCTGAATCCAGTATATTTAACAACACGGGTCTAAATATAGAGAAAACCTCACAACAAAGAATCAACTCCAGAGCTCTGTGAATCTAGGCGAAGGAGAGAAGGTCCCATGGGAGATCAACTGATTCGTTAAGAAGAAAACAACTTATTTCAAACACCATTTCTCAGCTTTTGAATCAATCCTCTTTCAGCCCCACATGCCCTCTCAGACAGTGTGAGGGATAAAAGTCTGCAGAACCGCAGTACACGTTCACGTCTGATCGACTGACTCTGGGCTGCTCCCTCGCGCCTCCCTGCCCTCCCGACTCATGAGACGTGATTAAATTATATTCCTTACTCGACCTGTCCTCCATCTTCCCTTTTCTGCCCCTGCGTCTCATTCAATTCCCCTCATTTAAGTCTTGTTTTCCTCTCACGGGCTGTTGCCGTGGCAATGTGTTGGGGGGAAACACGGGGTGGAAATTAGTACTAAAAACCGGTGTGACTTTTCCCTCTATTGCAACCTTGTTTTTTTTCCTGCTTTCAGCCAGTCGACATTCTGTACCTCCCTGTGTCCTCTGCCTCCCCCCCCCCCCCCCTCTTCTCCTCTCCTTGCTCCCTCAGAGTACCCCAGTGTTTGCTCCTTCTTCCTCGCCTCCCTCGTTCACATAAATCCTCAATCAGTCTATAGTCCGCTTCCTCCGGCATCTTCTCTGTTTTTTTGGGAGGCGGGAGCTCGGTGAATGAAAGCCACGTTCTTTTTCTCCTTCGACTCCCAGCACATCGGTCTCTTTCTCTCACAGCAGGAACACAGGCACATATGGAAGGCATTATTGTCATGACTCACAGTCTAGCTGCAGTCCCGCTCAGCGACAATGAAAACATAGTTTGCTCAAAAACGCCTGTGTGTGTGTGTGTGTGCGCAGGTCTAGGAGAACTGTAAAAGGGAAATATGAGACATTTGTGCGCCTCTGTTAACAGTGTGTGGTGTTTATCTTTGTGTGTGTGTGTGTGTGCGCTTTGGAAAGTAAAATGAAAAGATTGCCGTTCAGTGTAAACCTCATAGCTTGGAGTTAAGGACACGTCGCATCTCATTCCTCTGTCTTCGTCTGCCCGAGTGAAGCGGAAAGTGCAAAGAGACTGATGTGAGGGCACCAAGTGAGAGTTTTATTCAGGCTTCACTTCGCTGCACTTGATTCATCTCCGTCGTTTTCTACTGGAGCCTCGCTGGCCAGAGACCATGTCTTTTGTCCGCGGGTCACAGCGGCTGCTGGATCTCAAGTTTCAACGGACACCTTCTCTAATTTTACAGGCCGCCGGTACAGAGTCACACATGTGTCCGATTATAAAAGCCTTGAACCTTTCTTTTCACAGGTGTCTTCCTGTCAGCAGTTATTAAGCTACCACGCTGAAGACAAACATGAGAACCTGACGATTTATGCAAGTAATATTGAGGCATCAGTGATACATTGAGACTGTTTTGTGAGCGTTAGAAGTTCCTCGTAACATCGTGGAATCTCCATCCCAACTCGACTGCCAATGCACCCTCAAATCCCACATCGGAGAGCTAACGGTTGACAGATTTCCCCCACAGCAGATCCTGATTACACAGCTACGTGTGTGTTCTCGTCTGTTTGCAAGGTGGAACTCACGCAGGCGTGCTGCTGGAGTTTGTGCAGGAGGTGCTTGGCAGGAACGAAGTAGTCCAGGAGGTAGCGAAGACTGTCGTGCTGATAGGTCGACTCCAGGACTGAAAAGACCTGAACGAATGGGCGAAAAAAACACTTGGGTGAAACGAGGTGTGTTTTGTGCATTTGGTGATGTGATCCTCAAAACTAAACGGGGAAGACTCCACAGATCCCTCGTGCCTGGAGGAAACCCTTCACGCTTCTCATGAACTGAGAGCGGCCCTTGTTTCAGCTGCCTGCATGCATTTTTTCAGCCTAGCAAATGGATTTTGAAAAGGGGTTGCGTTTGCTCACGAGCGGAGGAATTCCCTCAGCCCAGAAGGCGTGTTATCAGAGCAGGCTGCTTCATTTTATCCAGTCCATTTCGGCAAGTCTGCAAGCAGCCTTTCCACTCTGTGAAGTGTGATGTTAAGTTGGAGATATTGGAGAAGGGTTAGCCGGCACGGTGGACCAATGACTCACCAATTAGTCGTTGGTGTACTTTGGGATAGAAATAACTTCAATGGCTTATTTTAGGTTGGTTGTTCTCTTTCGAGACTTCAAAAAAGGAATTTAGGTTAAGGGGCCATTTAGCAGCTTTCCTTCTTTTCATAGCCAGCATCTTGTTTCTTTGGTTTCCAACGAGGACAGAGTACAATATGTGGCTGGGCTACTATCAGCGTCAATTTACAGAAACACATGAACGTTCTGCTGATACGTAGTAGATCATATTTAAGAAGAGCCCTCGATATTTCTCTCCACTCCACAAGGAGCTCTCGGCCTCAAAATCCCCTTATTAGAGATCCCATAATGCACCTGGAGGAGACAGCTGGGGCAACTCTGTCGATGCCTTCTCGAGTGCACGGCTTTTGGTCAAAGCGAGTCGTGTGAAGCTCCTGTGTAGCTATAATTGGCCAGCCGGGTGGATTTTGTTTTTGTTGGCGTCCAGCAGCAGTTTATATCCAGGGAAAGCAACGTCATCTGCACATAACACCGCCTTGACCACACACGCCAACACCGCCCTATCCGTTCATTAAATCCGCATCGCCTCCATTCCCCTGTTCGTTGCTGTAAATATGTGGGACTGCAACACAGGTGTGTGTGTGTGTGAGAGAGAGAGATGTACCTGGGAGAGGAGGGGTGGTGCTGTGCTCTCAAAAGGAGGGTAGAGCGATGACAGCGCCCCCTGCACACAATCCTCCATCGCCTCCGAGCCCTGAGAGACGCAAAGGTGGGAGGAAAGGGTTAATCCACAACCGGACGCTGATTCCACTCCAATGTCTGTGTTTGTGTTAAACAGCCGGGTTGTCTCGCTTTTTTGCTGACACACACACACACACACAGACAAATATACACCCACATTCTACTTCCAACTTCCTGTTGTACGGCCCGGGGAGTGTCAAACATTTCCTCCAAGGCCCAGTTAACGTAAGAGGCCCCAGAACAAAAGAGTCAAATCGCTGCAACATGGTAACAGCCTGCACACACACACACACACACACACACACACACACACACACACACACACACACACACACACACATGCACACACACACATGCACATTGAGGTGGAGGGTGACAGAGCAGAGCATGCAACACAGTGTTTATTTTTCTAAATGGACCGTTGGCATGGCGACCTGCAACTTTTCCAACTCTCTTCCTCGTTTTGTAACTCAACATTCTTCGTTTGGCCTCCAGCTGAATGTCATCTGACAACGATTACGTTGGGATTGTCCCCCACAGACGGCACGTCGTCCCGAGCGACAGCGACGCGGTGGATGGAAAACCACGGACGGGAGGTGAAAACCCGAGACGGGAGGACGGAGCGTTCGGAAAAAGAAAGAGCGCGGCTGGCGAGAGGAGGAGGGCCGGGAGGGAAGGAGCGGCTGGTGGGGCGGAGGTTTTTCTGGAAGGCGATCGAGCTTCACCCGTACGTCTTTTTGCCGCCCGCAGAGGGCTTGTGGTCAGCCGCAGAGGACAGAATGGAGCGTTACAAGGAGGGACTCGCAACTTAATAAATAAGTTCAACATATTCTAGAGGCCGTAGGATGGAACAGAAAGAGAAAAAGTCACTGGGAGAAATGAAAACTAAGGAGGAGAAAGTCAGAGACATAAAAAGTTTTCATTCAAAAGAAAGAAACACAACTTGAAAAGACGCTAATATATAATAATGAAAACGACGGAAACGGGACACAAATGTTGCGTTTTCTTTGGTCATAATAAAGCCGTCGATTACATCACAGGAGGAGGCGTAAACTAAGGGCAACAACATCCGCCAGGGAGGCGTGAAAGGTGTCGCCGTAGTAAAAGAGGTCTAAACCGCCTCCTGGCTCACTGACTGAACATATTGAGTCTAGTAAAAGCTCAGCAGGGGGGGTTCGGGGGGTATGCGAGGCCAGCCGGCAGGAACTTCCTCTTGAAACCCTTTTTTAAAGAGTCCCACAAGACCCGAGGAGTCACACCCCCTTTATCATCCGTTAGCTTCATTTCGTTTTCCTGCTCACGTGGAGGCCAGTCCAGTCTGCAGGGGCCATCACTCACACACAAAGGGGGCGATGTCGGACACAGTGGGGACCACATAACCCTTGTAAAAATATGAATATTCCTTTTTTTATTCCGCACGTATTTTCCGTGCGAACACATCTGCGTTTTGTCTCGTGGAAAAGGTCAATTTCCTCGCGCAGGCGTCACTCCCGTCTAACCTTTTAGATGCTCTCCTCCATCACGCATGAAAGGAAGCAGCACTGAGGACATTTGTAAATTAGATTTCCCACTCCAAAACAGAAGGAACCTCTCAGGTTAAGAAATAAAGGAAACCCGGTGGCCTTTGAGGAACTAGAGGGGGAATTAAGTTACTCTCCAGTCGGGTACTCAATGCACTCAAGTCACTTTGCAATATCATAATGCACCAAACGCACGCTTTGTTTTCCCGCCGCACATCCAGCCGATGTTCTTTGGAGAACGAGCTGCGCGGCCGTGAAAGCCGAATGAGACCAAAGAACGAGGATGAGAAACAGATCTGCGTCCAACCCGAAGAGCTGAGGGAGGAATGCAAAGTAGTTCATTTGACCGCGGATGTCTTGTGCAACATTGATCAGTTTTTACGAAGAGATTTCATGATTTTTCCAAAAGACTGAGACCATCTTTGATATGTGCATAGAGGGGAGACTTGTCTCGTGAAAAGGGTGTATCTCCAAATTGGATGATTTGTTTCAGAAAAACTAAAGGATTAAGTGTTGCTTCATGGGTCTCTATCATCACGCGGCCAAGCACGTTTAGACCGTATGACTCCAACTGAGCGATCGCCATGACAACGGAGCAAACTCCATCCATCAGGGAACATGCCGTTAAAGGAAATATAGGTATTCGTTTATGTTTTTCACATGGCGGTGGAATGAACCCGTTTCAGGGTACCGTTGCCTTCCGGTCTTTTTCTTGTGTCCGCAGGCGGAAAACGGAAGAGGCAGAATAATTTGCCATTCAGATGCCCTTCACAGGGGGGGGGGGGGTCCAGTAAAAGAACGACAAATGTCTAAAAAAAACAGAAGAAGAAAAAAAATTTGATCCGCCGTTACGGGGACCAGATTACAAAAGGGACGTTGCCGCGAAGAGACCCAGACGTTTCACCGACGCGCTGCTCCAGCCGAGGAAAGGGGAAAAGAAAAAAGCCCTGGGGGCTGATTGGCGGGAGCAATGAATGTGAAACAGGCAGAGATCCATGATAGAACCCAGATGTAGACTCATAATGGCCCCCATCACGGGGGGGGGAGAGAGAGGACCCCGGACAAAAAAGGGTCTGGGGGTCAATCCCCGGTTGCCCCCCAAAATTGGGAGAGGGGGGGGGGGGGGACAGAAAAGAAGAGGGGAGACCGGAGAGAGAAAGGGGCCGACGGACAGGAGGGAGAGGACGATGAAGAGGAAGCCAGAGGGAGAGGCCTCGGAGTGATTTCCTGTGCCAAATCTCCCTGCTTAATCTCACCTGACCTTCAGGGGGTCAAACGGCTTCTTTACAGATTGTTTCAGACTAACTAAGTGCTGCAGCCTGTTGCCGGGTGGAGCAGACTTTCCCAGCGGTCGAGCGGGTTTAGCTCGAGTAGAGCGTTAGCCTGCTGGCTGTCCCGTCACATCTGTATCGATGACGCAAGAAGATACAGTAGCGAGGTGAAAAATAAAAAAAAACGTTTAAAACTAAAATAGTTGATAATCTGGACAAGCAAAGCCTCGCTTATTATTTACACACCGAGCTGACAGCATATGTAATATTCAGGACAAAGCTTGTGCTGTTCACGTTGTGCCAACACATGGATACCCTCTTCATCCACATTTCATTAAGTCGTTTCTCATTGTAAAATCACTTTTGAGACGTGTTCCTCCCAGTGAACATCTCCGTATTATTTGGTTGAGAACTGGTTCCCGGGCTTTTTTTTTTCCAGATGTGAGGAATTGTTATTGCCAGGGCAAAAGCCAGGCAGAAACCGCTCGGATGCCCGACGAAGGTGCCAGTGGAACACGGACAGCGTCCATCCTCGGGCCTTGGGGGGGGTAGGGGGGCGCACCGCTCGCGTCGGGAGTCTCCACAATCACAGGAAACCGGGTTAAAGAAAAGGTTCCTGGGATTGACATCATCGCTCGGCCCCGTCTGGATTGTTCTACACGCTCGGCACTCACAAAAATGTTCAAACAAACACGGGATTGCTTGCAGTACCTTTCATCAGACCTCCCCCACCACCCACTATGACCCGGCTACACATTAGCGTTTCAAAATCTGCACTCATCAGAAGGGGGGGATGGAAACACCCTCTGCCAACCCTTCGCCCGGTGCATTTCGACACCTCCTTGGAAGTTCGCGAGTGTGCGTGTGCATGCGCGTTAAGTGCGTTTCGACTTCATGGCAGCATGTCGGGTCACCCGGGTCTGTTTAGGTGCCATTCGGCCTTCTGAACCCTCCACTTCTCCTGTGACCTGTGTGCTTATTTCTGTGTGTACATCTGGGAGTGTTTTTCCCAACTTGCCCAACTGGCTGCGGGAGGAGGACGAAAACCGAACTGCACACGTGCTTCCTCCCCTCAAGTTCATGCCATCCCTTGTCCCCCCCCCCCCCCCTCCACTCCCCCTTTTCCCCTTTTTTTCTTTCCCAAATCCAATGTGGAAAATGTGGCATCGCCAAAACCGCCGCCGCTGCAGTCCAAGTCCTGTGGAATAAAAAAGGAGCCCTGCCCTCCTCTTTCTTCTCTGGCTCTCCCTGCCAGGCTGCTCCACCCTGCACCAGCACACAGAAGCAACCTCTCCCTTTGTTCATGCCTTTCTTCTCTTAATCCAGTTTGAACGTTGTCCCGTGTGCGCATGTGTGTCAATGATCTGATCCGTGAGCGGGTCGGGGATGGTAAACAGAGTCCCTGGAGACCCCCACAGAGAGACCCTCGTGCAATCAGCCGCGTAAATCACGTTAGAATTCGCTGCCTGTTGGGATTTGACAACTTTTTGAACTTGAGGTCATACGTGCTGACCTGAGCTTCTTCCCAGAGAGAAGCTCATGCCTAAAGTCAAAGATGAATTTAAAACATGTGTGTGAGTAAGTCAACTTTAAAAAGTCATTGATTGAGGGACTATAGAACAGAAGCACTTGAAGATCTCCCTCGCTACAGAAGATCACTTTCACATTTTCCACACAAACTTGAGCAGAAGAAAGAGGGGACTTACCATGACTTCAGTCAGGAATTCCTACATCGTCCTCTGCTTTTGTCCCCCCGCATGTGCCATCTCTCCGCATATTCCGCAAAAAAAAACAACCAAAACACAAGCAAGTCTCTTATCAACCAGCCTCCATTACCTCCCTTCTCTCCCTCCTCCGGAGCAGACTGCGTGCGAACAGTCCTCCTCTATCGCGCCGTTCCCCAGCCTGGGAATGTCCAAGCGTTTCTCTTTTTTTCTGTTTTTTCCTTCTCCCCTCTACGTCTGTCCGGCGGTCCCATGTATGCGCTCCCCCCTCCTCCCCTCATCCCTCCCCCTCCTCTCCTCTCCTCCCTCCCCTCCTCACCTAACAAGAGCGCTACAGTCCTTCTGCACTCAAACTTTCCATTTATCCCCCACCCTACCCAGAGAAACTTAAATGAATAGACAATAAAAAAAAAATCTGTTACCCCACCCAGTCGTAGTTGCGCACAAAAAAACACCCCGCAAATGTTTTATTGCGGCAGTCGCGCGTTCTTTGTTCCCCTCGGGGGATAATAAATTCCTGTTTGTGCCTTTTTTTTTTTATTTTTTATTTGAGATAAAAAGCCGTTGGTGAATGCTCCAAAATGTCTCCGGATGGCACAAGCGTTCAGTCTGTGCAGCAAACTCTCGCCAAAAGGCATTTACGCATGGAGACCATTTATGCGCATGGATGTGGCCTCCCTTGTGAAGGTTGTAACGGCTTCATGGAGAAATCCATTTTTGTCACCTACCTGACATCGACCGGAGGGCTCTGGTGCAACTCCCGCGATATAGGGTTACCCTTGCGTACAGAACGGAATGGTGAGAATTCATCAACAGGTTTTTTTTGCAGTGAAATAGAATAGTCAGTTGTGTGTTCAAATCGATGGTCTTTCATGTTACATCTTGATTTGATTTTATATATAATAACTAGAGCTCTTGAATTGTAGTCCACAAAACTCAAGTTTGTAACTTTTTATGACGCCTGTCAGCCTGATTTAAAACAGGAAGCGAAGAACATTCTCGTGAGATTAAGAGCGTTAGAGGTGATGATTTACATCATGCAGCAACTCAAAGAAAAGTTGAATTCCGGGTGAAGCCTTTGTTAACAAATCCTAACAATTTGGACACTTTACGACAATGTAATAACTCACTCGGAGCGGCTATAACAACTGTCATTTTGTCCTAAATGGATTTATGTCAGCTCAGAGGGAACATCAAATACTGTGTTTAAAAAGTATACCTACAGTACGTAAAACCATGTGTTTAATGCCACCCAGTAGATGCTCAGTGGAGAAAAGATAGTGATTCACACTTTATGTAATATATATATATATATATATACAGTTATATAAATGCAAAAGTTGTGTTTGGACTGCTTTAACCCGCCAGGAATCCAGTCCACGGGTGAACAGCGCCTCCCTGTGTGTATCATGTGCTGTTGGGATGTTAAAAAAAGGAGCGGCGAAACAACAGATGCACATTCGGCCTTTCTTCCAGCGGACATTTTCACTTCTCACAGGCGTCACCAATGACACGTAGGGAAGCTGTGTTTTAGTGAACTGGGAGGGTTGATACCTTCCACTGGTGAGAGGGGGAGACCACATAAGCAATATCTGGGAACCTGGGGGGGTAGATCATACATTTCCGGTTGACATTCAGTTTTTTTTTTAGTATGTTATATTTCTTTCTCACACTGCCAACAAAGACACCGGCATATTTAGTGATTTATTTCTGTCCTACATCAAGATCAGACAATTACAGAATGAATAAGCATTTTCCTTCGTTGTTGTGAATGCAACTCTACGTTGGATGTGGAGCACATTGCCGATGATATCTCAGCAGTTACATCGATGGGCTTCCACACATTATAAAGCCAAACGAAGTAGTCAAATAATCGGTCTAGTCATAAACTTTAACAAATCTGATTATTCTGTATATTAACAGCAATGCAAGAAGTGGTTACATGTGATAACAGAGAAACTAACCACCTGGAGGAATGGAAATTAATGCACAAATCATTGCTTTGATGATTCCAGGTTATAACACAGATATAGTTTCAAATCGCTGTCCTATGAACAGATTCCTTTATTCTTAGCCCTCAGGATTGTTGGCCTCTTTGGTGCTTGCAAAGTACACCCTTCCTGCTCCCAACCCGGCATCTAAAGGACAGAAAACAGTGGTGATGGTCTAGTGGCAGAAAGCGTCTTGTGCACAAGCGGAGGATTCAAGGTGTAAGCCCCCCCCCCCCCCCCCCCACCCCTCAGCCCGCCCTCCCTTACCTGATTGGCCGTATGAAGTTGAGGAGCTCGTCACAAGGCTGGCTCTCCCACTCGAAGGGCTCTCCTGTGCCGATGCCTCCACAGGGGTCGGAGTGCCGCCAAGGCGCCGTGCCTCGTGGCCATTTGGTAAATGGCATGGCGTCGCCAGACATCCAGAACCACACGTCGCCCATTAGGTATCTGGTGAACAGACTGGTTAAAAAACCTGCGCTCGGACTCCGGCGATTCATTGTTTTGTCAATGCAGTGTTACAAACGAGTTCCTGAAAGTTCAACGGGACGGCTTCCATTTTGCAGACCTGTTGCAGTCGAAAACCGAAATGCATTGGTTTTTAAATGATTTGAAGCAAAGACAAACGTGTTTGCTCAAATAGGTAAATTGGAACCATTTGTTATATGATTTATTTTCTGTGAATTCATGTGAATGATTAAGTTCTATCATTATTTCAGATCATACGGTTTTGGTAGGTCCGTCTCTGGTGAGAGCGGTTAGCAGAGCATCAATGCACATCAGTTCTGGTATGGCAACAATGCAAATGAGCAAATAAGACGACACAACATTTGACTTGAAGACCTGTGTCTTTTGCTTATTTACATTTAAATTGTAAGAAATTTTGACTATAGGGAAAACAACTGCACTCCATGGGCATCTGCTCGGTCTGCTCCCAGAGAGGCCGTCGGGTAGATGAGACATCACAACAGCAGATTTGCATTATGTCGTGCTAGTTTCTACAGCCCGAGTCATTGTAGACTACCTGCGCAGCCCCAGCCAGGCGAGGTCGGTGAGCGGGAACGGAACGCTGCCCAGCAGCCGCTCCAGCTCGCTCTGCTCCTCCTGGCTACGGAGGATAAGCAGGTCCCAGTGGTGACGTCTGCAGAAGAGCAGCGCATCGGACCAGCAGAGCCTTTCTCCCACCACCGTCACGTTCCTGCCGCTCAGCAGCACGCTCACAGCGGGGGGAGGAGGAGGAGCGGTGACGTTAGATGGAGCATTATCTTCTGGAACTGGAAAAGGAAGAATGTTCTTAAGTTTCAGTTGTTACGTTGTTGGGGTGGATTTAGTTCCAATCGAGAAGTGACAAGCCAATATGAAGTAATCCTGTATGATGTATTACACTTTAAGTGAAATATAGAGGACAAATTACAGTCGTTGCACATCAGCTTCAAATGTACGCAATCTTAATATCTAAGCTTCAGACATTTCACAGTATTTCTTAGCTAGTTCTCTATGTTTGTTGGATTTTCATCTACCTGCCAGAGAAGCGAACACCTCGACTTCGCACAGGCTCAAATAAGTGTATTTCGGAATGTACACCTTGATGTAGCGACCCGTCATGCCAGCACAATTGAAGGTGAACGATAACAGGCCTTGTGTTGACAAGATAGTTCCACATCTGAAGGCGAGAGAGAAACATAATGAATGACTACGGGTGCCATTTTAGCTTTTCTGGCCACTGTCTAAGCATTAATGGTATCGCAACAACCAACTATTTTTGTATTGGGTTACTCACCCGAATCAGAAGAAACGCACACTTTGTAGTTGTTTACTGACAAATATTCTGAATATAGATTTCATGCCTCACCTTGAGTTGTCAATCCAGATCTCTGCGCCAACAACCCCTTCGGTACAGCAGTCACGTATGTTGAGAATCATGATAGCACTGACCCTGTGCACGGCCAACAAGTCTACAGTCCACGATGGATTAGTAGTATAGATAGTGACGCTACAGCACGATTCCATATACATTCCACTTTTACACCCACTGACGGCGTGACTGGATACCCCGTAGGTCCCGTAGGCCAGATTCCACAACTGTGTAGTTGGTTTTTTTTAGGCCCCATTAAGTAGAGGTTTCACTAATGTGGAAAAAAGAGAGAAATGCATCAAATTTCCAGACTTTTTGCGTGTGAGAAGTCAAAGCCGATCGGTATAGTTGCACCTGCGAGGGTACCGGACACCTCTACTTCGTAAAGGTGAGCGTCTGGGTGTCCCCGGGGATGATCACGTTCACGAAGCGGCCGCCTCTTGCTGCCCCCTTCACAGTGGTAGGTTTTGGTTTTACCGGCTCTGAGGCTGGGGATGGAAGCACACCTGAGAGTGGAGGGTGTTGGGGAATAATTGTATCGGTTATCTTGGGGGATCTTTGTTAAAACAGAACAACATAAAGCCTTTAAATAGTAAGTAAGAGTCAGAAAAAAAGGTTTTGAATGCTGCACCGTCCGAGGTTCTTTCACCTGGTGTTGTTGTTTCCGTTGTTCTCCAGTGAGCTCCCGACTCGGATCTCGGCTCCATCCAGTCTCTCGCCACAACAGTCTCCTCTATTTGTGACTTTGACAGCTGCGATGACATATTCTTGTCGCAGGTCCACCCTCCACCAGGGATCCGTCTCTGACTCTGTGTGGGTACAGAACCCTTTTGAGAGGTAGGAGTTACGACTCCCGTCGATGGCCTTGGCGGCAACGAAGATGGAGCTGGTCGATGACTGGGTGGCATCTCCCTTCAGTGCCAGGTTGGGTTGAGGATATTCTTAAAACAAAAACAAAGAGATGGTTGGATTGATTCAGTGGAAGTGTCTTGCCCAAGCACACATCGGAGAATCGTCTCGACACATTGTGATCCAAAGGACAAATGGCCTCTACCGATGCCATTCCTTGCGGCTGGTCTGACATGTTGTCATTGCAAGGGTAAATCAAATGCATGGACATTCATGGTAAGAGGGCGGTTAGCGCTGTTGCCAATAGAGGAGAGGATAATAATAACTAACGTACGTCGTGTTCCTGTGCCAAAGCAGGATAAATATCACAAATAGTAGCTTAAGAGGAATAGGAAAACAGGCATACTCAACTAATCTGCATTTTATTTCATGTTTCCTTACCGTTGTCTCCGATGAACACCTCAAATTCACAGAGACAAAGGGTCCTCCCGCTGCCTGGAAGACGCACAGTGACGTATCGTCCCTCTATAGCGCGGAACGAAAAGTGGAACGTGAGATCACCTGGGACGTCGGGGATGACCGCACACCTGTGTGCGGAGAAGAAAAGAGAAGGTGAGATGAACAAATAGTTGCTGGTATCACAACCAGGAGATGTAGGCTGCAGGTATGTATCGGGCTGCGTCACCTGACCCTCCTTGTGTTGAATTCATCTGTTGAATTTCCAATCCAGATTTCACCACCAATCAGGTAGCTGTCCTTTGTATCTTCTTGGGTTATCGTTATAGCAGTAATGTTGTACAAATTCCGCAAGTCCACCCTCCACCAGGGATCAGACTCTTCTTGGGTGCAGGTACAGGATCCCTTTTCATACCTCACGTCTTTGAGCCCATCAACTGCCCTGCCGGCAGTATTGCTAGTCGCTAATATATTTGAAGACTGGACGGCTTGTTGTTTCAATGCCACATTTTGAAGAAGGGTACCTTATTGGCAAATAAGATCATTATAAGCAAAGTAAACCACAGAATGCATTGAGGAAAAACCACAGTTTACCTGCCAGCGCTCCAGATGTCAGCATGAGAGAAATCCCTGTTAAGTGATTAGACAACACAGTTGATTTCCACTCAATTGTAATATTTTATACATGATTTCCACTCAATTGTAATATATATATATATATACACACACACACTATATGTTTATACTTTAATCAGTTCTCAGGAGACCAAAATATAGCACAAAAAATACCCTATTGAAATGTTTGGTAAAAATGGGTGTAATAAAATGGAGACCAGCAATTACAATTTGTACGGGGATTGTATTTGGATTGAGTATTAAAATGTTTATATTAAAACATTTAATTAAAAACGATTAAGGTATTAATGGTGATAAATATTATAGCTTGACATGTCTTACCATTGAGGATCCAGATGTACGGACACCTCATAGCCATGGCTCTGGAGGCAATCCGAGAATGAAGGTTAGAACAACCTAATGACCGATTGTTGGTGGACTTGCTGCAGTTTTCTTCGAAGTGATTCTTCGTGTACTGTACTGGGTGATTTGTTCTGGTATTTGAGAACACGTAAACCTGCAGTCGGTATGGTTTGCATGCAGGACAACACACCCAGATAGACATTTGCTTACTGTGGATTACTTTCATCTAAATTGATTTAAATATTGTCCTCCCAATAAAAAGACATGACATTTATATTTACTCTGTTTATAAACCGTTTCTTCTCCACCTTATATTTGACCAAAGCATTATTTCCTCAAAATGAAAATCAAAACTGATTTCTTCAATCTTGGGCTCTTAAGGTAACTTAATAGGTACACTGGTTTGATTTAGGGCACAGTATGTCTTTTTTAAATAGATTTTTATACTAAGTAATTCGAAAGACGGGCGGTAATTCGAAAGACGGTGGCGTGGTGGTTAGCACTGTTGCCTCACAGCAAGAAGGTCCTGGGTTCAATTCCGCCCAGTGGCCTTTCTGTGTGGAGTCTGCATGTTCTCCCCGTGTCTGCGTGGGTTCTCCGGCTTCCTCCCACAGTCCAAAGACATGCTCTGGGGATCAGGTTAAATGGGGACTTTAAATTGCCCGTAGATGTGTGAGTGTGAATGGTTGTATGTCGCTGTGTAGCCCTGCGATTGGCTGGCGACCAATCCAGGTTGTATGCCTCTGTGTAGCCCTGCGATTGGCTGGCGACCAATCCAGGATGTACCCTGTCTATCGCCCGAAGTTGGCTGGGATGGACTCCAGCCCCCCCGCGACCCTGTGTGCAGGATAAGCGGTTTGACAATGGATGGATGGTAATTCGAAAGACAGCAAAAAATAGGATTCTTCAGTGGTTACTATTACATCTTGAACGTTTACCTGAATGTGTGGTAACGAGACACGTAATGGTTCAACGATTACGCTTTGTGTTGGAATAATCTTCTGAAGTTCTCAATAGAATACAGTCAAATGATTAAGACCTCAGGAACAAAGTTGGCTTCAATTTAGTAACTTACAGGACAGAAATCCAGCAGTCCTTTAATCTTAAATAAAACAATTTATTACATTTTGAATGAAAAACTCTTTAAAATATTTTTTGTTTCAATAGGAAACATAGTCTAAAGCCCGTAGAAGTGTGGTCATCCTCTGTCATCGCACCTTTCAGTAAATAACAATCATTTGTCCTTGCTTCGTCTCGGGGGTTTCCGTTTCCTCAGAACGTGGCCAGACTGAGCACCCCCACAGTGATCAGCACAACTGTAGGAGAGACACAACGATTATTCATGAAGCATTGTTCTAATGGACAACTATTCCCTCTCAAAAAACCTTCGACGTACCTTGAGTCAAAGATTGATGGAACGTAATGGCGTGGCTGGTGGAGTTGGGGGCCATGGTGGTGTTTGCGGCAGCATTGTTAGTGACAGTGACGTTGGGATTCGCCAAGTCTAGAACAGAACTCTGTATTCTTGGAATCGGGCTTCCCAGGATACCACTAGCTGAAAAGAAAAAAAGTGTGTTTACAATGCTGCAATATTTTAAAAGATTATCTGTGATAGCCTCGATTACAGTGAGTCTCAGTTGGCTGTTAAAGTGCACATGATGATTGGTGTCCATTGTGTTGGCTTACTGCTGTTGAACGATCCAGTGGAGACTGCGAGTGCAGAATTGGAAGCTCTAGCAGCTGGGGCTGGTACAGCAGCAGCAAATGTACACTGGATATTTCTTTTATTGACTTTGCCTTTCACAGAATTCACATTCAGCTGCAGAGTGAAGACAATGGGGAAGATGACCAACAACAAAATTAGTTTTAACTGAAACCTCCGTACACGATGAGCAGAGACTGTGCTTGGCGGAAAAGGTGAAAACTGATTTCCGTATAGTAGGCCTACATGTCTGATTACAGTAGTTGTTCCAAAAGTCGCTATACTATAAACAGTTAGTCCCCAAAAAGGCTGTGGTGGACAAGGAAGTGGATCAAACCCAATAGTTCAAAAATACCATCAAGAAAAAAAAATAATGCCACAAATCTCTGGAGACATCAGAGCCTGGGCTACAAGGATATCAAAGTTGTTCGTAGATGCTCCAAACACAACTCAAGCAATAAATACATGTATAAAAAACATCCACACACGTCGGCGACCATCGATCAAAACAAATTGCGAACAAAAAAACAAGATAGCCAAAAGAGAATAACATACGGATTACAGATATATATCATATCTCGCAGTCAAACCTGTCCTGAATAAAGTGCAAACCAACACCATCCATTTCCATTTAAGCAACATTATTAAGCAAAACAAAAAAATAAATATTGGCGAAAAACATACAGCTCAGACCTCCTCACTCCAATTTTAACTCACCACTGTCACAGTCAGCTGCCCATTGTTGAGGAATGTGCTGAAGAATTTAACAACACCTCCGTTATTTGCGCACACATAGGTTGGGTCATTTCCTCCCTATTGTGGAGAACACAGAAATGTTTAATTACTCTTTAAGGCTTAGCCCTTACTGTGGGTGGGGGGGTGGCAGAACTTGACGTACCAGTGTGGCGTCCGGTGAAAAGGTGGCGGCAATGTAGCCGTCCGACTCTCCAGAGAGCCCAAACTCAAAGTTATTGCCGCTAGTCTGCTTGGCCTTCAGAAAGAAACAGGAACGTTTGGAGGGGTCACAGCTTGAGGGCTCAGCCACACAAAGCACCGTAGTACCACATCCGGTCCGAGAAAGAGGTGTCTGAAAGGGAGATGAGAAAAATTCAAAGGGAGTCCGAAAAGAAGAAGAAGTTTAGATCCGTTCCATTTCACCATGCTCTTTGTTTGGGATCACTCACCTGAAGAGTTTCTACTGTGCTGTCAGTATTCAGGTGAGAGAGAGACGCTGTTGTGATGTTGCTTCCAGTCGCGTTTGCTGGCCTCGTCGCGTTTGCTGGCAGCAGGGGTTTTGCTGGCCTCGTCGCGTTTGCGGGCACCGTCGCGTTTGCTGGCAGCAGGGGTTTTGCGGGCACCGTCGCGTTTGCGGGCCCTGTCACGTTTGCTGGCAGCAGGGGGTTTGCTGGCCTTGTCGCGTTTGCGGGCACCGTCGCGTTTGCGGGCAGGAGGGGGTTTGCGGGCACCGTCGCGTTTGCGGGCAGCAGGGGGTTTGCTGGCCTTGTCGCGTTTGCGGGCACCGTCGCGTTTGCGGGCACTGTTGAGTTTGCTGGCAGCAGGGGGTTTGCGGGCACCGTCGCGTTTGCTGGCAGCAGGGGTTTTGCGGGCACCGTCGCGTTTGCGGGCCCTGTCACGTTTGCTGGCAGCAGGGGGTTTGCTGGCCTTGTCGCGTTTGCGGGCACCGTCGCGTTTGCGGGCAGGAGGGGGTTTGCGGGCACCGTCGCGTTTGCGGGCACCGTCGCGTTTGCGGGCAGCAGGGGGTTTGCTGGCCTTGTCGCGTTTGCGGGCACCGTCGCGTTTGCGGGCACTGTTGAGTTTGCTGGCAGCAGGGGGTTTGCTGGCCTTGTCGCGTTTGCGGGCACCGTCGCGTTTGCGGGCACTGTTGAGTTTGCTGGCAGCAGGGGGTTTGCTGGCAGCAGGGGGTTTGCTGGCCTTGACGCGTTTGCGGGCACTGTCGTGTTTGCTGGAACCGTCGCGTATGAGGATTGGGCGTAGGACAGTGTCACAAATAGGACAGTGAAGACCAGTTTGCTGGTCATGCCTGGATTGGGTGGGGTGAATCATTTCAGTACTACAATATAACAATACGGGAGATCAAGCTCCGGGCTAATAATTAAAAACAGTGCTTTTACAGCGCTGCATTTGAGAATTTCTTACAGATACAATGTTAACCTACACTCTTTGGTTGACTGAAGAGGAAAAAACACAGCGGATGATGATGATCTTTAATGCCTCCTCGATGAAAAAAAAAAAAATGATAGAAATGCTAAACAAGATGTGAATTAAGTCTGCTATTTAACTAATTTAATTTTTTACCAATTTTCTTAAATTAAGAATCATTATAATTTAAGATATACCTGCATGAGATCAGACTTTTCATATTACTAAAACAGACAGAAAACCTAAAAATATCATCCCTAGCAAGAATACGCATTGATTTGCCTTCATAGTTACTTAGACAAGATAAATGAACGTTATATATGGTGGAACTTTGGACTTTGCAAAAGAACTTCATACCGTTTCTTCAGAGGTTACAGATACCAATGTCTTGCATTGCCCGAGCTTACCTGTAGATATTGTTTTCAGTTCCAATGAGAGGTGAAATTGGGTGTAAAAGCCAGAAAATCCACAGGCCCTTGGAACGTTGGGTTGGTAATGTGCTTGTTCCTCTGATGTGCTCAGCTGGACCCCAAATTAAGATGTGACAGAGTGCTCCTTGTGTCCCTAATTGAAAAATGGTGTGCGAAAATCGCAAAAGCCTACGCCCCTCCTACCCTGATGTCATGGGGGACGGTTTTAAAGGGCGTGGCTTGGAATTAAAGATCAAGGGTGTGATTCATGGAAGCCACAGACGTTTGAACTTTCCATAGCACAAATGTATTCCCCTTTCTGACATGATAAGAACAAGGAAACAAACTCAATAGACTATTCTTTGACTGTTCTCTTATGAAATAATATAGTGTTATATTAAACAACGTTTGGGTTTTTACAATATATGAAGCCTTATACATACGCTTGTACACATGCTAGTCTTTGGAGGTTGTATAGTTGTCGTAGCTGGTTGATGTTTTGCTGTGAGTTTGCCTTTGAGGGGTGGGTAGATTCAAATGAATATAAAATAAATTAAAGTAATATGAATTATGTCATTACCAGTGTCTCAGCAAGTTAAGGAATTGTTAAGTACTATAGTGTAGTGAATGTGACTGCATAATTCACCTTTGTTCTCGTTTTGTTGTACACGTAATTGCGACTGTTCCGGGATCGCGGTCCCTTTAAACGTTTTGTTATTTATGACGTAGAGACCCTTGCTTGTGAGGTTACAGGGCTTCGCCATCTTTAGAGTTTGTTGTGGTAAAAATAAACGAGACACACGCTGGTGTTCTCAACTCGCGGAATTGCCTTTTATTCCAAAATTAACTTCCACAATAGTACATTTTGGTTCTCAAATGCATATACAGGTTTTGCAGGTCTGGTGAACAGAAATTATTGCAACAACTATTAACTTTAAAAAATCCAAATCTGCTTTGTCTTTAAAATAGCTGGCTTGATCTATGCCACAGTATGTTCACAGTATTTTGTCCAAGAGTAATTTAACAGACACTCTGACTATTAAGAACTGTAACCAGTTAAAAGCAGTCGTCCCAAAATAACTCGACGAGTTTTGGAACACAAAATGTTTGTTACTAAAGGTTCAGATGTTGGTCTCTAACTGTTGGGGATACAGTCCTGGGACTGTGTATTAAAGCCACTAACATAATCAGTTTACACAATGTTTATTTCAAAAATCTAATCAAGCATCGACTGTTACATAATACAATGTGCAAAACCAATTTCACCGATATTTGGTATTATAAATAGCATTGTCTATATGCAACTGCTCATCTGCTTGCGTTCTTGCACATTGATAAAATATCAGCCAATGAAGGCTTCATTAAAACGTTTTGTTAATCAACAATACAGTCACATGAAAAAGAATAACAAAAAACAACATGAAAGAAAACACAAATGCCTGTTATTTGCTAGTACAGTTTTCGGTGACATTAGAGAGAAAAAGACATTTCTTTGCCTGCAAAAGTAATTGGTCTTCAATAATATCACATCTGTACATGTTGAAGCTGGAAACTGGATAAGATGATTCACGGCATCATAATTTGTTGAAAATAAGGATTTCTTCAGTGGTTACTGTTGCATCATCAAGTTTTTACCTGAATGTGTGATCATACAGTTTTTTTCATAAAGCCTTCAGAAGTCTGATCACCCTCCCTCACTTCAACTTTCAGTAAATGTCAGTAAATTAAGCGTGGCGGTTATGGTTTTCCATAGTTTCTCGTCTTGGGGGTTGCAGTTTCCTCAGAACGTGGGCAGACTGAGCACACCCACAGTGAGCAGCACAACTGTACGGGGGAACACAAAGACATTGCTTATGAAGCATTCCTCTAATGCACTTTTTGAACAAATTTTCATTTTGATGAAAAACCCTTAGCTTACCTTGTGTCAGAGATTGTTGGAATGTAATGGCGTGGCTGGTGGTGTTTGTGTTAGTGATAGTGGAGTTGGGATTTGCCAGGTCTACAAAACCTTGTATTCTTGTCATTGGGCTTCCCAGGGCACCACTAGCTGAAAAACGAAAAAAGATGTTTTTTCTACGTCGCAACATATTAATATATGATCTGTGACAGTCTCAGTGACAGTGGGTCTTAGCTGGCTGTTTAAAATGCAAATGATGATGTGTGTGTCCATTGTGTTGGCTTACTGCTGTTGAAAGTTCCATTGGAGACTGCAAGTGTAACACCGACGGCTCTTGCAGCTTGGTCTGGTACAGTGGCACCAAATGTACACTGGATATTACTTCCATTGACTTTGCCTTTCACAGAGTTCACACTCAGCTGCAGAGGGAAGACAATCGGGAAGATGACCAACAAGAAAATTAGTTTTAATATAAAAACCATTATGTAAGTGACAGAAACCGTTGTCCATTACAGTTACTCTGAGCATGCTTGTGAATTGATTACAATATAGTAGGCCTACATTTCTGATTACCGTAGTTGTTCCAAAAGTCGCTAAACTACGTTGTTAAGCCAAGCAGGACTTTGCTGCAAACATTTCCAATTGTAGATTACAACGATCTTGATATTCAGCAAGAAAACTTCCCCTAAACACTGGAATAATTATACCACGTTTCTGTGTGTGAAAAGTCCAACCAAAAAATAAAACATTGGTGCCAACATACAGCTCTAGTTCCTCCTCACTCCAATTCTAACTCACATTTGTCACAGTCAGCTGGCCATTGTTGAGGAATGTGGTGAAGAATTTAACAACACCTCCGTTATTTGCGCAGACATAGGTTGGGTCATTTCCTCCCTATGGTGGACAAAACAGAAGCGTTTCATTATCCGTTCACTCAAACTAACTATCATTGGCTTTTGCTTAGCTCTAATCTGTGGATGGGTAGTAGAACTTAACGTACCAGTATGGCGTCCTGTGAAAAGGTGGCGGCAATGTAGCCGTCCGACTGTCCAGAGAGCCCAAACTCAAAGTTATTACCGTTGCCAACAGTCTGCTTGGCATTCAGAAAGAAACAGGAACTTGTGGAGGGGTCACAGCTTGAGGGCTCAGCCACACAAAGCACCGTAACACCACATGCGGTCCGAGAAAGAGGTGTCTGAAAGGGAGATGAGAAAAATTCAAAGAGAGTCCGAAATGTGCGCCATGACGATGTTAAACACCATATGTGAGAAGAGGTTCAGCACTGTTCTATTTCACCATGCTCTTTGTTTGGGATCACTCACCTGCAGAGCTTCCACTGTGATGCCGCTTCCTGTCGCGTTTGTTGGACTCGTCATGTTACCCGAAGTCGTCATGTTACCCAAAGTCGTCATGTTACCCAAAGTCGTCATGTTACCCAAAGTCGTCATGTTACCCAAAGTCATGTTAACCAAAGTCGTCATGTTACCCGAAGTCGTCATGTTACCCAAAGTCATGTTAACCAAAGTCGTCATGTTACCCAAAGTCGTCATGTTACCCAAAGTCATGTTACCCAAAGTCGTCATGTTACCCAAAGTCGTCATGTTACCCAAAGTCGTCATGTTACCCAAAGTCATGTTACCCAAAGTCATCATGTTACCCAAAATCGTTGTGTTACTCGAAGTCGTCATGTTTGCTGTAACCACCAAACTCCCGGACAGTGTCGCAAATAGCACAGCGAAGACCAGTCTGCTGTCCATGCCTGAATTGGGGCGAGATTATTCATTTCAGTACTACACGGTTAACTGTGGTGTATCTATTAGCACCGTAAGGGCAATAATACAAGGAGAAATATATAACTTATATATACTTATATATGGTGTAATTTTGGACTTCGCAAAAGAACTTAAAGTACTTCATACGGCATTACTTCAAAAGTTACAGATACCAGTGTCTTGCATTGCCCGAGCCTACCTGTAGATATTATCTTCAGTTCCAAAGAGAGGTGAAATTGTGTGTAAAAGCCCCAAAATCCGCCGTGATGATGTGTTGCGTTGGTGATGCGCTTGCTCGTTCCTCTGATGTGCTCAGCTGGATCCCAAGTTAACTTGTGACACCAGTGCTCCCTGTGTCGCTATTTAAACGGTGGTGTGTGAATAGAGAGTGGGCGAGGTTTTTCGAGGGTGTGGCCTCGAATGAAGGTGTGATGGCGGCAAGCCACACGTTTTTTCCTCTTCTCACAGCACAAATGTATCCCGCTTTGTCCCTTCTAATGTTTAGCTGACGCACGTAGCCTACATATTTGACATGATGAGGACGACGAAACAAACTCAATAGTGTCTTTTGACTGTTCTCTTATGAAACCGCAGTAGTGTCGTATTAAACAACGTCTTTCTAATACATGAAGTTTGTACACACGCTGACAGTCGTCGTAGCAGGCTGATGAGTTTGCCTTTGAGGGCCGGGTGATTTCCAATTGATATCAATTTGATAAAGACAAAACTCAAGCAAGTTAAGGAATTGTTGAGTAATATAGAACACTTTGGGTCTCAAACGCCCCGCCCCGCTCTCTATTTCAAATGACAGCTTCCATTTAGACTTGCGATTGTCTGATTCGATGGACAACAGTATATTTACTACCAGCGCAATAGGAACTTCTTTTTTATTAGCGTTTAGAAGAATTTGTGTGAGTGGTTTCGTGAGTGTAGTGACACGGACAGCTGAGCGAAACCACTCACTGGTGACACCACGACCAGAACTGGTTTGTCGGGCCCAGCCCATGTTGTTAACTTCAATGTAGTCTTTGTGTACTGTGGTTTCTTGTACGCAACCCTCCTCCTTGTCTTTACAACAGGCGTGTTAAGCACCTCTGAGCTGCTATGATATCACATTGGGAGTAGAGCTTTTGAAATGTGTTAGAGGGCGGAAAGGTAGTTTACTTTCCAGACTGCATCAAAGAATTCTTCTTATTTGCCATGATTGTGTACAGGCTCAAATTAAAGGTGGTCGCGTACATGTAAACAATGAAGATGCGTCTGCGCGTTCGCTGGGCTGCGATGTCAATTATTTTTTGCATAAACCAGTCAGTGAGTCAGGCTTTTCCCCGGTAAACCCCCCCCCCCCAGTCCTAACGGCCGTGAAAGTAGTTTTGTGATGTCAGAGCAATGAATCATGTCGACAACGACACAGGAGGGGACTTTCTGAGGTCATCGGGTGAGTTGAGGAAAAGGCATCTTGACTAGCAGGTGTTTCCAGCCCATTGCTCAATAGACGTACGTCACCATTGGTCACCAAAAAACGAGGCAAAAGAGCTGGGGCGTTTGTCCAGTCCAGTAAAATGTGTTTCATCGCAAGACGCCGGGCGCGCTCCACTCTCCTTTTCAAGCCGATGGGTCTGTGGTTCGTTTACCACGTAGCCGCTTCTCGGTCGGCTTGACCTGAGGTTGCTTTTAGCGTTAACAAAAAGCAGGATGTGAATTTTAGAACTTCCCTTTTAAGACTCTGGACTGTGGAGCAGCGAACCGACAAACCACAAACAGGCCCGCCGGGCCGCTTGCTTGTGTGCACAAGGCCCCGCCCTGTACACACACATGATCCGTAACACGTCCCAGTCCTTCATCTTCTCACCAGCCAAATAGTCCAGCAGCACCGGGGGTGTTATGTGCACGTGGAGGCGGATCACAATGTTTGCGCCGGTGATCCTCGTTCCGAGTTAAAGACGTCCTGTGTTGCTGCAATGCGAGTGCACCAAAGGTCACGTGCCCGCCAAAGCACGGAGGCCGCTGTCCTACTGAGAGTCCCGCTGAGACGGCGCTCGCCACCGGCCCGTCTCTCCTGACTGCATCGTGTTTTGTTAACTCCCGACCAAACATAGGCTGTGTGCACATCCTGTAGCGGTGCTGCCTGTGGGAGAGTTGTGTGCTCACAGTGTCACACTATTTTACCGACCTTCTCACTTGTGTGAGGAAATTCAATTCTTGTATGATTATTTTTGTTGTCTTCGGCTTTTTCACATTATGATTATTATATCATATCATCAAGGACTCGATCGGCTTGTAAATCCCGTGTTTTGGCGTTTGAGAGAGCGAGAGAGAGAGAGAGAGACTATTTTGTGTGGTTTTCAGCAGCTTGATTGATAATAGTGATTTAAATGTTGTTTGAACGCTTAAAACTATTCAGTACCGCATATTAATGGGTGGGACATGCAAAGATGCTGTGACAATGTTGGCCGTAATATGATGCTGTGACATTGTCCCACCGAGCGATTCATGACTCGGCTTCTGAAAGCGCCGTTGTTTGAACAGCTGACACTGACAGTGCGTCACTGACGTGCGTTTGAAAAGATGTTTATTTGAACACACAAAAATGTTCTTTCATCCCCGTAACTTTCTGAGTTTCTAATTTCCTCAATTGAGCTTGACGCGTTTGGGCCCCTCCCTCCTCCGGGAAGGTGTGGCCCCCGGTATCAGAGCACTACTTTATGCGACAGGTCACAGGTCCTGTTGGGCCTGTTGGGCCTGTTGGGCCCCGCTGACCAAGAGGTTGAGGAGATTAGAAGCTGCACCTTCTGGCTCGTCTGCTGGAACTCCCAAGTCATTCATGGTGCTGTTTGCTGGAATGCAACTCACTCGGCCCAAAACGGGTGTCGGCAGAGCAAGTGTGCTTTTCCCTTCTCACTGTTAATGAATGAAATGCAGGAAAAATAAAAAAGAATTGTAAAGCCCCCGTTGACTTTTGAAGCAAACGACCGCTGTGTAAATAGTTTAAATAGTTAAGGCCAAGAGACGTGGTTGCTCGTGCACAGCGAGGCCCAATCACAATACCTCATTGCACTATTATATATATAGTATTGTATATAATATATTACATTTAGAACACATATTTTTAAATGTATATTTTGAATTATGGAACGGACTCAATTTCATTCCGTCACCCTGCACATAGAAAAAGAAACCCCGGTAATAAAAAAGCTATGAGGCAAATTTGGTAACAGACCGCAAAAGAAATCATTTGCATTGTGAAGGAAAATCTAAATATGCCTTTTTCCCTTTTGGTTAGTTCATTGAATCCGTCTGAGGAAATGGGAGTGAGTTCTCTCGGCTGATTGAATGCAGGAAATGTTTTTCTCACATCTTGTTTCCAGCTAACTGGAACTGGAAATATTAACTGGAAATATTACCTTGCATGTTTTGCCTTTTACCCCCCGGGGGGGTTGAGGGACGCGCTCTGCCAGGCATTTTGCATCTACGCAATGTTGTGCTCCATCAAAAGGAAGAAAAACAGAAAACCAGCGTGGCTATTTTTCATTTTAGAGAATGTGTACGTTTTTCATTCAACAGCAAAAACCAAATGATGTTGGAGGTTGTAGGACCTGACGTTACATTAGCGTTAATAAAAAGGGGGATATGAACTTTAGAACTTCCCCTTCCCCCTAATGAGCACCAACTCATTATTTTAAATATTCATCACATTAGTGTTACTGTCATCATGAACCAACACTACCCTTTTCTCCCCACAGGCTTCTGTGGATGGTGGTCCTATCTGATGGTGGTCCTACACCTGCTTGCTACTCGCAATTATTTGAATCACCTCTGTTATAGGAATTATAGATCTTTTACGTTGTTCATTCTGTACACATGACATCATTGTAGTCTGTCCGTCCTGGGACAGGGGTCCTCCTCTGACGTTCTCCCTCGGGTTTCTTCCCTTTTTAACCCATGGAAGGGTTTTCATTGTCTTGAGGGGTTCGGGACGGAGGATGTCGCATGTGTACAGACCGTAAAGACCTCTGGGGCAGATTTGTACTTTGTGATACACAAAATGAAATGGCTGCTCGTGGTTCTCATACTGCATACGGGAAAACTTCCTTCATCAGCATAATGTGTCTTATATTCATTCCCTGAACCAACCCCGTTATTCTTAACTGTGGAAAGGCGGCTGGATTGCGCTGACGGAGCAGTGCATGACTTTGACGTGACCTCGAGTACGTCCCCGTTTGACGTCCTTCACGTGGGTTGAGATCCAAACTACACGGAACAGTTAGTGAGCAAGCCGCGCAGGATTGTGCTCATTCTTTGCCCTTCATGCATCAGTGAACACCTTCATTTTTTTTAACCGCCTCTTTAGCATTTACTACGCACTCAGTACGTACAAATACGTAAAGTGTTTTTCTTGTCAGTGATCCACAATGTACACACCTATTAAAACCATCTCCAATAAATACAACTTTGTCTAACCACTGCCCTTTATTCAAACTCCACCAGTTTTTTCAGCTCGGACTTCAACATCTCCACGTCGTCCTCGTCCTCCTCCACCTCCACCTCGATGCCGTCTATTGTCCTCTGCAGCTGCTCCTTGATGCGGTTCAGCTCCAGCAGCCCGTCCTGCAGGTCCTGGCAGACTTCTCGAATCTTGGCGGCGAACTCCGTCTTGGCTCCCTCTTTGAGCTCCTTGGCGTCTTTCGCCAGGAAAAAGAGGTCCAGGGCCAGGAAGAGACCTGACATGACTCCCGTGGTGACGCTCATCACCTGGGCGGCTTTGGCGGCGCCCCCCGCCGCGCTGAGGACCTGGACGGTGTTGATCAGGCTCTCCGTGTTGATCACCAGAGCCTTGCCGGCCCGGCCGCCCTCCTTCATCACGTGTTTGACGTTCTGGTTGAGGTGCTTCTTGGAGATGTTCTCCGCGTACTCTTCAAAGTTCCACTCCTCGAGCAGCTCCATCCCTTCCTGAGGAGCAGATTTCACATTGAATGGACGTGAACGATGTTCTCACTGAAAGTACACTTTCACCTTCTCACCTGCAAAAACTCCAGGCACTCCCTGATGTCCTTCATCTGGTCCTCGTAGTCCTGGATGATCTTCTCCACCTTCTTGCGGTCCGTCTTCGAGTGGACCGTGTCGGTGATGTTGGCCGAGGCCGAAGCCACGCCCCCCGCGGTTGCCACGCCGATACCGACCGCCGTGACGATGAGCGACGCCCCGGCGGTGAAAGGCGCCAGAATGAGGCCGGTGATGGTGGTGATGGACCCGGCGACGCTGGCCACCCCGCCGCCGACGCTCGCCTTGACGGTTTTCTTGTGGAAAACGTCCGCCGAGTCGGCCACGGACATCAGCTCCAGGATCCGCTGCTGCAGCGAGGCGCCGCGCTGGTTGAAGAAGCGAACGAAGAGGCGCGCCGCCATGAAGACGCGGTCGGCCGCTTGCTCCACCACCCTGAGGCCGGGAGGCAGACGGTCAACGCGCGGCCGACGGGTAACCGGTTACATGAAAGCGCTACTCACTCTTGGGGTTCGTCGCTCTGCTTGCCGTCGTTCCAGTCATCCCAGCCTGGCGCGCAGCGAAGGAAGAATTATGGTCAGTCAGCGGGCACCGCCGATTAAATCGGCGCCGATCGGGAGCTTACCGTCTACGCTTCTCCACCACCCCACCAGGCCGTCCTCATCCTGGGAGTAGACAGTTCAGTGTGTACAGGGGACTTAAATGCGTCACACGCGCCTCCTTTGATGTGATATGAGACAAGTGTCTTACGTCGAGAGGGTCCAGCAGCGATCCCTCGCCGGGCACTTCGGCCATCTGTAGTGTCTGAACTTCCACCACTTCCTGAAACCAAAGATGTGAACAGACAAATATAAAATCCCGCGCTGTATTACTGGCTGAATAACTTGTTATGTTATAACGCATTTATAACATTCGATATCCGCTACTGCAATGGGCCGAGACTCCGTTCGTCACACTCGTTCGTTACTAATTGTCGAAGCATTTAGATAATAGATTTGTTTACATGCTTTGATGATTGTATCATGCAAGTTATTTTAAAATGGAATACTACAACATGTGACATGTGGAGATAAGATGTAGCACATCTTGTGACATGTCGAGATGTGACGTGAGATGTGTACGTCATGAGGAAGTGATACTAACAGTAATAATAGGCCTCTGCTGTTGTAAAGTACCAAGCGCGTCTCTTTGCCCATTAAAAGGCGACGCCAAAGAGACGGACCGCCTGAAGAAATACCTGCATACAAATCCACGACGGGTCGCTGCGCTGAGGTTTGTTGAAAAGTCAAAACGCAGCATTTCTACGTGACAAAAGACCATGAAGCATGACTAGATGTGTAGTGTAATACGTCGTCCCTGTAAATTAATTATGGCAACGGCTCCAAATATATTAACCTGCATGCTCTGTTGAAGGCCCCGTCCCGTGTGGTTTTATTGATTCAGTCTCACGTGCAAACCCATTGCTGCACTGACATTGTGTGCAGTCAGGGCGTTTTATGTGTCTTATTCATTTGCTTGTGTACCTTATGCGAACGCCGTGTCTGACAGGTGCGTTCCACACAGAGCTACTCACCTGGGCTGGTGCTCCAGCGTCAGGCGACGAGTCCTGCGGAGCAACAACACAAAACTGACAGGACGGACAAAAACGCCTCACCCTTTATCGGCCGAGCCGTGTGTGGTTTTTATTTTTATATATTAAAAAACGCGGATCGGAGCAGCTCATCGAGCTTTATAAACCTTTTATGTACCTTTGTTCGAGACCCAAAGAAGTTAGTGGGCAGAATCCTCCTCATTCTGAAGGTCTAGAGAAAGAAAGAGCAAAACAAATGAGCCACACGTATTAATTGTTTTTTTTTAAAAAGGGCCCTTTCGATCGACGTACCGGGGCTCTTTTCTTCGGGGCCGGCGGCGGCGGGCCGTCGTACCAAACAGTCTGCAGTGACATTTGTGAGGTTATAACAAGACGTCCATGCAGATTGACGCAATGACACGTTGCACAACGGCCGTCGACAGGTGCGTCGGGTCATTTTCATTGGAAACGAGATGAAGTTAAAGGTCTCACGTGTCTTTCTATGGCGCTGTCATCCGCGCTGTCAGAGCTGGAGGAGTCTTCTCTGCAGATCGATTGGTTTTCCTGGAAAGAAATATGACGTTTACATCTTTAAAAAGAATGGGCGTGATGGGACTTTAACCGGAACTCGTACCTGCGGCAGCGACGAGGACGCTGGGCTGAGAGCGGCCGAGTCCGTCTGGCTTTCCTCTCCTGACATCTACATCAGATGGGAACAGATTAAAACTAAGGCAACCAGCTGGTGTCGGCCAATGGAAAGTTAAAAGCAGCGTTTCCTGTTCCCCTTGTCTGTAAATCCAGGAGTCTTTTGGAATGAGCATTTGATCAGAGAGCTGAAACAACAGTCTTGGAAAAAAACAAACATTCCTGCAACCAATGAAAAACAATCTTGGTGGTCAACAGGTTGCTCAAGTCAGGTTTCTCAAAGCAGGCAGGTAGAAAATGTGTATTTTGCAAAAGATAAGAGGTGAATCTTGTGCACAAAACCTGTTTGTAAGACCTGAAGGGGTTCACTTTCTGCATCATCCCTTTAAACATCCCGGGGTTCTGAAAAGAATGGTAAACATTACTTCTGTTTTATTTGACAGAACTGATAAGATCAACCAAGGTTACTATAAGATATAAAGATAAATGTCTTTCAGCCGCTCTTTGGTAACGGAGACTTAACGTTTTTTGTCTCGTTAACACACTCAATGCTTTTTTTGTGTCTGCAGAAACAAAAAAAACATTTTAAGAGAGCGGCAGAATGCTTTGCAACCTCAAATTCCTTTGTTTGGCTCCACCTTGTGGCAGCATTAAGAACTGACAAATCAAGCATTAAACAAAATAAGATCCATTATTTCTAGTAATTTAACACAGCTGGCAAATACATATAAACGAAAGACGATCTGCTGATTCAGTGCTGCAGGAATGAATCCTATAAATGAATCAATTGTTTTTCACGTCTGGTTTCCTGTTTGTTTAAATGCTTGAAATCAAATCGGCGACTTAACAAGCGTGCGTGATTTTAAGTTCTTCATTTGAGGACTTAATGTGTTGCTCAATGTGAAAAAAATCGCGTTCCTTCTTAGCCGTCTCTTTAGTTCATGTCATCGTCATCAAGCGGCCGCTGTGGCCGTCCCCCCACCTGGTTGGCGTCTGAAAGACGTCCCTGCTCCAGCGACTCCGACGATGACGCTTCGGAGACCTGTGAGAGAAAAACCAGCTGAGTGGAGGGCGTCGCCGTGTGACACGCCGGCAGCCCGTCGCCACGGCGACGCCCTCGCTACCTGGGAGAAGGACTTGAAGGGGTTGACCTTCTGCATGGCCCCTCTCAGCACACCCGGGCTCTGGAACACAAGGTTTCAGAAATGGAAGAAGTTACAGCAGGAAGTTGACTGGTCACAGCTTTAGGATTCACTATTTGAACCCCCGATGGAGCCGACAGTGGACCACCTGCTCCTCAAGTTGAGCTCTTCTCACCTGCGTGGCAGCGGCTCCGTGTTCCAGAGACTCGGAGGAAGCAGCTTTGCTCACTTGGGACGGGGCCTGAATAAAGAACTAAAGCTTTATTCAGATTTCCCCTTCACAGTGTTACAGTTTAGCATTCACATGTTTTTTGTTTTTGTTTTTACCTGTGAGGAAGACTTGAAGGGGTTGACCTTCTGCATGACCCCTCTCAGACCACCAGGGCCCTGAAATAGGGTTAAATACAAAAGAGAATTAAAAACACACACTTTAATAAAAAGAAAATGGCCGGATCACAAATCAGAGTGAAATCTCTTTTTTTCAGCAAACATGTCAAACCTCCTCCTGTCCAGCAGGAGGCGGTGATGCAACCTGAACGTTACTCTGTGGCCTGACCTTTAACGTCTGACCTTTAAACATTCAGCAAATTCACTTCGTCATTTCATCCGAAATGTCCTGACATCGCCCGCACACACACACACACACAAAAAAAAAGAACACTTGTCACTGTGAAGGCCATTTCCCCTGAGCACTCATTGAGTTCTCGCCTGTGAGGAACCGGCTCCTCGCTGCGGCGGCGGCGACTCCGAGGAAGCGGCGCTGCCGACTGGGGCCTGAAGACGAAAAGAGGAAAGCGGGAGGGACGTTTGACACCTCATCAGCTTCCGTGGGGCCGATTGCAAAGCTCTCGTGGTCTTACCGGTGAGGTTGACTTGAATGGGTTGACCTTGTTCACAGCTCCCATCATCCCCGTCTGACGTTTTCAACAAAAACACTCAGGTCAATGACACACGTCGAACAAAAGGGGAGGAAAGCTGCAGAGGCGGCGTCGCCGATGAGCGCCTGACCTTTGGCTTCGGGTCGAGGTCACGCGTGGCCTCGCCGGCGGTGACTTGGTCCCGGCCGTGCTCGATGGGGTTGTCCAGATCCTGGCCGAGGGTTAGAAGTCTCAATGAACGGACAGACGGACACAAAAACGGGACGTCCCACGTACCTCCACCTCGCCCTGCGTACCTCCTTGGCGGGTCGGGGGGGAACCACCGGGGTCGGGGCACTTTTCTCTCTTCCGAACAGGTTCATGCTGCGACACATTGGGGTTTGGAATATTAGGAGGTGATCAGGCGCCACATTTAAATGCATAATCTCACCATCCCGCTTTTAGACTAAGAAAAGAACAGCACGTCCCCTGCTGCCAAGGTCAACACTGTCCAACTATCCCAAATCAACTATTTGTCAATACACGCTACCGTGTTTATCTGGTGAGCTCGAGTCGTTCTGTGGTTTCGTTTTAAAGCCTCGCTTTTACCGAACAAATCTAGTTTGTATCGTTCCAGAAGCGTTTCCATTGGAATCGGGCCAGAGGGGGGAGAAACTTTCTAAAAGCGACAAAGCAGCGACACAGAGCGACGCTTTGGGAAAACGGGACCGCGCCGAATTGAAAGACGCGTCCACGCGAGTGACTCCAGAGGTGGAAGACGCTTTTTCGCGACGTGTATTTGTAACAAACAACGGCGACAACCTTTAAATTGGCGGAACCGGGAGCGCAGTCTGGTGAGAGGCGCGCGCGCTCACACACACACACACACACACACACACACACACACACACACACACACACACACACACACACACACACACACAGGAATGTTCGACTTAACAAAACACCGGCGACAACGCAGCGAAACTGTGCATACCTCGGGGATGTCGCACCAACACACACAAAAACAACAATCTACCCGATGCAAAGAGACAACAAGCTACTTTGTAATGGCGTACCTTCACTTCCAGACGCGTCCGACCGGTTTGGCAACGGAACCGGAGTCTGACCCGCGCAGGCTTTTATTACCGAGGACCACTTCCCGGTGGTGGTTTCATTGAACGTTTCGTTCAAAAGGAGAACAGCGGATCGTGTGACTACAGGAAAAAAACGCTTCACAAAAGCAGAACGAAACTTGGTTGGTAGTTTGAGAGCGCACGCACATCACCTGGGAGGGGGCGTGGCCTCTGTGCGCCGGTAACTCGGGAGTTAAAAATAAAGTGAATAACTTCAAATCAGGGAAATCAAACCCTCGTGGTACCGATTCGTGGTTTGTAAAGTAACACGAGGTAATTCAAATCATTACAGCTATGGACATAAAGGAGCCTTTAAAGTCACTGAATGTACTCGCACCCAGGCTGAACGAATACAAATACATATTTTCTTCCCTTTCCAGTCTTTATTCAAAGATGTAATGTATTATAATAAAAGCAGATAAAATAGGTTTAACAGATTATGGGACGGTATAGTAGGAAAATATACTGCGAGCGGGCAGGAGCATCCAGTAAAACAGTTAAAGAGAACAAATATTTTAACAGTTACATTGAATATTACAAGTTAACTGAGATATTAGTTAGGTATATCTACACATATGCACAAGAACATTTACAAAAATATTTTAAAAAGATTAGGCTTTAGACAAAAAAAAAAAAAAAGCTTTTGTAACTGGTGAAGCAGCAGCCGAACAGGCTTTTTGACTCTTGATTTTGTCCACACCAACATTGACAAATAAATAATCACATGTGCTTCATTGCCGTTTCGAAGAAATGAAAGGCTGGTGATCTATTAAAAATAAATTTTGTGAATACAAATAGCGATTTATCTTTCCATAGTGATGTGAGGAGGAAGTTATTTACAGAGTCCTGGCAATAAACTACATTTATCTCAATTGAAAAAAAATGTATAAAGCAAACATGCCTGTTTCAACACATTTAAAACTACTCCATAAAACGAGGCAGTGTCAGATTCCTCTTGTTGGCGCATAGTAGAATCTTAACTACCAATATTTGTTTGGTTTCACAACGATAACCAAGACCGTAATTGGAAAAACGAATAGGTTCTGCAAAAACACTTATAGGGCCGTATAGCCCTTTTATTTATTAATCTGTCTGTTATTTTGTTGAAACGGGGTAAGAGGTGGCATAGAACATTTTACCGTAAAAGGCTCCCGTTTTGAAATAGTCCAACAGTGGTTGTGGAAATTACACTAAAAATCTGTGAAAGTTGAACTCAAAATCATCTGTGACCACGCAGCTCCATTTAGAAACACCTTAAATTTAAAACCCGAGTGCTCAAATCAGTGGGCCTTCTTTTGTTATTTCGACCAGTTTCTGTGTGCAGTCACAGCATAACCCAAGTACAGCTAAAGTCACGTGGAGCCTTGAAAGAACCAGCTGAATCTCCCTGCATAATCCACACCACACCTTAAAACCAAGAGTTCCCTCACGTAGCCAAGAGAGGGCGCTGCCGTTGCATTTGGAAAAGTACCCTTTGCTCATATGTCCCCAGTAGCATCCTGTAGCTCTTCTCTGATAGCATTCAGCTCCACTATCCCGTCATTCAGCGCATTTGCCACCTCCTTTATTTGCGTCACCACCTCTTTCTTGTGGCCTTTCTTCAGCTCCTTGGTGTCCTTGAGGAAGTACTTGTCGATGCCTTTGAAGAGTCCTTGGATGGAGGCGAGCGACTCGTCAGTCACCTCCGTCCCCTTCATCACGGGCGAGTCGACCAGGCTGATCATCTGGACGGCCCGTCGGGTCTCCCAGTCCTTGGAGTAGTGGCGCGTGCCGGACCTGAGGAAGGGATGGCCGCGGAGTTTGTACACGCCCGTGTTGACAAAGTGGAGGATCTTCCCGATGGCCTTCAGGTGAGCCTCGTACTCCTGCAGGACGCTCTCCACCTTGGGGAGAAGAGATACGGACCGTAGGTCAAGGTTAAAAACGTTCAAAGAAATCCCCCACCCCCCAAAAAGAGGTGAGGTTCAAGCAAGAGGTCACGAGGAGACGGAGTCGGGAAATTCCAGCCTACCTTCTTCCGGTCGTGGACGTTGTTGACGTTATCGGAGATGGCCGCGGAGGCCGAGGCGATGCCCCCCGCCGTCGCCATGCCGACACCAACGGCTGTGACCACGAGAGAGGCGCCAAAGGTAAAGGGCGCCAGAGCCAGACCGGCAATGGCGGTCACCCCCCCGACGGCTGTGGTGGTGCCGCCGGTGATGCCGGCGATCTTGGCCTTCTGGTGGAACTCGTTGAGGTTATCGGCGATGGAGTGGAGCGCGATGACTAACTGCCAGAGGACCTCGGCTCGCTCCGTGAAGACTTTGTTGAAGACCCGCAGGCCGCGATGGACCTTGTCCGCCAAGATGGTGAACGACCTGCGATTAATTTGAGAGCCAAAAAGGAAAATGTACGAGTGAGGAAGCAGCACCTTAAGTCTGGTTGCGGATGCAAAAGGCCAAATGATGAATGCTTGAATTCTCCGGCGTAAAAAAACGACAACACACTTTGATTCGTCCTCCTGTAGGACTTTGTCCTCATCGTCCGACGGGACCTCATCCCATTCTGAAAGGCAGTCAAACAAAATGAGGTTTTAAAAAGTTTCCTTAATCTGAAAGTTTAGGCTACATCTTAATTATGACTCACGTTCCACAGTGTTCCACCACTCCATCAAACTGTCAGTGTCCTGGGACAAACAGGTAAAAGCATCATGGTTCAAACCACAGAACTCCCGCGATAAAAACAGGAAAGGCGCTGAAATGGAAAACTGACCCCGTCCTCGCACTCCTCCTCCAGAACTGCTAAGGCATGCTCATCCCTCTGAGCAGCCTGCCACTCCGCCTGGGGGGGGAGGAGGGTGGAAACAAGCCAGAGAATAAGTCTTTCAATCCATGTAACACTATAGGAATGACTTCTGGTTGGGGAGTAATGTTGCTAAACCGGCCCAGCCAGGTGTCAAAGGAAGGCGTTCCATAACATTTCCAGTTTCTCAAGTGTCAGTTTAAAGCAACAAAGTTGAGTAATGGTTTTTGGGACAGCTACTCATGTCGCAAACCAAAGCTTTGGTTTGTACAAACACGGATTGCAAGTTGTTTGGTCATCGCACTAATAAATTGAATTTCACTACCAAATGTTGGCCCATTATAAATCATTTCCACTTTTGTGGGTGCAAACGTACCGCGGCGGCCTCTGACAGGAAGTTACCAGACGTGGCTCCCGGTGGACCGTCCCACTCGGGGGGCGTGGCTTTGTTCTGGTGTTGGGACACAAAGATGAGAGCATGCGGTTACCTTTTTTTTTATTTATTTTTTTTATAAACCATCTGGAGTCAGGAGCAAAAATCCATCCCTCTGGTGATCAGGAGGAAGTTAGACCACACTAACTCACCAGTTTCATGAGGTCTTTAGCTTTGTCCCTCTTCTGTCAAGAAGAAAGAACACAGGAGGAAAACATTTAAGAGCAGCACCATCCATAATCCATAAATGGGAACATGAGTGTGAGGAAAATTACCGGTTTGCACATTTCGACCTCGTCGTCTGCGGGGTCGTACATCTCTCCGGGACTCCGGCCAAATTTTCCTGTTTCGTAAAAGTCATCCCCAGCAAAGTGATTCTGCAAAACAGAGACTCCGAAGTAAAAACTGAAATATTCTGTAGTACTAATGGTCACGCGTAGTCGTGCGTCGAAGCAGAACTAAACATACATCAGGTGCTTGCCGAGGTCGACTCTGTCCTTTGCCCGTCTTAGAGTGCCGTGCGAGGCCTTTGTGTTTGGCTACGTTCTGTTACAGCAAACAAACAAAATCAGATCCGTTAGGCAATGCTTGAGAATCCCATATGCGGTGAGGTGGAAAGAAAATCAACATCATCGGACAGCACAAGCTCTCCGGATTCTCCCCGACATCTTACTATTATTATTAAATCTGACCAGCTACAATTGTTGAACATATTGTGGTGTCACACCGATTTGCAGTCGTCCATAAAGTCTTCGTCGTATAGGTCGTCTCCCGAGAAGCTGCTCTTTTGTTTCTGAAGATTGGGGTCCAGCAAGTCCTAATAAAAACGTTTACAAAGAGGCCAAATCAAGTCATTTTTAGCAATTGTCTTGCATATTGTCTTCAGCTTTGCTGACGCAGCAGATTTTCCTCAATTGGTCTCTTCTACAGATGAAGGGGAAAAAAAATCTACCATTCACTAAAATAGGTGACAAAATATTCTTTGAACAAATAAATGTTGGTATTAAAATGAAAAGAAGAATGTTACAAGTTTGCAGACCTCCGTTTCATACGGATCTTTATCTCCATTCGGTGAGGACATGTAGTGTGCTGCTTGGAAGTGCTCATCGTCCAGAAGAGCAGCCTAAGCAACAGATTCAAGACAAACCGAGTGAGTAAAGAATGTTTGTGAAGAAAAGTCAATCAATCAATAAGTCATTCATCATCGCTTCATTGAAAACTTCAGTAGATGACACTCGAATGGGCCCTAAGCTGCAGTACACAATGTAATGTAACAAGAAAGACACCTTGCTAGTTGACGGAAGACGGCGGACACTTTCCTCTACGCCCTCAAACACATTATCCTAGGAGGGAAACAGCCTGGTATAAATAAACCATTTCCATTCAAAAGGGAAATAACAAGACCATTCCCCCCCCAACGCTGGACCCTGAGGGAATGAATCAGTACGTACCTTACGTACAGATGATGTTTAGGTGTTAACTGAACTGAAGCAGAGGGTTACCTGGGACTTCTTACGAGGTGTGTAGCCGTGTGCACCCAAAACTTCCTCTTGCGATTTATCCTGGTGCGAGAAAAAGAAATCCCTGCTTAGACATCCTCATACCTGAAATACAATGCACGAGTACACCCAGCCCGTACATAGGCGTACCTTTGAGTCTTTGCGAGGTGCAGATCCACGTGCTCCCTTTGGTTGAGAGAAAAGGTTACGGTCATTGGAGGTACAAACAAATATGCAGGGAAATGGAGAAATATTGGGTTCAGTAGACGTATAATACCTTTTCTACAACGATGCTGAATCCCCTTCTTGGCACGAATCTGATTTTCATCTTCTTTTTTGTCTTCTGGAGAGAGGAACGTTCGATCAAATCAAAGCAGGGCAGAATATTTACAGATCTCCCTCTAATTAGCATTTGATTTTACTTTATTTTATTACTTGTGCACTGCTGTCTTGTTGTCTATAGTTACACTGTCTACTGTCACGCACCAACCGCCAAGACAAATTCCTTGTATGTTTGACATATTTTGGCAATAAATGTTTCCTGAAATGGCTCATTAAAAATAACTAGCTCATACTTAGCATATGCATCCTACTTTTAAACAATCACGACTTTTGCATTGTTAACCACAATCATCCTGACATTAATATGCTTATTGCGATGAGTCAACATTTAGTATTTAAAAATAATAAAAATCATACAGTTCCGTTGCTGTCCATGTCTTCTTCTTCCTCACCAGGGCTGCCATCCAAAACTTTCCCCTGTAGACAATACATACATTTACCATTTGAGAAGACAAACTTATGTCTTTAAGAAATTACTTTAGGAATACGACCAAAATATTGATAAAAAAAAAAAAAAAAGATCCATCTGTGAAAGCTGACAGAAGGTACTTTACCTCTGACCATTGGCGAATGGAGTTTTTCTTATCGATGTCATCTTCCCACTTTGACATCACAAAAAGAAAAACGTTTATTGCAGAACCCGGTGAAGCATCTGCAAAACGACCCTCTGGCGCCGCAGGTAGCTCACCTGTGATTCTTGAGGTAGACGTCCGTTGGCGTGCTTTCCCATCAGCACGGAGGAAGTGAAGGACGCTCGTCTGAGCTTCCCGCCGCTGGTCTTCAAAAATGTCTTCTGAGGACAAAAGAGTTGCTGAAGCCCTGCTGGTCGATTTACGCTTTTGATGAACGCAGGAACAATTCCACCTACTTTGTGGACCATCTCGTCCGGCTCTCCTTCATTCTCTTCTGAAAGATACTCCTGAAAGAACGAACAGAAGCACTGAGGAAGTAAACATTGATGCGTTTGGGATCTAATGCAACAATACTTTCTGGCCTTGAAACAACTGCTTAATTATTTAAAATAAAATAATTAAACAATTAAAGTGAAGATATGGCTTACTTCAGCGTACTTACACAATTGCCAGTTAATCCCAGACACCCGGATCGTTACCTTTGATGATTTACGAGAGTTGGGTAGCGACCTGCTCTTCCCCTCCTTCGCTTCATCCGGAAACTTCTCCTACAAACGAGGAAGCATCACCATCATGAAGAGGAGCGTGAAAATCCAAACAGAAGTAGTCAAAACAGGGATTGTGCATTGCGTCGCTTGCCTTCGACCCTCTTCTAGAAAGTAGAGACAATCGGAACTTTTTGTCGCTTTTCTGTAGAATTAAAAGAATCTATGTTGAAGTATACAGTTGATGACCGCCGTAGAATGTCAACCAGAGGGGAGTTAGAAAGTACCTTCACAGAACCCTCCTGGTCGTCCCCACTTCCCCCTTCAGAGAGCGCCTTCACCTAGGACAAAGGTTGGCTTCTTTTAGTGTCTTCCTTCTGCTTACCAACAAACTATTCTAAATAGAGAAAGAACTTGTTTCTTACTTTGAAAGAGTCTCGTCGTAGTCTTAAACTTCCCGCCTTGTAGAAAGAAAAAAGAAAAGACATTTTTGATAAAACAGAAAGTAAGTAAGTTTTGAGGTAGCGTGCCAACATATTCAGGGCGAAGGTGACGCAAACGGTTTCTCACTGGTTTGAAGTCCGGGTTAAGCTGAGGGCTGTCATCAGGCCAGTCTTCCACACACCTTTCCTGTTTTACGATTCAAGTTATCGTTTGGCATCAGACACTTTCTGTGGTTTAACAATCCGTCATTCCATCCAAAGACACGATTACCTCAAATCTAAATCACTTGTCATTATCTGCTGAGGACATTAGCGCCGGGCGGAATGGAGAACATGTAATCAACATGTTCTCGGTAAATGGCTAGGCGCCACTGGTGGTTTGCCACAATATGAAGTTTGTGATAATGAATGCTTAAAAGCAAATGGCAGCCAGAAAAGCATTTTTTGTTCTGAAAATGACATCACTTTACCATAATGAAGCCTTCAAAAACCCAGAAAAGAACAATCCTACTGAAAATCCTCTCCACTTCATGCTCACCTGTCCAGTCAGCAGGACGCTCTCATAGTGGGCCGAGTCCTCAGATTCCATTAGTTTAGTTTCCTAAAATGAGGAATATTTGAAACATGCACCGAAAAAGATTTGTTCCATCGAAACAACATTTCCCATTACTCCTCATTAGATATTTTAAACAATATCTGAAGACGAAGTAGCTACTCATGTAAAGTTGCAACAGCATGTGCACCGTAGTTTGGGGTTTGGGTGGAGTAATTGACCGTAGGGCCGGTCTGACGGATGGTTTCGGAGGGACTTTTGGTACAGTTGCTTTAGGTTCAATCTGAAACAAAAGAGGCAAAAAGGGAAAAAAATCACAGCAGGGAAATGACAGAAGAGTAATAACATGCCAAACTGTGCTCATTGCATACAGGGTTTTCTGTTGTTGGTGGTCTACTTCGAGGAAGCGGCTTGGGCGGACGTTTGAAAGTCTGCACCTGCAAGTTTTATCAAAAAGAGTGAAGTGCATGTCATAAACATCAGATTTTTCGACTAGACGCACCCTACAGTAAGAAGTAGAATGTATTAGCATTGTCCAAGTAAGAAATTGTTCCATACATGAGTCATTTCAGCTGAAGAATGGCTGCGTAGCACGGGACGATTTCTGCCCCGAGTGAAGGGAGACTGCTGAAGAATATTGTGTTCGGTTCCCTGAGGAGTCGTCAGGAGAATATCGTGCGGCCTGTCGGTCAACTTTGCTTGGATGGCCGGGGTAGATTGCGATGGCGTTTCCGCGAAGAGATCTAGCGGCGACAGCATGTCCGACTTCGTATCGAACGGGTTGTTGATTAAAGGGGTCGAGTAGATGGGCTTCAGGACAGTATTTCTGGAAGTCATCCCGAATACCTCCCTGCCGTTGGGCTTTGGGGGAAGCGGTTTGAAGATGTCCGGAGTCTCAGGGGAAACATCTTGAAAAGGCACAAAGTGACTTGCGGGAGTGGTACCAAACGGGTCGTCCAAACTGGAAACGTCTTGGAATAAATCCCTCGAGAGTGGGCTTGGGAATGGATCGACCATATTCGTGGATGAAGATGAAAAAGTATCCTTAAAAGAGAACATGCCAAAAACGTCTTCTTTCATAAAGGGATCTCGCTTGTCCTCACTGATGCTGGAGATTTCCCCACCTGCATCGTCGGGTGGGGAGGTATAGAACGGGTTTGCCGCCTCTCGCCGTGAAGACTTGAAGAGTTCGTCCTCCTCGTTTAAAGGAGATTGGAATGGGTCAACAAATATCATGGGAGATTTGTCAAACAGGTTTACCTTCCTGGTGCGTTCAGCATGGAGCAAATCCTCTTCTTTGGTGGCCTGGAAAAGATTGACCTTTTGCTCTTGAAGCAGGTCAGAGCTTTCAAACGGCAAAGGTTTAGAAAGGTTCTGTGGTTTGGCGGGGATTGGCCCAAATAAGTTCTGAGAGTCATAGGCGATGTCAGGAAAATAGCCATTTGTAGTCGCGTTAGTGGCCAATGCTGGTGCCTGGAAGGGGTCTTGCACAAGGTTGGGGGTAAAGGTCTCAAATGGGTCCTTTGGAAGTTGAGAAAATTCAGCACCCTTTTCCGTGGTCGTCATTTCAGGCTGAGGATCCAGAGGTGAAATCTGAAAATTGGGCCAAGGGACAAGGACGGTATCTTGTTTCAGGTCCTCTGACGTTTTCCCCCCAACGTCCTCCGTTACAGGACCATCGGCGAGAGAGTCCTGATAACAGAACACAAGGTCATCAGGTATGTGCTCGAGGAAGATTTTAGTACCTAAAGGAACGTTGTGATCTGGAATCCTCATACTTACCAAATAGTTTGTATAAAAAGGGTTAGCCGTCCTAGCCACGTCCCTATTGACTCCATTCTGAGGAAGGGAAATGAGACAGAGGAGATGTTAGACGTCACTTGGACTGGCATCTGACAACATATGAGGATGGAGAGCTTCCTGCCTTCCGTCCTAAAAGAAACAGAAGGTGACCCGGCAGAAATGTGACATGCGGAATAATTGATAGGGCGTGAGCAAAACGTGAATTAACCTTTTATCTCAGAGACTGCTCAAGACAAAAAGGTAACGCTTTCTAAAATTAAAAAATATATGAGCCCAAAAACAATTAAAAAAAAAAAATAATTTACCATCTATTGCCATAGTTGTTCATTTCAGTTCCTGTTTTTTTGAACCAACTGGTTATTGGAAAAGTCGGGCCCCACCGTCAATCGTTAACATAAACAAACCTACCTAAAGACGCCGCAGGTTGTACTTCATCGACCAAAACAAGAGGCAGGGTGTGGATTCAACCGGTGTCGCAGCAGTAAGAACTTCCTCTCTGTCTTTCAGCCATTGACTAAATATCTGAAGAGCAGGGTCGGTGGTGGAATTCCACCGAGGTGACCCACATGTCGTGGCGTGTGCGCTCACCTGTCCTCTCTGCGGCTGGTGGTGGCGGCGGTCCGTCACACCCGAGGCAGCGGCGGCGGGGGAGGAGGCATCCGTGAGGAGCTCACCGGCCTGTGGCACAAACAACAACACCTTTACGGAGGACAGCGTGGGAAGTCACGCTTTTCGTACTTTTCCGATGCCGATCTGCAGTCATGTGTCACTTGCGAGAGAAATGTAAACAAAACAAACGTGACTCGTGACAGTTAAATTTAAACCACAGGCATTTCTTCCACCGCCCCTACAAAAGAGGCCGTTTGATGCATGTACTCCTCAATAGCATGGGTGTCTAACCTGTTTGCTTTGAGACTCATTCACAGACGACCCGCCAGAATCAGAGCTCGATGAAACAAGGTTCTGAGAAGGCGAGAGATGCAGAACAAAGCTCATTTGCATGTTCCTGTTTTGAAAATATTCATCCAGGATTGCAGCAGGGAGTCGACATTCCCTTTGTTGTTGCGCTTGTACTCGTTAGGGTGTGTGTGCGTGTGTGTGTGTCTTTGAGCTGTAAAGAAAACAAACAAAGTGGGCGTATGACATCGTGACTTTGAGCCGCAGGTGTGCGTTGCCGCTCACCTGGTATTGGATTTGGAAAGGGCTTTTGGAGACTCTCTTCAGGATGTTTTGCAGCGCTTCAACGCTCTAAAGAAAAAAATACACAAAAATCAAGCGCCTGCTTATCTGTTGGTTTACCGGGTTTAAAGTAAATACCTTTTACGTTAAAGTTATATAGTGAAAGGAGTTTTCAAACGGCAGGTTTTAGTCCCCATGACCTGGGAAATCAATGAGATGTCTGCATAGGACACTGAGCAGAGAAGGCGCTTCCCTGTTGTATTAGATTAACTTAAGAAAGAGTTTAAACAACTAGAGCACCGGCGCCCAACGCTGCAGTAAACCTGTTAAATGTCCCGTAGAAAAAAGGACCATTTTGTGGGTTTACTGCATAAAGTACCTGTTGTACTTTTGATAAGTCACACGTTTTGTTATGTATTGGTTTTCTTGTGGGAATCAAGTCACTGTGACTCACACTCTTGCTGCCAAAAAAAAAGTAGTCACGGACGTGACAGTGCAAAAGACATTCACACGAGGACATGTCCCACCTGTCCTCACCCGGTTACATGATCCACAGTGGGACTTGAAATACGTAACAAGCGGGGTGAGAATCACGCGCTCCCAAAGAAACAAGCGTTTAAAAGGAAAGAAAAAGAAAAGCACTCACGGGTCGTCTCCCCCCTGCTGCGCCGCCTGCGGGCTCATCGGACTCGGGCTCGTTTTCCTGATCAACATCCACGTCCAGAACGTCGGGGACATAACCGATTAAAACCCATTTAAACCACACATTATTCTCTGCAAACGTGGGAAGGAGCCTGCGGCAGACTGGAGACTTACCGTGTGCGTTTCTCCCCTCATGATCAGCAAAGTGAGCTGGAGGTTCAATAAAATGAGAATATTTTCTCCACCGAGAGAGATTTGGGGCCGATGAGGTTGTTGTTTTTGTTGTGTTTGTTTCTTAAAGCGAGTGAGCGTCCCCCTCCGAACGGGCGCCTCTCACCTCAGCAATCATCTCCTCGTTAGACTCACCTGTGTCCGCCGCGCGAGACGCCTCGACGTGCGGAATGTCACATTTCAAAATAAAAGGCGAAAACCTGCGTCAACTCAAATTGACGTTTCTTTGCATGAGCTTATTCGAGTAATTGACTTGCCCACATCATTATCCACAGAGTCACTGCATATATTCGGTTCTTTTTTATTGCTTTTGATGCTTATGTTATATACAAGACTAATACAAAAAAGAATTCTAATATTACATAAACAAACATGTAGAGGTTACTTTACAGCCTAATTTCCAAGAAGAAAAATAGTATCGTCTCTGTCAAGGTTATTTCTTTACTGTTGGATTTACCGTCACGTTTACTTCATATGGTCCCTGTCATCTTATTTTGAAAGTGAATTCTCTGCGTTACTTTCGGTGTATTCAGTGCAGACCGGTTGTCCTCGACCGAGCGGTGTGTTTCCGTCTTCGAGCCCTGTGCTGAGGGAGTAAACCCTGCACAAAGTTCTTCTTCAAGTTTACCAAATAACGTAATGCATGTTTCTTATACATCAGAAATAACAGTGATGGATCTGTATTTATGAATAATATCTTTGGAATAAAAAATATAAAATGTCATGGAAAAAAAAAAAAATTCCATGGCATTTTATATTTTTATTTATTTTTAAAACGTGTTTGACCTAATTCTTTTTGACTTTTCAAAGCATCGTTTGACCTAATATTTTTTACATATTTTGTTATTTTTCAAAAGATTTTTATACATATTATTTGATTTTCCACGACATTACTGTGACACCAGAAGACTTTTGTTTTTCAACAGATGTGCCGCCTTCCAGCCAATGAAGAAAGACAGGAGACGTGACGGGACTTTTCTCTGTAGCTTTTATTCGTATTTAAGTTTCCTTTTTTTAGGATGTTCATTGTGTTACACAGAGAAATTAACCACACAAGTAAAATTGATTGTATTCTCATTACTTTTCATCTTTAATTGTTTATTACATTACTCCTTCATCAGCGCTACTGCTAAGAAAGGTTACGCATGAACTATCACACACACACGGTTAACTACCTTGTGAGCACATCAGCAGGGTAAACTAACACTTCACAGAGATAACAAAAACACATCATGATAATAATCCCAAAACATAGAGGGCAAAGAAAACATGATTGAAGTAAAAAAATGAAAAGACAAAATGGACAAGCGTGTACTGCTCTCCGCAAATAAGTACCGTTCCTCTTCCCTTTTTGGCATCTTCCTTTCCTCCGCTCCACCTTATTTGGTAGACGCTCCGGGTAACCGGGTGCACGAGTCCTAATGTAAGTGTGGCGGGAGCGTTTACATTCTGCTTTTCAGCACGCCGGACGGCAGCAAAAGTGCCCTAAAAAAATCCCCCAAACTCTGCATTTACACCCGAGAACACGGATAGAAACAGCAAATTTTTCGTTCTTACGGTTTTAACTGGTGGCTGGGGAGCATCGCACCGCGGGAGAAGTGGCTTAAAAAACAGATTCTCTTTGTCATTTAACATCATCGATATCTCTCCCGAGCAAACCTCAGAGCGACTGTCAAAAATCACGCTGCTTATCAAAAGACGTAATAATGATGTTCTCTGAGTACGTTGGCAGTGAAGGGGCTGGTGCATTGTCAGTTACCGCTCACAGGGGAGGGTTTCGTTGGCCTCAAAATGTTAAATTACAAAAATGTGCACGCCGTCCCCCAAACACGCTTCACATTCAGCCCGCCTTCCCCCTCGGACACATCGCAACCTTCGCGACACGATCCTCTCGACCCTCCCCTTCCCGTCGCTGGCGAGGAACTCGTGGTCATCTTGACCGTCACCTCGCACAAAAAACGTAAAGCTAGCTGGGTTTCTTCGGAGGGCGAGGCCAAGAGGTTACAAGCCACATGACGAACACAGTGACCCCTGGTGGCCACGTCCAGCGCCGACACGCTGGCGCGTCAGCAGCGGCCCAACGCTTCCCGTTGGGCCGCACGTGGTACTGGAAGCCCTATTGGACTGGTGTTAACGTTAGCTACAGCTATGCAATGCTATTCCGTCACGCGATTACCACCAGGCTCAGCAAACGCACACACACACACACACACACACACGGACAAATTCTGAGGGCTGTTTCCAGGTTTGCAACTTCCAAGTCGAGAAAGAAAATATAGAAATAAAGAAAAGCTTCCCGTCCATCTCACTAAAATCAATTCTGATGGTAAAACGAAAGGTACATATAAATATACGGGGCCAATGGAAGACATGAAAAACCTTCAATCGGGTTAAAATGAGGAAATAAAATCAGATCAAAAAACGTTCAAATAAAAAGTAGTTGTAGTAGACACACATTGTTATAAGTATCTGTGCTGTAGTATGTCTTTTTTATTTGTATCTATGTATTTTTAAGCTCATTGTGTAATAAAGACAACGGTGTTACTCTTTTTTTTTTTTTTACTACGTCATTATAATCATCATCAGCTTCAATATCGCCGTCGACAACAGAGTTATTACTATCGGTTAATGCAAGGTGTACGGCCTCTATAGGCCTCCTCGTCTAAATCAAAGGGCTCTAGTGGCTGACCCAGAGGGAGGGGGGGAGGGAGGGAGGGAGGGAGGACTGCTGCCCCCCCCCCCCCCGATTAATCTCTTCTTGTCTACCCTTCTTATACTCACAGCAGAGCAGACCAGATGTTTGTCGGCCTCGAGGGGGACGCGAGCAGAGGGACGGGTCCCTCTGGAATCCCTCGGTTTCCTTTTTCTCTCCCACAACCCTTCCTCGCCTCCCTCCCTCCCTCCCTCCCCCCCGTCTCCAGTCCTCACGCCGCCTCTTGTGGCGATGGAAGTTGATCAGTGACAAATAAGTGACCCATCCCTTTTTTTCCCCCTCCTACACCGTCGGCGCTTCACTTTTCCCTTTCCCTTCTCACTCCATTTTTTTTTTTTAATTTTTAATTTTTTTTTTTAATTCCCCCGGTTCAGCAGGACACCTCCATCGTCTGGGAGGGGCTCGGCGGCATCTGGCCGCCCTGCGAGCCCTGGGACAGGGTGCGGGAGCGAGAGCGGGACCCCTCCATGGAGTAGGAGGAGGACAGGGAGGTGGTGCGGGAGCGGGACAGCCGGGTCATGCAGGACGAAGCCACTGTGGAGACAACGGGCGACATTTAAAAAAAGGATCAATATGGCGTTGTTCTGCCGGGTGATGAGTGGACTTACTGTAGCCCATTCCCTGGATGAAGTACTTGAACGCCTCAGTCAGTTTAGCGGGCTGCAAGCGTGAAGAAAAGAAATAGTTCAATCACCAGTCATTGTACAGAAAATGTGCATTTCGGGAATCCAACATGGCAGCCAAGGAGAACGCTTTTTTTCAAAGTGGTCTGTGGGTTTTGGAAAAGAAAAAGGGATGAGGTCACATTAGAATCAGGCAAAGGTTTAACCCCCAACGTCTGCTTCACAACACGGTTTGGTTCCTCCATTTCTCAGTGCGTCCTTTGAAACGCTCGGCCGCGGTTTACCTGGGTCAGCTGCGGGAGACCTCCGGCGTCGGCCATCTGTGGAGGTCGGAGAGGAGAGAGGCGTGTGAGAAATTGGAGGTTATACTGAGAGCAGGTCCAAAAAAAAAAAAAGAACAGAATTGAAGGTGCGTTACTTTTAGGAAGGAAGTGGTCGTCGGATCCATTTTGCTGTTGCACTCCACCTAGTGGTCACCAGAAGGAAGCGGCTGTAAACCCTCAAACCATCAAAAGTCTCTGCGCGGCTGTCAATCGGATCAGAACACTTCTCGTCACTTACGGCCGCCTCCTCGTACGGAGCCTGGTCGCCCACCACCAACATCACTGGACACCTGAGGGGGGGGGGGCGGGGGGCGGAAGCAGAGGCATTTAAAAGGTTTCAGGGGGCAGAATGCGGCGACAAAGGTCCGGAGGGTCTTTACTTGAAGGAGCTGCTGCGGTCGATGTTCAAGTCCCTGCGGCTGGAAGGGAAGGAAAAGAGAAGATTATCGCGGCCGTTGGTTGATGGATGAGTTTCTTTACCTTGTCGTGGCGAGGGGGGGGGGGGGGGGTAACTCACCTGTTGTACGTCTTCCAGAGGAGCTCTATGTTGACCAGATTGGACGCTTTGGAGATGCGCTCTCTGTGAGACTGCACTAGATCCGAGTTGGAGCTCAGCTCCTCCTGCGAGCAAAAACAAGTCGCCAAAATGAGGCCCAAAACTCATCAGAGCTGCTTAATGGGACAACGAGGTCGCTGTACCTGACTGAAAAGGTGGGACATGATCTGCTCCGTCAGAGAGGACGTCACGGAGCTGAGCTGCGGAGGGGGAGGAGGAGCGATCATTAGGGGTTTGGGTTCAACGGGACCAACGGCGTCACGCTCCGAGGGCTGCGTACCTTCTGAGCGGCCCAGTCGATCCAGCCTCGGGCGTCGGGGTCGATGTTGACCAGAACCAGGCCTTCCACCGAGTCCGGGTTCGCCATCTGATCGCGGGAAAGGAGGCAGGAGGAGAGACGGTGAGACGACAGCAGAGTCTCAATGTTGACCGGAGATGAAAAGCAGTGATTGAACAGCAGAAGACACTCACCGCGAACTTGGAGAGGACGTACGCGCCCACTCCCACTCCCACTCCGATCACCGTGCGGAAGCTGGCGGGAACAGGTGAACGTTTTAAAAAGTGGGCGGAGCTGCGGGGAGGGGCTAGTGAGACGGCGCAAAACGAAAGATACCGTTAACTCACTTGAAAAACTGCAGGACGGAAGGGATCATCTCTGCGATGGCGTCCATGGAGGGGTACTGGTAACTACAACAGGAAGCGCAAAACACCAACTGCTTATTTCTAATTCGCAAGAACTTTCCCCAAAATACAGGATGGCAAAAATTGACGACATTTCATTTCATCTTAAGCACACTTTTATCCACAAAGGGGGATTTTTAAAGAAGTTCCAAAAGGGAATAAGCCTCAGCGGGAGGTCAGAGGTCGCTGCCGAGACGATACGAGAAATGAAATCCGCTGCGATAGAATCGAGAGAAGATTTCCTTTAAACCGCCGACGAGAGCGCGGAGGAGGGAGATGTGAGACACGGGGAGTATTTCGGGAAGGGATTAGTCACAAGTCCGCCACAGAAGATTATTTCCACTTCTGAGAGCTTCTTTTTTTTTTTTTTTTTTTCCCCGCTTCTGGAAAAACCAGCAGGCGGGAAGACGCGTGACCACGGGCCGGCGAGCGCGGTACCTGGCGGGGTAAGGGGCGGCGCCCTCCTCCTGCCCCGGGGCGTCCACGTGAATCAGGGTGAAGTTCTTCACGATCTCCTGCATCTCCTCGAACTTGAACAGAGGGGAGAAGCAGCTCTTGTCTGCCGGAGAGGAACACAAAAGGGGGGAGGAGGTGAGAGGTGGGGGAGGGGGGGTCAATCAAAAAAGAGACGGAGCAGAAGGAAAAGGCGGAGGAGGGAGGGAGAGAGAGAGAGGGCGGAGCTACTCACTGTCCAGACCCACGTCGTGGAAGGTGAGGATGGCCGGCCGGCGGGTGGTCCGCGTGCCGTGCAGGGTCACGTGCAGGACGCCGTGGGGGGTCTCGATGTTGTGCTCCTGGGGAGGGAAAGCAGCGGGACCTTAACAAAAACATCTGGATCTTTCCGGACCCTCTCAGCTCCGCTTGAGCTTGAACGTTACGAAACAGTCGTACCTGTCCTTGGTCCAGGAGTATCCTAGCAGCCAGTTCAGCATCCTGGGACAAAAGACAGAGGGACGTCTTGTGAGAGCAAGATGTGCATTTTGGTTGCTGGGTAGATTTTCTTCCAGTCCTTTTATGTTGAATGGGGTCCAATCATCACCCACGCAGACAAAGGTCGATGCCGGAAACCTTTTCAGAGGAGCTTGTGGGACACGTGTGCAGTCAACGCGAAGCTCATTTTCTCTCCGTGTTAAATGTCTTAAATAGATGGATGGCGAACAATGACCCCCCCCCCCCCGGTCTCCATTACACTTCCTCCTCAGAATGACCAGTCGCCGTTCCTTTGGTACTCTGAAAGAATGTCACCACTTCATCGTTTCACCCCGGTTGACTTTGTCTCATTAGCGGATGTTAATTGTTATTTCACGGGCAAAATGTTGGGAGGTCAAAGTGAGGAGTTCATCTCCCAGTGGCAAAAATGAATCAGAAATTCCGCCTTTTTCAGTGTGTTATTAATTTCAAGGGTTTAAAAGGTAAAAAGGTAAATTGTTATTGTGTATTAATTCAGCTTTGTCACCACACAACATGCAAATGTGTGCGTTTGTCCCTTGTGTAAAACTCTTTTTTGTTTTACACAAAAACACTTCTTTGCTCGCCAGACGTCGCCAGTGAGAGACCCTCGGCATCATGGGAGAACTGCCCCCCCCACCCTCACCCACCCCGGGGCTTTGACGGTCAACCCGACACAGCTTTTGCCAGACAGAGAACACCCCACACATACCTGTTGAGACACATGTTGTCGCATGTAGGCTCGAATGAGCATAAACGTGCACAGTAGGAACACACATGCAAGTCAACCCTTGTTGTCCCGTCCCCTGGGACACACACACACACACACACACACACAGACTCACAAACAGAAGCAGACTGAGGCATTCATGCATTGATGATTCTCCTGGTTCACACAGACATCAGCTCACGTGTGCGTGTGGCTGCAACTAGTACACGTGTGCAGTATTTCTGTGTGTGTGTGTGTGTGTGCGCGTGCGTGCGTGCGTGTGGCATCGTCTCTGACCTTGGACTCAGCCTGACCCGTGAGCAGCGGCTTCTCCTCCGTGATGGCGATCTCCTGCATTTCGGTCGTCATGGCGTCGCCTCCTGTAGGGGTGAGATTTGGTGAGAAGAGACGAAACTATGAGGAGTGAAAGCGCGGAGAGGCGGAGGCGAGCGGAACGCCAGAGACGCTGAAGTGGCCGATAACGGCGGAGCCCCCCCTCCCCCCACCCCACCCCGTTTGTCTTCACACCTTTACAGCCTCAGCGCGTGTTACTTTGTGTTACTTTGTGCTCCTTTGTGCGGAGCTAAAAACCCGGGCCGGAAAACGTGGCGCCCCGTCTGGCGAGAGGCGGCTTTAGTTTCATTGACATGGCCACAGCAAGCGCAGGTGTGGCAGAATTAATCATATTTACAGCCAAATTAAAAAAAGTAATTTAACCTAAAAACCACCTGGGTAACTTCTTTGTATGATAGGTTGGTAAAAAGTATCGAGGTCAAAGGTCAAAGCACTGCTGGATTACCACCAATTCTGTTGTGCGGATTCAGAAAGCTGGAAGGGAACGTTGACGTAAGCGAGAGAGAACACATGGTCGCCGTGTCCGTTTGACAGCTTTGCTAAGCTGAAGACCTTTCGACATCACATGTGCGTGTGCATGTGTGTGTGCATGTGCGTGTGCATGTGCGTGTGCATGTGCGTGTGCATGGGTGTGTGTCATGCTCGTGTGTGCACATGTTTAATTCCTCGCAGTAGATTCCTATTCCTTGTGTATTTGTGGATTCCTGCAGCCGGTGTGACTCGTTCGTCTCCAGCGTTCAGCTGTCGGAGGAAAGAACCCGAGCGCGTCACCGCGTCGTGTTCCCGGGGCGGTGAGCTCCCCCCATCAGAAACAGAAATAAATGCAAAAGGGGCCCTTGAGTTCCTCGCCGATACTTTACACCGCGGCCGGGACCCTATTTTTACACGACGGCGGAGCGAGTTTGTTTACGGGCTCCTCTGTGTGTGTCGACAGGATCCTGTTGGCCCCCCCCCCTGGTTGGGTGTTTGGAACGTTACGCTGCAACCGGCTCCCTGCAGACAAAACCAGTTCTAGGAAAGAGAAAAGACCGAAAAGGACCGCGGCTAAAAAAAGAGACAGCAAACAGTTCGGCTTCATTGGCCTCGACAAACCGCTCCGATTGGCTGCCGGTGGCGAGAGCGAAACCACAGCAGAAAACAACGCAATTAGCGTAAAGATGCTTAAACGGTAACCATTGACGACACCTCCCTGCCTCCGCCCGCGTGTGTGTGTGTGAGTCGGAGCGTGTAATAACGGCTAAGCTGCACAGGAGGCGCCGTCTGTCGCCATGGACAGAGAAAAGAACAGATTTGCATGAAGCGCGAGAAGTAAAGAAAAAAAAAAAAAAAAAAGAAATACAGGAGAAGAGAATGTGTTGCTGGCCCAGAAAATGTGGGGGTGTTTGGAGGATCGTGAGGTGGGAGGCAGGGAGGGGGGAGGAGGAGAGGGGAGGAGGGGGCGTTTCGTCGCTCTTTACTGCTGTCAGACAACAGTTGTTGGGGCAGAAGCATCCGGCTGAGCGCTTTTTGGATGGCGTCCGTATTTGTCTTTAATCAAACCACCGGACCGTCGATGCAACGGGAGAAACCCCCCCCCCCCCCCCTCCCCCTCTCCCCCCTCCGTCTCCACCGGCCCTCTTCCCTCTAATGTCGTCCTCCGTCTCTCCGCGAGTCCTTTGTCCCGAGCGAGGGAAAGCGAGAGGAATGGGCAAAGAGCTCGGACGGACCACTCGTTTTCTGGGGGGGGGGGACGCGTCTCTGAACTATACCATGTATGCAACACACACACACACACACACACACATTAGACACACACACACACACAGGCAGTGTGTCAAAGGTCATCTATACTGGGAATGTCGACCGGAAGGCCTGAGCGCCACGAGGTCAAACCAGAGAGTTTTAGAGGGTTCGGCTTGTGGAAGCTTTTATGTGGAGATGTTCATATTCAAACATCTGGTCGGGGGCGGGGGGGGGAGTTGAGGGGGGAGGGGGGGGGATACCACGTAATGCGTTTACATCCTGCAGCACGTTGAGGCTGTTATTGATGCTTATTATTTTATTTCTGCTTTCTAGTTCTGAGATGAATGAGGATTCATTTCACATTTTAGGAAAGGCTGTTTCTATCGGAGCATTAACAACCTCTCATGAAACATCGGGATTTGCTGGGGGGGGGTGATCGGGAGGGGAGGGGCTGTTCCTAGGTGTGCTGGAGTAATTACAGTTGGAGAGAGAGAGAGAGAGACAGAGACAGAGAGAGAGGGAGGAAGATGAGCGACTAATGCCTGAGGAGAAAGGAGGCCCACCATGGAGACCGAGAGAGGAGCCAAAAGCCCCCCTCGTCTCCTCTCAAAGCCCCCCCCCCACCCCCCCACCCCCCCACCCCTCCTTAGATTCCCTGAGCTGCTTCCCACGGCGTTGGATGGGCAGATGAAAGCTTGTTTTCTCTCTCCGTCTCTCAGCGCATCGCTCCCGGCCTCTTATCTCCGCAAACCCTCGGCGGCTCGGCTCGTCCTCTCATCATCCAGCCCCCCGATTGTCCCCCCCCCGTCCCCGTCCCCCAAGCCCTCGCCTCCACTCAGACCTGCCGTCTCCGTCCCGTGAGGCGAGCGGGACAGAGGGTCATTCGCCGGAGAGAGAGCGTCGGGCTTATTGAATGAGGGTGGATCATTTCATGCACTGATGTCGGCAGATGGGCTCGAGGCTCTCGTGACCGCCGGTCTCTTAGCAACGCCGGCCTCGCCTCAGTCGAGCGCATCGCACCTGCACAAGAGTTCAGGCCGACAATTCCATCTAATAAGCGATGCCAACCGTTCGCCGGCGAGGGGGGGGAAGCGAGCGCAGAGAGACTTGTGCCCGTTTCCCCAGATGGGATCATTTCTTCTGGTTTTGAACTTTTGGTCTGACGAAAACAAACAGTTTGACCAAAAGAACTTGAAGGGCTTTCTGGTATTTTTCTGAATAATAATATCGTATTCCACAACGGCAACCGTGTCTTAATAGCGACCACGGTGAAGAAGAAGCAGACCGAAGCGTGTGTGTGAATGTTCACTTTCTTCGGGTCAGACCCGTGGTCAGTTCATTCAGCGCGACACGCCGAAAGCGGCTTCCCATCGATTCGCTTCCATCCAAGTCGTAGGCGCTCAGACGAGAACGTTATCGCAGACCCACACAAACAAGCGCGCACGCACACGCACACGCACGCTGTAATCGACTTTCAGGCTCGGGTCATTTCATACGTGGGCGCGTACTGGCTGAGAGCCGATAAGAGACGCAGGGCTCCGTGACGGGGGAGCTGATTGCCGCGGAGGCCAAATATGAAACAGCTTTTCGTCGGGCTGAGACGTTTCTCCGCGTGCCGTGAGGCTTCATCACAGTCTGTGTACATTAACGCTGCCACTCATCAGCCTCATCTTCACCAAGCAGACGCTTTCTTTCATCTGCGGTCAGTTACCCCAAAGATATTAAATAGACATAAACATAGAAAAGGAAACCGCACAATAAAGAGCCTCTACGGATGGACGATGTTTTCCCTTCTTCTGCCCACCCTCGGCCCCCCTCGGCTCTTCCTCTGCCTGTGGATCTATTGACAAACACTCCTGGTTATGTAACTGTGCGCCGTAGAATGGCAACAGCAAACACACACACACACACACACACACTCAGTGAGCTGTTGCTTTGGACATTTCAGGTTGCGCCGCACAATGGCGTTGTTGTTAAAAGAAGAACACAAACATCGTTCGCCCATCTGACCTGAGGAATATGAATGGAGTCCGAGTGTTTGTCTATAAATAGGGTGTTGTGGAGGCCCGTTTGGCCTCGTGGGAACAGACAGCCCATTGTGGTGGCCTGTCTGTTATCTGGCCCCCAGTCATCGGCCAAACGGACTGAGCGGTCGCACACACACGAAAAGACGCACACACACACTGGCCCAGATGCTCGCATTGGGAGACTGTTGTGTTCTCGTACGCCCACGTGGTATAAAATCCATACGCTGTGACCCGGATGATGCTGCGCTGTAGTACACCTACACAGAGTACAAAAACGCCCTGACGAACACGCACCAGACGCTCCAACCGAACGATGGGCGCCAACGGATGAAAGCGGTGTGGACGCACCGAGGCTGGACTAATGTCGGGACGCCCACGCAGGCGGCCCCTCTCTCGTCGCGACACCCCGAACGCCAGCTCCGCGGCCACCAAACCGCGCGGCAGAGCCCGCCACCGGTTCGAGAGACGCGGCTCCGACTTCTTCGGATCCACCGTTTCAACAACCCAAAGCTGTTTCTCAGCAGCCGAGACGACACCAGCGTCTGGTTCCAGGTTTATCCGGTACTGGCCTGGCTCGCCAATCTACCTGTCAACGGTGTTATCGGTGTTTCATGCGTCACGGCAGCTCTGTAACCTCGAGGCAACGCGATCCGACCCCAATGAAAAGGTTGAAACTCTATCGTCATCGATTTTTATATAATGGACAGTGTTACAGTGAGTAATGATTCATGCTTTTATTCTATGTCCATAATCTTTAGGTAGGTTGCTGTTAAACTTTCCAAGGGCAAATCTAGTCTCCCCCCCCACCCAACATTGACTGGAATCCCCCCACCCGGTGGTTTGAACTCCAATGCCTCGTACCATGAGCACACCTCGGCCCCCTGACAGGTCCGCCTATCGTCTTTCCCTGCTTCTCCACACCGATGGATCGGCAAACACCGCGGGAGTAAATGTTAATATTGGTAGAGTCAACAGGCGAGGTGACGGCCTCAACGCGCTCTAGTAAGTTCCCCCCTCACAAACACACACACACACACACACAGACACACACTGCCTTTTCTGCCTTTGGCAGATGGAGCATTGACTTTAATGTCTTCTGCACTTGGGGTGAGAGAAGCTGTCCGGTTGTCATTGAGCGCAACAAATGAAACCGTTACCGATGGTTTCGAATGAACACGGGCAACCTTGTTTGAGGGCGCCACTGGACCGCGATGAGGTTACGCTGGTCAATGGTCACCATGGCAACAAGACAAAACAACAACCCGGCCGTCACCGGAAGATGGCCAAAATGCGCCATGGAGCCCGAGGACATCAACGGTTTTCATGATGTCAACAAGTTGATCTGGGATTATTGGTCTGGCCAGAACGCACACAAACACTCATGTTGCATCAGACCGCTGGGCGACCGTCCCAACCGAGGAGTTTATTTTTGATCCCGATTGACACGGCTGCCAAAAGAGTCCTCGCAATGACGACCGAGCCGCATAGTGTTCACGTATCAAAATACATACTTTCAGTAATGAACTGCTGCAGTCAGAGTGCTACTGGACACACACCGTAGTCCTGATGACGAGTCCTTTGAGGCAGCAGGTCGTTGTGGTGCGCTGCAACCGAGAGTACGTCGCGTGTCCACATGTCCGCCTGCGGCGTCTCAGCCTCCGTCCCCAACGCGGTGGAACGGGATTACGTCGGAAGAGACGTTGGCAAGACGGACCAAAGTGTATTTATAGAAACTACGTCCTCCCAAGAAAGAGTAGAACCCACGTTTCATAACGGCCTCCTTCACTACTTTGAACAGCACGAATTCACAATCAACGGCATTGAATCTCAGACGGAGAATATCTGCAGCCCACGGCGCATGAAACACCAACTGACTGAACCCTTGACACCCCAGAAATACTGAATTGTTTGAGCCGCCGTTTGGAATGTGTTTCTGATACGATAGCGAGCATTTATTTATATAAACCACTCTAATCGGTGCGCGTGGGAATGTGTGTTTGTATGTTCGCGGCTGCCCTTGTGTTTTTCTACATCGATAAACGCACAATCCTGGAACAATGTTTGCCTCACAGAAGCATATCGGCGCTCTTGCGCAAGTCTGTGTGTGTCTGAGTGTGTGTGCGTAAGTGTGTGCGTGCGTGCGTGTGTGTGTGTGTGTTATCAGCAGGGGCTCCACTTCACTCAAAGAGCACCGAGGCCGAGTCTCCAAATGCGGTATGACTCACAGAACCTGTGCGCGAGCTTTTGCATGCATGCGTGCGTGCATGCAGCTTGCGGCACGGGGAGAAGCTGTGAGATGTGTGTGTGTGTGTGTGTGTGTGTGTCCTTGGTCTGGCACGACAGGCTGTACAATATTCCATAAGGGAGACTCTCAGCAAACGACCGCTTTCGGAGCTCCGCTGCAGGATTTTGTTATTTGGGGTTATTTATTTGTATTATTTTCATTAATATTAAAGCACAGAGCCGTTGAACGCACCCGCCACAGACACGCCCCCATTTGACATTGACACATGATCACCCCCCCCCTTCTCCCGGCCCCCTTCACCCCTCATCTGGTGGCAACAGCCACAGGCCCCCCAACACACACACACACACTTGAACAGCCCCAAACTAATATACATCCTCCTCCTGAGACAAGGAAACAAACCCCCCCACCGTCCTATCGGCGTCAATAAAATTATTCCTCCCCCCCCCTCCCTCCTCCCGCTCCCGGGATGCTGTGGGCCGGGAGGAGGAGGAGGAGGGATGCACGGGGGGGGTCAAGTTTGATATAACGGTCCACACGACGATGTCAATATTGTCCTACATATTCAGTCTGCAGGAAATTATTCGGATATTCCGGGGGGGGGGGACAAAGAGCCGCCGGCTGTGCCACATGTGCGCGTCAATAACACGCACTCTCTCACTCTCACTCGCGGGCCCGTGCGCGTAAACACGTCATTATCCACTGGTCTTTTAAATCGGTGCTTGCAAACTCATTTAAATGTCCATTTCCTGCAGTGCGCGTGCGCGCGTGTGTGTGTGTGTTTCTGGATTCAATCAAGGAGGAAAACACGGGGGAGTGTGTGTGTGTGTGTGTGTGTGTGTGTTACTTTGACATGGGTCTGCGTAACGCAATATTAAACCGCGTGTTGTGTTGCGTTGCGTTGCGTTCAGAGAAAGGAAAAAAAAAAGCCCGTGCGCGTGTCCTCGTTGCGTCGACTTGTTGCAGGCGCGTGGACGGACAGATGTGCACTTTTCTCCCGGAGAACGCGCAAAAGCTGCTGGATAACAGCGTCGGGATAAACTCACCTCTGTCCAATCCGCGGGTCCTCGCACGGGAGACGTTTGGAGACGGAGACGATAACGTGGACAATAAGTGTCTCCCTCTCTCTGCGTCCACTCCGCTCCTCCGGTTTCTAGCGCAAAACCTGCTGTTGTTCCGCGCTTCGTCCTCCCTCCACCTCCCGTGTTGTGCGCTGTGCTTTCCGCTCCCTCGCTGCTCTCCAGCGTTGTGTTGTTTGTGTCTCCAGCAGGAGGAACATCGGGCAGACAGGGGGGAGGGGGGAGGGAGGGGGGAGAGAACCCGGAGCGTCAATCAGAAAAGACAAGACGCGGCGATGGAGTTTATTTTCAGGGGCGGAGGGGAAAGTTACCCGCGAATAAGTAATGAGTAATGTTTTTTTTTTTATTGTGCACCAAAATCCGAGATCGGTGACACTCGGCGCGGTTAGTGAGCTCCGGTTCGGCACCGACTAAATGCTGGAGCGTTATCGGGAAGAAAATAGCGTGTTTATGTTTCTGGGTCCCCCCCCTCCCCCCCCCGCACTTAGGAGCCACATTGGTACGGTCCACCCTCGTAGCGCTTGTGGAACTGCGCCGAGCGCTCGAGCGATGTCTCGTGCACGAGCCAGCAGGTAAATAAACACAGGTGGAGTCAAAGCGCGGTCGTGAAGGTTGGTTGGGGGGGTGGTGGTGGCTCTAGGGCCCCCCGCAGAGGCACTGAAGGGGGTGCATTCGACTAAATGCAACTGAATTGAGGAACGTGCAGCGCGTGAGCGTACTGGGAATTCGACGCGATGTTCCATCGTAACGCTTTCGTGTTTTGGGATTAAAAATGTGTCGAATAAGCGGAAACAGAGGAAGTTCCTGTGGGTCAAGACGTCGTTTCTTAAAAGTAGACCGCACACTAGAATAATAGACATACTGATAAAGGAAGCGATGGTCGTCATCTTGATTCGTCCAAGGCCCCGACTTGATTCCCCCACTTCGGCCCAAAGCGAAAGGACATTCGAGCCTGAGCCCGGGAGCACCCGAGCTAAAGTGGGATGAGACCTGCGTGTACGAAAGAGAACTGTTGACAAGTTTCCACCTCTGTTTCTAACGAAGGTTTTCTGGGGGACGTAGTTTGCCGGCTGTGAATTCGGTCCAAATCAACAGCGTGAGTCGTGTGTCGGCGGCCATTTCTCACCTCGACCCGCCGGCTGTGTACCGGAGGCCCGGCCGCTCACATTTAGCTCCTCTCGTAGTCATAGCAACAAGCGCGGCCTTTGCCCATTTGCGTGCTACATCGTGTAAAGGGATTTCCTTAAATGACAACGCCGTTGTTTTTCTGCTTGAAAATCACCTGCATGTGGTTAGCGGTGTGCGTAGCTTTAGCTTTCGAAAAATACAACATGGTTGGATGTTTTGTTGAGGTCAACGTTGGATGTGGTTTTACCTCAGGAGGCTAAAACCAGATGTGAAACCTGATTTTCCTCTTGAAAAGAGCAACTTAACCTTAACCGTAACTCCTCCCCCCTTGGTGATGTGCAGTGTGGGACCCAGTGACATCACGGATGGGCGTGGTTAACTTTTAAAACCAGCTTCAAAGTTTCCACCAGATTGGGCAATAAGCGTTTTTTTTTTTCTTTGTTGTGGCAACGCATCGGTTTGTTCTTTTGATATGTGACTTGCCTCCGTCCCGTGGGGGTCAGAGGTCACGACCTCCGTTTCCTTTTACCAACGCAGCAACAGCCCGTCGAGGCCCGTGACATCCGAGCGCCATCCCAAAAGGGGACGCGAAAGGGGGCGGGGCTACAACATGTGCAACTGTGACAAGCAGCCGAGCGCCTGCGACGTTTATATCCGTAAATGCAAAACGCTGAATCCAACGTGGGCCTGCGAGGTGTAAATAAAAGACGTCAGAACTGAGATCGCATCGGCACGAGCCGAGTTTTATCACCTCGTTTGCCGCTCCGTCCCTCTCGTGAGACGCTCTTCACACCCGGCTCAGGTGTTAATAATAGTAATTACTTTTGACTCTCTTTTTTTTTTTTTTGCTGCTAATTACAGCCGCCCCCGGAGTGCGGGCTAGAGAACCAAAACGCCAGGCCGCCAAGTCCCGCCCTCTAAAACAGACGGGCCAATCAGAGCTGTCCAGCTCTGCTCTGCTCTGCTGCGATCGCCTCAGGTTCTCTTCCAGACGCGTCCGTCCCCGCGGTGAATCTCTTGCCTCTTGTTTAAACGCGGATTCCTAATCTCCTTCAGTCTTCTTCACCTCCGTCCGCGTTGGCCCCCCCTTCGGGTTCCTCCGCGTCCAACGCGGCGTTAACCGCTGAAGACTCGAAGACGTAAGATTGATTCAATTACTTTGAAATAGTTCACATTCTCTTCTCCATCACTGATCCTCTGGAGTTTAAGCGGCCCAATCAAATGTCTGCATCAATGCGTGTTCGGCGCCCTAAAAGTCTTAAAAGGCCGGACCTTTGAGACTCCCCCGTCCTCTGCAGCCCCTGGGTTGTCTTTGTTGTCCTCCCGTTGTTGCGTTGCACGCCGCTCTTTGTGAGTGAACTCGCTTTGATCCGCCCGCTCGCCTCCTCGTCTCCTTTGCTTCCTCTCCGCGGCCTGAAGTCGGGCCGGATAATGTGCCGAGGCTCCGGTCGCTCGCTGTCGACCCTCAGAGGTCGACGCCGCGTTGAATCACTGCAGTCGACCCCCGGGAACCCGCCCGCCCTCTGAACACACACACACACACACACACACACTCTCTCTTTATGCTGATTGAAGGATAGCACCGCGTACACACGGTCAGGCCATGCTTGGTTCTGCAGAGAGGATTTGATAAATGTTAATAATAATCAACTTTATGCATCTTTATGTTAATAAAAATACCTCGAGCTTTGCCAAAAGACAACTTATTAGGAGTTTTTTCAGTAGTAACTAAAATGCTCTTTGCACCTTTTAGCTCAAACAGAAGGAGGAGGGAATTTTGGCATGAAAGAAGGTCGTGCACACGCCGATAGTGGGCCAATCAGAACCGTGCTTTGTCTCTCATCATTGGGGCAGTGTTGCTCTGCAGGATCCAATGCGCGCTTCGTGGGCGCAACCCGGGTGAACTTGACACCCTTTTCAGAGCGACGACCGATCCCGTGCGTCCGCTCGTCCTCGTCTCTCCGCGGCCGTAAAGTTACTCTGGGTCCTCCTCCTCCACATTCCTCTCACGTTTAATACCCGCCGCCGCCGCCTCAGCTTCCTCCAAGGGGTCTGCAACGACAAAGACCCTCTCTCTGCCCCCAAAGAGAGACCTTGGGGAGGCCTGGTTGTTTTTGAGGGGGAGGGGGGGTGAAAGCTGCTGCATCTCCTCAGGGATCACAGTAGTCCTCTGTGTCCGTCGACGTCGGCCTTCACAGCAGCTGGGTTGTGTTCAGTGTGTTGTGTGTGCGTCTGTGAGTTGAGGCAGCTGCAGAAAAAAAATTGGGGGGGGCTGCAGTTTTTGTTTTCCAGTGGAAGGGGGGGGGGGGGGGTGTCTCCAGCGTACGTGACGTCACGACGTCGTACCTGACCTACTTAGAGCGGCCGCGACGTCACCCGCCGCCGTCGCTCTCTTTCTTCCCTTTGTCTCTCTCGCGCGTCTCCTTGCTCCTCGCCTCCGTTTCACTCCTTCATTCGGCCCCCGTCCCCCCCCCCCGTCATACAGACCCCAAGCGCCGCCCGTCCCCAGTAACCCATTTTCCTGCGGCTCTGCTGGTGAATATTCATATGCGCTGGAAAGCATGGCCCAGAGACAAAGTGACAAAACGGGAGGACAGGCTTCCACCATATGGACAGGAAGTCTCTGTGGGACCAGAGCTTGACTGCTACAATATCTGGTTGCCGTGTGATTTTTAAAACATACAGACGAGAGAGAAGCCCCATGAACTCTGGGCGGGTCGGCGTGCGGGTACAAACTCTTTTTCTCAGCCTATATTTGACTGATATGTTTGGTGTCTAACTGATAATAAAGCCGGTGTTGAATGAGAACGGACGGAGGTGAACCGGCGTTTTCCATCGTGCCGACAAACCCTTCGGCCTCTTCCTGCTGGACCTCCCGTTGTGACAGATTCGACGCCCTCGGACTGTTTATCTGCAGCTAGCGAGCGATGAGCGGTTGTGTGTGTCGTTTTAAACGCCGTCCAGACCGTATTTAGAGAATCGATCTCATCAGGTAACGAAGGAGATGCCAAGGAACCAAAAAGATTTAAGACAAACAAGCTAATGGACGTAAGGTCATGAGGTATTTAATCGGGACGTGTCTATGGGGAACCAGTCATTCATCACTTAAATAAGAGAAACGGCGCTAAAGTTATAGATGCTCATTTTCATCGGGGAGCTTTACATTAATAAAGTAATCAAGTGTCCAAGAAGACATTATGAACCTTCTCATTTACCCGCTCAGCAAACAGAAACAGCCGTCACTTTGCATGCAGGATTTAAAAGGGAAAGTGTGAGGGAAAGAGGGGAGACGAGGGGGGAGACGAGAGAGACGTTCACAGGTTGCGCGGCGAGGAAGAACCCAAGCGGATCAACGGCTCCTGCTTCTCCACCTCCTCCACCTCGCCCGCTGTGTGTCCCACGTCCACG